GTAAGTAGGCCTCTTGGACATTGTTCTTTCAGAATATCCTGACAAATCCCATAATTTCAGAAATTTCATTTTTATGACGTCATCACTTTAGTACTCTATTAAATAAATAAATAAATAAATAAATGAATAAATCACGATTTAGAGGGAGCACATCCACGTAGTCCTTCGTCTACAATAATTCCTGGTCGAACTGGAGTTTGGAAATTAATATTTGGTTCTTAAGAAATGTGGAAAACAGGAGTATCTGGGGAAAAACATCTCGAAGCAAAGAGAACAACAAGAAACTCAACCTACATGGATGATCGATCTAGTGTTCAGAGACACCGATAAAAACATTGCCACGGCTGAAGTGTTCGATCCTGGACTTAGTGGTTATGACGCCCAAGCACCAACTAAAACTCGTGTAGTTGGAGGATTTTAGTCCCTTGGAAGTGACTTCATGATCAACCATTGCAGATCAACAAGTAAGCCTAAAGCAACAAGAACAGTCGGCATTGGAGCATATGATATCGTCAGGTTAAACCACGTTAGCCGTGCAACTGATTAACTGAAGGCTAACTGAATCTGATTACTACAAATCATATTCAAGAAACTCAAGAAAATGACAAGCAATTTTGGTCAATTTTGAACGGCCCTAAGAAAGTCTTAACGCTCATCTAAGACCTGCAACGGTCTCAGGTATGGATGCTGATGGAGCTGTTGTCCGGTCTCCACCGACTCCACTATTTCCGCTTTGAACTCTTTTTATGTAAGCATCGTTAGAGACCTTGCCAAAAACTTCCTTGATGTATCACTATCTGCTCAGCCCGAAGTAAGCCCGTGCTTTTCTAAGCGTGATTATTCATCGAACTGCTATGTAGTAATGGCTGATCATTAATGCCTTAGTAAACTTTGGTTCTATAAACCGTTGGGAGATAAGAAGGTGAACACACAAAAGCACTGTTCACTCGGTAAATAAATACGCATAATGCACTTCCGCAAATAGGCGGGGAAATTGCGAGGTGTCCTCAGGCTGAAAAGTGAGGGGGAGGGGTAAGAGCAAGTTCAAACTGATAAAGAATCATAATAACCTAAAATGCGTAACAGAACAACAGCGTTATGTTGTGAAGTATTTTGAAAGTTATTTTTAAGACGGATCTATCTTTTCTTTTAAGTTTAGTTTTCGTTTCATTAAGTCTTATTTTGTCCACGTACTGTTTTCCTGTTTTGATCTTTTGTTTTTACTTGTACTTGAATTTATGCTTAAGTTCGCAAATTTACTTATTGCCATATTAGGAATGTTATTAGCTTGGCATTGTCAGATGTTAGTTTTTTACAGGTGGTCTTAGCTGACCTTGGTTCTTTTGTACTTGTCAGTTGCGGCCGTGCGTAGGCTAATCTATTCCCTTTCAATAGCAAACCTGTTGCAATGTTATATAGCGATAAGATATTCAATTATACTGAGAGTCTCCTGATCAGCTAACCCAAACATGTCCAGCTTTGGCTATAAAAACCGCTACTATACTTGAACTAGTAAGTAGAGAAGAGTAGAAATGTAGGAAAGAGTCAGAAGAGTAGGAAGATTAAGATTGTTAGCAGAAGTCAAAGAAGAATAAAGGCCAAGATGTAAATCAGATTCCTAGTACCCCATTGTGTAGCGAGCGAGTTGCTCGAACATAACCCCACAGTTAACAACAGAGAAGTAAACAAAAAATTAAGGAAAAATCGCTAATTATTCACGATTCTTAAACTGTAAAAGAGATATTCTCCTCTTGCCTACAAATTGGTTTTCCTGTTAGCTGGTTGGAATTACCAAGAACTATAACGTTATTAAGTTAATAAAAGCATGGTAAAATGACATTGAAAAATAGTTTCCAAGTTGATTGTAGTGTTGTAGTTAAAGGCATTTTTTACTTTTGCAACATGATTACTTATCGAATTAATTGCCACGTCATGATGGTTGGTTTCATAAAGTTGGGACTAAAAGGGCTTTATTAAACATTCTGATCATTTGCAATTGATTAAACTTTGACACATATGACAGCATGATTTGTCAAGTAACTACCTCCTCTGTCTTTGTTTTAAAACCTTACCTAGTAAGTCTTTTTTTTCGGGGGGGGGGGACGGGGGGAACAAGTTCCTTCTTTCAACTCAAAAGAGTCGTCGTAGGTTGTAGTTACTAAAAACATGTGCGTATTTTTCGCTTGGGTCTAGCTAACATGTAGGATTGGTCTCAGACCTAATAGTCCGCATTTCCTCTAAACCATCGCCGACTCTTTTCTGTTTGACTGTGTATTTACGATTCATTGAATTCTACTTTGATATCGCGTCAGTAATTTCATAGACTATGAGTAGTGCCCATTTTTTCTCAGGGATAGTAGAGGAAGCGAAACGCGAGCGCGCGTTAAAATCACCCCACGCGAGAAAGGCGAGACGTGGCCGTGAGAGAGAAAAGTGCTCATCGTTCGATCAGTGTTCGATCCTGGTCTTAGAAATCATGTGGCTCACCAACTAAAACTCGTATAGTTAGAGGATTTTCAGTCCCTGGATGACATCAACCATCGCATATCAAATCTGAAAGCTTGATTATAATCTGAAGAAAGCTAAAAGCAACCAGAATAGACGGCATTGTCGCATACAGCTAAATCAAAAAAGGTTGCTTTGGTAATTAATAATTGGTAATTGGGCATTGGGCTTATGGAACAATGCAATGATTTACTTGAGTGACCACCAAACAATAACTTCCCAATGCGCAATTCTCAATGCCCAAAGCAACCTTTATCGAATCAGCTATATATCGTCACTAAGAGTTAGGAAATCGCGTTAGTCGTGCCATTAAGAAGGCTATATCGTTACTAATCAGATTCAAGAAAGTCAAGAACTTGCATTGACAAGCACTTTTGAGGGCGCTCAGAAAGGCTTTAAGCTCATCAAGCCCTCTTAGAGTATCGCAAGTATTGATACTGATGCAGCTGTTGCCCGGTCTCCGCTGCTAGCGCTTTGAACTCCTTTTACGTAAGCATCGTTAGAAAACTCGCTCAAGACCTCCCTAATGTATCACTATCTGATCAGCCTTTACTGTTCTTAGCGTGATTATTCATCGAACTGCCACCATGTAGTAATGGCTGATCATTAATGCCTCAGTTAACTTTGGTTTCATAAACTTTTGAGCTAAGAAAGTGAACACTTAAAAGCATTGGTAACTTGGTAAATAAATGGGGATCATGCACATCCGCAAACAGGCGAGGAAATTGTGAAGTGTTCTCAGGCTACGAGGGTAGTGGTAAGAGCGAGTTCAAACAGATAAAGAATCATAATAACCTACAATGCGTAAAAGAACAACGGCGTTAACAACAAACAAATAAATAAAAAATTAAGGAAAAATCGTTACTGTAACACTAGTGTTAAACTAAAAGCCGGAGATATTCTCCTCTTTCCTACTAATTGGTTTTCCTGTTGAAAGGAAAAGTATGCTCTTATTTATTTACTACGCATTAATTTGCACACAATGATAAACCTTCTTTAATATCAGTGGAGAAACTAGAGTAAATATGATTTAGTATAGGTTTTGTTTTAATTAGCTCTGATGAATTAATTACCAAAATGTAAACCCCCAAATTTAAAAAGTATCATGATAACTTTCTTCTTTTTAAATACAATTAAAGAATAATACGAAAATATTTTCAGCCTAAAATCGGCAGAAAAAATAAGAATATTCAGCACGAGCCGGGAAATCAGTATTCTTGTAAAAAAGAAAGGGTGTGTTTTAAACTGAAGAAACTGAAGCAAATACGACTTAAATCTTATAAGCTGGTAACTACACCAACCACACCAACTACACTAGCTACAGCAACTACAATTACTACACCAACTACACCAACTACAGTAACTACAGTTACTACAATAACTACAGTAACTACAGCAACCACACTAACTACACCAACTACACCAACTGCAGTTACTACACCAACTTCAGCAACTGACAGCAACTTCACCAACTACACGGACTACATCAACTATACCAACTAAGTGGGCATGGAATGTCTTAGCTGCCTTAAAGTTAATAAAGGATAGTGTATTGTCTTTTGAATACATTTTCATAGTTTCCAAGTTGATTGTTGTTGTATTCGATTGTAGTTTAAGGCATATATTGCTTTTGCAACATGCTTGCTCATTGGATTGCCACGTCATGTATAAACAGGTATTTTGATCATTTGCAATTGATTAAATTAAGTAAGTAGGCTGCTGTGTCTTAAACCGCCTCACCCTCTGTAGCATGTAGTTTATCAAAAAATGTGTGCTTGGGTCCAGCAAATACAGTACGTTGGATTGGTTGCGTTTGCGACATAAAAGGCCGTTTTCTCTTCAAGTCACCGCACAACTCTTTCGGTTTGACTGTATATTTGCGATTCATTGAAAACCAACTGCCGTTGCTAATTTAATATTACGTCAGTAGTTTCATATAACTTTCTTCCTTTTTGACTGACGAACTTCGGCACTTACAAAGCTCGACCTATCGCCTTTGCTTAAAAGAAAAAATACATAATTACTGTGTGATGATGACGCCACATTTGAATTTTAAATTCCGGGTTCAGACATGCACAGTTTTAATTTCAAGTAAGATGACTTTTTTGCTATTGTCGCGGAAGACTCAAAAGTACTCAGTTAAAAATCAATTGCCATCGGAGAAGGAAGAGAACCTCTGGAAAATATTCAGTAAGTCTCGCAAAGAATTATTTCCAGCGTCAGCCTCGTTCAAAGAAGAAAACACTTGCAGAGTTCCTCAAAAGTTCTACACAGCTGCTAAAACTTAAGACTGTATAAAACGCTCCATTCAATGGCGGAAGCTGAAGGTCAGTCTCATTCAAAACGGATGAAACCTAGAAAGCAACGGATTTCTTTGCATATTATACTAGAAACTGAACACTGATCAGGGTCCCTTGTACAAAATGGCAAGTGCTAAAGGCTTGCATTTGACACTTGTTGTCTTCAACGCTTTCTTGTGTTTCACCAGCATCTTGATGAACATCATAACAATACAAGCGCTTAGAAAAACGTCGTCGTTGCCTAAGACTTTAAAAACATTGCTTCTAAGCCTGGCTGTGTCTGATCTGGGTGTGGGCTTACTTGTCCAACCACTGTACGTTGCAACTCTTGCGATTAAAATAGACCAAAACACAAACAGCACCGCTTATCGTGGTGATGCAGTAAACAACGCGTATGTAATCCAGAAAAAAACATTTGTCTTGGCTTCGCATTTTGGTGTTTTTGCATTAACTGTTGACAGATTCTTGGCAATCCATCTTCATCTCAGATACCAGGAACTTGTAACTCACAAACGTGTTGTTGCTGTTGTGATCTCAGTCTGGGTGTTAAGTGCATCAATTTCCATCTTAAGTGGGTGGCAAGATTTTTTTATTGGGGGAGCAGTCATTGTAGTTGTTTGTTTAATAACTACAGGATTGCTTTATTGCAAAATATACGCAGCCGTGAGACACCACACAACTCAGATTCACACTCAAGTACAACAAGTACAACAAGCGACACAGAATGAAGATATGGCAAATGCTGCAAGGCTGAAAAAATGTTCACTGGCTACATTTCACATTTATTTGGTGTACTTAGCTTGCTATTTGCCAATAGCTTGTGTTGTTCTTGCCAAGATCAATGGTAAAACTGCCTTGTATTTCACATTGGTGACTCTTGTGTATCTTAATTCATCCCTCAATCCCTTGATCTACTGCTGGAAGATGAGACACATTCGACAAACTGTTATGAATATACTTCGAAATATTTTTGCGATTGGTCCGCATTAAAGAAAGGATTTAACTCAGAATAACTTGGGCTTTTTTCCCTCCGGTGAAAAAAGAAGCTTTTCAGCAATACAGTCGGGAAAATGACACTAAATATCAAAGGGATCTGAAACCTCTTGTACTTTCTATTTGAAAGGCAAAGAGATAAATATATGATCGAGTATAATTTCATGAGATTTTACTGAGTTTGCTTTAGAATAATTAACAGATGACGGGAACTCTGAAATACTACTTAATATCAAAGTCAGAAAGAGGGTAAAAAAGCTAAGTGGTCTAGGAAAAATGACGAGTGACTTGATAAATAGAGGGCCGAGTTTTCCAAATTTGCGATGGTCAGGAAGATCTGTGTACAGGAAAGGGTCTTAAAAAGTTTACTAGATTTTGTTAACCATGGTGCACGCAATAAAAAAAGAAGACTAGTTACTAAAGAGGAGAGAGATCAGAATTTTATCACTAAGTCTTTCATACTGAATTCACCAAGAGTGGCGAAAAAATTTGCCGATATAACAACAGCAACAACAACACAATAATAATGATAAGAAGAACAACACAGCCTATTTGCTGAGAAAGACGAAAACTAGTAGTTTATACTGTTGAGAATATATATTACAATACTTGTAATTAATTCATATAAATAAAGTTCACGTGAAAAAGAAAAAATGTTTTGAAGAATGGCAAAAATATACCATTTAATCAGGTTTTTTTTTTTTAATTTTTAAACTTTCTAATAAGATCACTCCATTTGAAAGTTTCAGACTGGGAGAGAAAGAGCTAGTTAAGAGCGAGTCCAAAAAAGTGATTATAGTAACCAATGATGTACAAAAGGACAACAGCAAATAAAAATAAATAAACATACAAAATTGTAATCTTTCCACGATTCTTAAACTAAAATGTGTTTTCTCCTACACATTGTTTTTCCTGTTCGGTGGTTACGAGCGCTATTTCATAATCATGAAAGTTCCCCTACAATTTCTGTTTCAAGGGAGGGAGGGAGGAAAAGTATGCTCTTGTCATTTAGAAACTTTTAACCGCAAAGAAAAACACAGTACATGCACACTACATACACGCTTAAGTTTATTTTTTTGGTCCACAATGTAAACTTCTGGGTCTACCTGAGTAAATGTGCCAGCCAATAAAGTCTAATTTTCTTACTACCTACATTAAGCAAAAGCTATTCGAGTCAGGCAGTGTAAGAAGGCTAATTACTGTTACGTTTTATCCAAAAACCCATTATACCTTTGCGTTACGTTTACTTGTATAAGGAAAACAGAAAAAAAATTGTTTATTTACTACGCATTAAACTGCGCGCAATGATGAATTTCTTTTTTTAATATTAAACCGAAGAAAGTGGAACAAATAACGACTCTCTGCATTTATTAGCTACCTCAGATGAGTTTGATTACAACGAACTATTAAGTTAATAAAGCACAAGTATATTGTTTTCTGATCAATTGTGACTGGTTAAACTTTGACACACAAGACAGCATGATTTGTTAACTAACTACCTACTGTGTCTTTGTTTTAACACCCTAGCTAGTAAGCTTTTTTTATGGATAATACGTTTCTTCTCTTAACTCCTCAGACTCGTCGTAGATCGTAGTTTATCAAAAGATGTGCTTATTTTTTGCTTGGGTCCAGCAAATACGTTGGATTGATCTCCGACCTGATAGTTGGCTTTTCCTCTAAACCATTGTTAAACTCTTGCTTAGCGATTCATTGCAACCAGCTGCCGTTTCTACTTTAATATTGCGTCAGTAGTTTCAATATCTTCCTTTCTGACTGACGAACTCCAACACTTAGAAAGCTCAACCTATCGCGTTTCGCTTAAAATGAAAATGAACTCAAATTAATTGTGTGATGAGGACGTCATATTCAAATTCTTAATTCCAGGCTCTGTTAAAAAGACACAGTTTTAATTTCAAGCAAGTGAATATTTCAGATGTTATGAGAGCGACTTGGGGGACTTGTTTATACTGTTGTCGCAGACTCAACAGTTCGCACTTTAATCCAGTTTTCATCGGAGGAAAAATAGTGGAACACTGAGAACTCTTGGGGACTGTTCAGTTAGTCTCGAGAATTTCAGTCCCATCCAAAAAAAAAAAAGACACCTGCAGAACTCTTCAAAAGTTCTCTACAAAAACAGAAGCTTAAGACTTAAAGTACTGAAACAGAAACTAAAAGTACTGTTAATGCAATGACGTAAACTAGAGGTTTGTATCCGACACTTGTCGCTAACTGCATCGTTAACGCTTTTTTGTCTTACACCGCCACCGTGTTGAACATTATAACAATACAAGCGCTCAGAAAAACGTCGTCACTGGCAAGACCTTTAAAAACACTGCTCCTTAGTCTAACGGTTTCGGATCTTGGTGTTGGCCTACTTGTTCAACCACTCTACATTGCACTACTCGTGGCGTTCATAACTGAACCAAACACTAGCAATAGTACTCATGTTACATCCCTATTTATTGTGTTCGTAGCCATCGCTAATTTATTAGGTTGCGCTTCGTTCTTTGGTGTTGCTGCTTTAGCCGTTGACAGATACTTAGCTATTCATCTTCATCTCAGATACCAGGAACTTGTTACGCACAAGCGTGTTGTTATTGCCGTGATCTTAATATGGGTGTTCAGTGCAGCTACTATCTTCCTGTTTTCGATTTCGATAAACGTTCGTTTCATTTTTTCCACAACTACTGGAGCTTTAATTTTTGCAACTGGAGGATTGCTTTATTGCAAGATATATGCCGCCGTACGACACCACACAAACCAGATTAACGCGCTGTAAGTACAACAAGTGGCACAGAATGGAGAAATGGCGATGGCAGCGAGGCAGAGAAAAACGGCAGTTGCTACATTCTTCGTGTATGTCGTGTTTTTAGCGTGTTATTTGCCACTGTCCAGTATTTTTATTACCCTTATGTTTAATCACTATGAGTCTGTGTCATGGTGGCATTTGTTATTTTACTCTTTAACACTGGCGTTTCTCAATTCATCCCTGAATCCTCTGATCTACTGCTGGAAAATGAGAGATGTTCGCCGCGCTGTTATGGACATACTTCGAAATGCCATTTCACGATGCCTTCACTATACGTAAACCGAGTGAACAGCTGCAGAGTGGCCCAGAAATCATCCCGAGTCATCCTGAAAAAATATTTTGACACGCCGACTGGTCGAGCGTGGCATCTCTTATTTCTTTAGTATTATCCAGTCCAGTTTCACCCTTAAAGGTGTCAATGTATGTAGTTCTTGGTCTACCTCGATTTGTATGACAATGTTGTGGTTCCAAGGGCAGCACTTTTGAAGTAGTATCTTCATTCAAAATTTTTCCCTCTGAAAGTATGGTCTCGTATGATGTTGGCGCCCTATTTACCAGTGTCCTTGTGGATAAAGCGGTTCAACAAATCAGGAATCGCCTTGAGAACGACGAGAGACTGGAAAATCATACCCTTGCTCGAGTTCTGCCTCACGCCCATCTATTTTCTGTACAAGGGAAATTACTACTGACAAAGAGAAGGTGCGGGCACTAGGTCTCCAGTATATGTAGTGGTTGCCAACCTTTACATGGAAGGGTTTGAGCAAGAGTGTCTTTCTTCCTACCCTGGTTCCACTCCCTGGGTGTGGCGCCAAAATGTGAATGATACGTTTGTTATCATTATCACAGCTGAGATTGAACGTTTCGCTAGCTAGTCACATTAATCACGTGGATCCATGCATCGGGTTCACTTAAGAAACTTTCAAATGCCGCAAGGCTACAAACAGGCTACAAACGTTTACTAGATTTTGTTAACCATGGTGCATGCAATAAAAAAAATACTACTAACTAAAGAGGAGAGAGATCAGAATTTTATCAATAAGTCTTTCATACTGAATGCACCAAGACTGGCGAAAAGATTTACCGATATAACAACAGCAACAACAACACAATAATAATCATAATAATAATAACAATAATAATGATAAGAAGAACAACACAGGCTATTTGTTGAGAAAGACGAAAACTAGTAGTTTATACTGTTGAGAATATATATATTAAAATACTTGTAATTAATTCATATCAATAAAGTTCACGTGAAAAAGAACAAATGTTTTGAAGAATGGCAAAAATATACCATTTCATTAGGTTTTTTTAATTTGTCGAGTCCAGAAATTAAACTGTCTAATAAGATCACTCCATTCGAAAGATTCAGAGTGGGAGAGAAAGAACTCTCCTGATCGTGACAGTCTAACCGTTTGGAACACATGATCGATAGCTCGCTAACTGGCATCATAATACTTTAAAATACCATAATACAGAACCAGAAAGCAGGCGTCAATAATATAGCTCCAATATGAAGCAAAGAGCTTCTTGCAACGAGATTAGAAACTTAGAACCACAATTTTTGACGATACAATGAAGTATTAGTCGCTTGATGTAAAACGGTGAGGATGTCGCTTATGTGCTTCGGTAGAGTAAAAAGGCGATAGTTACTCCCTTTATGAGACTCATCCTCTTTATATAGAGAAGGGTGTAAAAATGACGTTAATATCAGCTCTTGAAATGGGTATCGTCTAAATATTATGAACGTGACATCTCCAAACTGGCAGGAGAATTACCTTATTTACCCAGGCTGAAAGAGGGGTTGGTAAAGAGCGAGTCCAAAAAAGTAATTATAGTGACCAATGATGTACAAAAGAACAACAGCATTAACAACGTTTAATGCTCTTAACCTATAACCCCTTAGATAAAACCAAGTAACTATACCAGAATTATTGTGGGGAAAAGGAATAAGGGATGAGGTACTCCAAATATGGACAGCAGGTCACTTTTCTCTACATATTGGTGTAACAGTCCGAAATCTACAAGGGGACAGGTGATAATCCTCTCTAGGGGTGATAATCCCCCAGGATTGTTAGAGAGGATAATCCTCTGTAGGGGGTGATAATCCCCCAGGTTAGAGAGAGGTGATAATTCTCTCTAGGGGTTGATAATCCCCCAAGGTTGTGAGTGGAGGTGATAATCGCCCTAGGGTACTGGAGAGGTGGAAGGACCTCTCTAGATGTCTAATTCCCCGGTTTAAGGAGTAAGAAGAGTCTATGGGGCGGATATGACCTGTATGGGAGCACTTCATTCCGAACCCATGTTTATTAATTGCCAACAACTCTCTCGATACAGATATCATCACTAATTTAAGTTAGAATCGCGTGCCTGCTGCCCGTCAGGAAAAAACCCTCAATTATTTTCGAGGGAAACCTGAACCCTCCCGAAAGCTTGATAATCAAAATAAGGCCCAAAGTAACTAAGTGCACAAGCATGTTGGGATGTCTGGTAGAATGATTCCCCTCAGTAGAAATCTCACCTCTTTTCTGCCATATCTTCTTGATAATTGCCAATTGATTCAAGGTGTAAACAACAAAGATCAGTAGTTCTTATGACTGCAAAACGTATAAGCAGCTTCTTAAATTTTAAGCAAGAGAAAAGACCTCATATATAAAACCTTAAGAAAACCAGCAGAGAAAATCAAGCAGTGGTAAGGGAGGGTGGGATGGGATTTTGTTCCACGAAGAGAAGAATATGAAGTGCTATTTTGCTGAGCTTGGCGCGAAAATATAGGCATCAACTGTTCATGTGATAGCTGGCATCTAATTGGCTGAGCGAAAAAATTAGTGTGACTTGCAGGAAGTAACCCCTGAAAGGAAGTGAGCTGGTTCCATTACTGGTAAAGGCGGGTTTATGGCTGTCACGTTAACTTTAATTTATCCTGTTGTATAAATTAGCTGAAAATAAATAAAAATACAAAATTGTAATCTTTCCACGATTCTTAAACTACAATGTGTTTTCTCTCACACATTGTTTTTCCTGTTCGGTGGTTACGAGCGCTCTTTCATAATCATGCAAGTTCCCCCACAATTTCTGTTTTAAGGGAGGGAGAGAGGGAAAGTATGCCCTTGTCATTTAGCAACTTTTAACCGCCAAGAAAAACACAATACATACACACTTAAGTTTATATTTCTTGGTCCACAATGTAAACTTCTGGGTCCACCTGAGTAAATGTGACTTTGACACACAAGACAGCATGATTTGTTAACTACCTACCTATTAACATCCAAGCTGGTAAGTTTTTTTGTGGATAATGGTTACTTCTCTCAACTCCTCAGACTCGTCGTAAATCGTAGTTTATCAAAAGATGTGCCTATTTTTTGCTTGGATCCAGCAAAAACGTTGGACTGGTCTCCGAACTGATAGTTGGCTTTTCCTCTAAGCCATTGTTAAACTCTTTCTTAGCGATTCATTGCAACCAGCTGCCGTTTCTACTTTAATATTGCGTCAGTTGTTTCAATATCTTCCTTTCTTACTGACGAACTCCAGCAGTTTACAAAGCTCGACCTGTCGTGTTTCGCTTAAAATGAAAATATATTCATACTTGTGTGATGAGGACGTCATATTCAAATTCTAAAGTCCGGGATCTGTTAAGACATATTTTTAATTTCAAACAAATGAATATGTCGGATGCTATGAGCACAACTTGGGGATATGTTGATATTGTTGTCGCTGAAGACTCAACAGTCCTCACTTTGACGCTGTAATCCAACTCTATTGCCTTCGGAGGAAGAATAGTGGAACACTTAGAACTCTTAGGACTGTTCACCGGGGGGTCAGTCTCGAGAATCTCAGTCTCAACCAAAAACTGAGAAAACACTCATATAACCTTTCAAAAGTTCTCTACAAAAACAAAAACTCACTGCACTTAACGTTCTTTACAATGGCGGAGGCTGAAGGTTTGTATCCGACACTTGTCGCTAACTCCGTCTTAAATGCTTTCTTGTCTTACACCGCCACCGTGTTGAACATTATAACAATACAAGCACTCAAAAAAGCTTCGTCGCTGGCAAGGCCTTTAAAAACACTGCTCCTTAGTCTGGCTGCCTCGGATCTTGGTGTTGGCTGTCTTGTTCAACCAATTTATATTGCAGTACTTGTGACGCTCATAACTGAACCAAACACTGGCACTGGGTCTCATGTTATATCCTCCTTAATAATAGCGTTCGTCGCCATCTCTAATTTATTAGGCTCCGTTTCGTTCTTCGGTGTTTTCGCTTTAACCGTCGACAGATTCTTGGCTATTCATCTTCATCTCAGATACCAGGCACTTGTCACTCACAAGCGTGTTGTTGCTGTGGTAACATTGATATGGGTGTTTAGTGCAGCTTATTTCTTCCTGTTTTTCATTTCGATAAACGTTCGTGTCATTTTTTCCGCAACTACTGGAGCTTTAAGTTTTGCAACTACAGGATTGCTTTATTGTAAGATATATGCAGCCGTAAGACAACACAGAAATCAAATAAACGCCCTGCAAGTACAGCAAGTAGTGCAAAATGGAGATATGGCAAACGCAGCACGGCAGAGAAAAACTGCAGTTGCTACATTCTACGTTTATATTGTGTTTTTAGTTTGCTATTTGCCATTTTGGTTTGTTTTCCCTGGTATAATTCTATACTATGAATCTGTCTTATGGAAGCACTTATTGTGTTACTCTTTGACACTGGCGTTTCTCAATTCATCCCTGAATCCTCTGATCTACTGCTGGAAAATGAGACGCGTTCGCCGCGCTGTTATGGACATACTTCGAAATAGTCTTTCACGACGTCTTCACTAATGGGAAGCGGGTGAATAAAGTACTTACACACTTTATCTGGGAATCACGCCGCGTCATCCCGACAAAATCTTTCCACACGGCCTGATCGAGCATGGCATCTCTTGTTTTTTTAGTATTGTCCAGTCCAGTGACAGCCTTGGTGGTGTCAATGTATGTAGTTCTTGGTCTACCTCCATTTTGGTAGCCTGGGAACAAAGACGTAGTTCCGGTTGTCGCTTTTCTCCCCCCTTTTTGATGATGTGCGCAACGAACGATTTATGGGCTTTGTATTTTTCTTTAACCTCAAATATAGGTATGAAAATCTAATTCAAAGTCACTTACGGCAGCGAGAGGCTTTATCGTTGTCTCCTTTGTGTGAAAATAATAATACAATAATAATAATAATAATAGTAATAATAATATTATTATCATCGTCATTATTAAACATGTATTGCGCATGTACCATACAAATATATTCATAAGCGCATTGAAAACAAATAAGATGTGTCAGTTAGGATAAGATAAGAATAACATAAAAGAGCACTTTGTGAGAGCTCTTTTAGAAAATGTAAGAATCTGAATGTTTCTGATCTCTACCCTAAGATTGTTCCAAAGCTTAGGAGCTGCTGACTGAAACACTCGGTCGCCACCCGTTGCTAAGTAAGCACCGTTACTTGGCTGATACTAACAGGGTCGCATCCCATTGACCTAAAACCAGTATATCTTGACTGTGCTGCGACAGCAAGAAGATCAACCAGATATTATATTAATGAGTCGCAGGACAAAAAAACATACACTTCATTGGATATTCGTGAATGGGTAATTTAACTGAAGGACACTTGAAAAGAACTAGTTAGTATTTCATGATTTCTGCGATTTTTGAGCAACGGAGGAGACGATGTTTTAAACTGAAACATAGCTCTAAACGATCGCTCGATTAGTCGTCAGTCGTGGAGGATAGCGAGTTTTTATTGTAGGCGAGTCTATGCTTTTGCCATAATTTTTCAATAAGAATATTTAACAACTAAATAACTAGCTAAATAATAATAATGAAAAAATCCTTGAACCCCCCAAAAAAAAAAAAAACAAAGATAAAGAAAGGAAAAAGGAAATTTTTTCCGCGATTCTTAACTACTCTTGGCTATTTGCTATTTTGTTCACTAAACACCTCTTTGCGCTCAATAAATTTTCTTGGACTTTATGGCACTAGATTTTCATAATGACACCTTTAATAAATTGCTTAGCACCAATTAGTTTGAAGCAATTTTTGTCGGTTTTTAAGTCTTTTTTAAGTTTTTAAGTCCAAGTCAATATTGCGGTTTTGTTTTCAAACGTTTTTTCGATTATAGGACTTTATAATAGGTAGTTTTGTATCCGCTTGCCTGAGTTTTAGAAAATCTGCAGAGCAACGGTTTATTTTTTTAGCTTTTCGTCTGACACTTGTCATACCCTCGATAACTCCAATTGCGTCAGTACACTACCTTTTAATAAGTTTGAACGTTTGGAAGCTTATTAATTATTAAGCTCAATCGACTATTCTTATCAAAAGAAAGTTATACCTAAATTTGAATGTGTTACATAGTGGCTACATTAATTTTTTTGGAAGTTTTACGATGAGGGAATTCTTGGGGTTCAAAACACTTTATATTTAAGATTGTCTAGGCGGTGGACAATTGCAAGCCTGATTAGGTACGAAAGTGGACAAGGTCGCTTGGTCTTTCAATAATTTAAGGAAGAATTTGAATCACATTCTGAACTTCTCGGGAGACACAGATCAGGTAACTTGGCAAAGGGAAGAGCGTCTGCCTGTCAAAAGACTCTAACAGTTCTTTAAAGGAACAGTCTATACAACGACAGAACCTAAAGACGCCTTTTCAACATCCTACAGAATGGCAGGAACTGGAGACTTTTATTCAACGCTAGTCGCCAACTGCTTCTTCAACGCTTTCTTGCTTTTCACAGCCTTGGTTTTAAACATCATAACAATACAAGCCCTAAGAAAAATATCATCGTTTCCAAAACCTTTAAAAACATTACTCCTAAGTCTCGCTGTTTCTGATCTTGGTGTTGGTTTGCTTGTCCATCCTGTCTATATTTTGCTTCTCGTAATGAACATAGAACAGAACACTAACAATAGAATTTTTATTATGGTATACAAAGCATACCTTATTTCTAGTCATTTATTGTGTACTGCTTCATTCTTGAGCATTATTGCTTTAACTGTCGACAGATTCTTAGCTATTCATCTTCATCTCAGATACCAGGAATTTGTGACTCACAAGCGCGTTGTTGCTGTAGTAATTTCAGTCTGGGTGTGGTGTTCATGTATTTCCTTGTTTGTGTTGAACAGTGTTTTAGAAAACGTTCTGGCCATTATAACTGTAACTATTGGGACAGTTTGTCTCACTACAACGGATTCATTTACTGCAAGATATACTCAATCGTACGTCACCACAAAAATCAGATTCACGCTCTGCAATTGCAACCCGTAGGATAGAATCAGAATGTAGAATTGGCAAATGCTGCAAGACTGAAAAAAACTCTACTTGCTACATTTTACGTGTATGTGGTGTTTGTGGTTTGTTTTTTGCCCTTCATATGCGTTGACGCAGCTTATCAAATTTATGGTGAGTCCGAGTTGCGGTTGCATCTGCTTTATTATTCGAAGACACTTGTGTATCTTAATTCATCTCTCAATCCTTTGGTCTACTGCTGGAAGATGCGAAACATTCGACAAGCTGTTATCAGTGTACTTCGCAATATATTTCAAGGTCAGTAAAGTTCCATTCGAACCGCTTCGCCAATGAGACCCTTTGTGCCCCACAAAAAAAAAAATGGAAATTTCATATTACCAACATGAACTTTAACTAACAGATGAATAATGAATAATGATTTAGAGGTAGCACATTTACGTAGTGGTTCTTCGTCTACCATTCCTAGTGGAGTTGGAATTTAGAAATGAGTACTCCGAGAAAAACCTCTCGGGGGCAAAGAAAGAACAACGTCAAACTCAAACCACATTTGGCGTCGACGGAGGGATTTGAACCTGGGCCACGATAGTGGAAGGCGAGTGCTCTCACTACTGCTTCACCCTTGCTCCCCAATCGTATTAGCCTATGAATGATCGATCGAGTGCGGTTCACAAATACCCGTCAGAACATTTCCGGGGCCCTTGTTCGATCGTGGTCTTAGCAATCATGACGCCCACGCACCAACAAAAACTGGTATAGTTAGCAGATTTTCAGTCCTCTGGTTGACATCATATGATGCCTATATATTTAGTAGCAAGTTACCAGTGCTTTTGTGTGTTCACCCTCTTATCTCCCAAGTTTATGAAACTAAAGTTAACTAAGGCATTAAATATCAGCCCACCATTACTACATAGCAATTCGATGAATAATCACGCTTAGAAAAGTAAGGGCTTACTTCAGGCTGGGCAGATATACACAGGGCTTTCCACAAGTTGCTCGAGATTTTCCAAAACGTTAATTTCCCGTAATTTTTCAAAAAGTTGCTTTTTGTAATGAAAGTTGCTCAGAAGTTGCTCGAAAGCCTTAATGGCACAGTTCACGCAGTTTCTTAACTGAAGATATACGCGCCAATGCCGTCTACTTTTGTTGCTTTCAGCTTTCTTCAGGTCGCTTGATGATTTGATCTGTACTGGTTGGCAATTTCTCCGCCTTTTTACGGATGTGTAGGGTCCTCAGGCTGAAAAGTATGGAGGGAGGGGTAAGAGCAAGTTCAAACTGATAAAGAATCATAATAACCTACTATGCGTAACAGAACAACGCCGTTAACAACAAAGAAATAAATGAAAAATTTTGGAAAATCCTTACTTTTTCACCATTCTTAAGCTAAAAGCGATCCATGTATTCTTCTCTGCCTACATATTGGTTTTCCATGTTAAGTAGTTAAAAGGAAAAGTTTCTTCTTGTTTATTTACTACGCATTAATTTGTGAGCAATGATAAACTTTCTGTAATATTAAACTGAAGAAACTGGTATTAGTATGACTTAGGCTTTGTTTAGCAGCCTCTGATGAATCAATTATTACGAACTACCGAGTTTTATTTACTAAATTAATAAAAGTATAGTATATTGCCTTTAACAGGCTTTCAAAAAAAATGGAATCATTAGTTTCCAAGTTGATTGTAGTTAAAGGCTTTTATTGCTTTTTTGCAACATGATCACTTATCGAATTGTCACGTCAGTGATGGCTGGTCTCATAAAGTTGGGACTGCAAGTGAAATTTTAAACATTCTGGCCCCGGTTGTTCAAAAGTTGGATAACGCTATCTACCGGATGAATCGCTATCCAGCGGATAAACATTACGAAAACCAATATGCGCTATCCTTTGGATAGTAATTTATCCAGTGGATAGCGCTATCCACCTTTCCAACAACTGGCGCCTGATCATTTGCAACTTATTAAACTTTGACACATATGACAGCATGATTTATTAACTAACAAGAACACTCTTAAAAGCAGCATCTCTCGCTTGCTTGGAGATTAGATAAGAAATGAGGAGGCGATTAATTCTACAAGAAGGATTTCTTTGCTAAAAGTTTTTCACTTCCCACTTTATCGACGGTCGAGTATTCTTCAGAATATTTACTTCTTACATCGTATTCGACGATGATTGAATACGCGTGTACAAATACAAATCATTGCCGGAAAGTAAAAACGTGATGAATATGGCGCCTCATTTCAATCATCGCCCAAAATAAACCGCATGCTCATCATAAGACTCATTTACATACAATGAAAGTTTTCGACACCCGACCACTTTATAGTCTTACCATCGACGTTTTCACTGAAGCATTCACTTGTTCCAAAGTTATCAACGCTTTCAAGCGATCCTATAGAATTCGTGGACGGCCCCGTTCCGGAAAAGCTCGACAACTCTGGGTCAATCTTTCCTAAGCTTTCTTCACAAAATAGAACATGGTGCTATGACACGTAGCAATTCTTATCCCCACTTTTCACGATCTCCGCTAGTAACGCCTGGGACCATGCCATTTCCCTTTTGGCGCGCACACTAGCGAGACTAACTACCTACTGTGCCGCTCTATGTTTTAAAAGCTGAGCAGAGGACTCGTCGTAAGTCGTAGTTACTCAAAACATGTGTGTATGTTTCGCTTGAGTCCAGCAAACATTTAGGATTGGTCTCAGACCTAATAGTCCGCATTTCCTCTAACCCATCGATAAACTCTTTTCTGTTTGACTTTGTGTTTACGATTCACCGCAAAGCAGCTGCCATTTCTACTTTGATATCGCGTCAATAGTTTCGAATAACTTACCTCCATTTAACTGACGAACTTGATCCAACCAGTAAAACTAGCTAACAAAACGAAAAAACCTGCACTAGCCACTATAGCCAAATGTCCATGATAATGACAGTTTGATGAATGGTACATCATGATGCTAGAAATATGTACAGTATACTATTACAGCACAAAGGAAATGAAGTAAACCCCCAAATTAAAACGTATCGTGATAATTTTTCTTTTTAAATTAAATTAAAGAACAATACAAGAACATTTTTAGCCTAAAATCGGAAGGAAAAATAAGAACATTCAGCCTGGGCCCGGAAAACAACATTCTTGTAAAAAGAAACGATGTGTTTTAAACTGAATTCGAAGAAACTGGAGCTAATACGACTTACATCTTATTAGCTGCCCTAAAGTTATTAAAGGATAGCGTATTGTTCATTTTGAATAAATCTTCATAGTTTCCAAGTTGATTGTTTTTGTATTCGATTGCAGTTTAAGGCATAATATTGCTTTTTGCGACACGGTTGCTCATCAGATTGCCATGTCATGTATAAACAGGTATTCTGATCATTTGCAATTGATGAAAGTTTCCCACATATTAAGGAACTAGGGTGCCGTGTATTAACCGCCTCAGACTCTTTAGGTCGCGTGTGACCATGTAGTTTATCAAAGATATGTACAGGTCCGTTGCCGGATTGGCTTGCGACGTAAAAGTCCGTTTTTCCCTCAAGTCATCGCTCAACTGTGTTTGTTTGACTGTATATTTTTGATTCATTGAAAACCTACCGCCGATGCTAATTAAATTTTGCGTCAGTTACTGTAGTTTCATTTAACTTTCCTCCTTTTTGACTGACAAACTTCAACACTTACAAAGTTCGGCCTATCGCGTTTCGCTTAAAAGGAAAACATATTCAAATTACTGAGCGATGATGACGTCACATTTAAATTTTTTAAAAATTCCGTGTTCAGACAAGCACAGTTTTAATTTCAATTAGGGTGAGTTTGTATATTATAAGTACGAGTTGGAGACTTTTTTTACTATTGTCGCGGAAGACTGAACAGCACTCAGTTAAAAACCAATTGCGATCGGAGGAGGAAGAGAATCTGTGGAGAATATTCGGTAAGTCTCGTAAAGAATTATTTCCAGCATCAGTGTCTTCTTGCAGAGTTCCTCAAAAGTTCTACACAGCTGCTGAAACTTAAGACTGTCTAAAACGTTCTATTCAAGGTTAGTCTCATTCGAAAACGGATGATTCCTCCAAAGCAATGAAGTTCCTTTGCATTGTTATACTAGAAACTGAACACTGATCAGGGTCCTTTGCAAAAATGGCAAGTGCTAAAGGCGTGCATTTGACACTTGTTAATTGCGTCTTCAACGCTTTCTTGTGTTTAACCACCATCATGTTAAATATCATAACAATACAAGCGCTCAGAAAAACGTCGTCGTTGCCTAAGCCTTTTGAAACATTGCTTCTAAGCCTGGCTGTGTCTGATCTGGGTGAGGGCTTACTAGTCCAACCTCTGTACGTTGCAATTCTTGTGATGAACATAGAAGAGAACTCTAACAACACTGCTTATTATTCAGTATACAAAGCGTATTTAATCCAGAAAAAGTATTGGTCTTGGCTTCGCATCTTGAGGTTTTTGCATTAACGTTTGAGTTTGACTGTGTATTTACGATTCACTGCAAAGCAGCTGCCGTTTCTACTTTAATATTACGTCAAAATTTTCAAACAACTTTTTACCATTTGGCCGACAAACTTCAACTCTTACAAAGCATGACCTATCGCGTGTCGGTTAAAAGAAAAATGAACTCAAATTTCTGTGGTAAAACTAGTTAATAAAAAAATATCATGATAAATTCTTTCTTTTTTAAATATAATTATTTAGGAATAATACAAGAGTATTTTCAGCCTAAAATAGGCAGAAAAAAAGCAATATTCAGCCTAGGCCAGGAAAACAACATTGTTATCAGTAAAAAAGAAAGAGGGTGTATCAAACTGAAGAAACTGGAGTTAAAGTTAATAAAGGATAGTGTATTGTTTTTGACTACATTTTCATAGTTTCCAAGTCGATTGAACTTTAAGGCACATTTTGCTTTTTGCAACTCGATTACTCATCAAACTGTCCTGTCATGATACGTAAATATTCCGATCATTTGCGATTAAACTTTGACACATATTAAGGACCGGATTATCTATTAAGTAACTAGGCTACTGTGTCTTTGTTTTATGCGCGCCATATAAGTTTTTGTTATGGGTTAAAAGTTTTTTTCTTTATCCTCCGCACACTTTTGGGTCGCGCGTGACCACGTAGTTTATCAATGAAAAAATGTGTGCATGAGTCCAGGAAATACATTAGATCGGTTTGCGACTCAAAAGTCTGTTTTCTCCTCAAGGATCGCTAACTCTTTCTGTTTAACTGTGTATTTTGTGATTCATAGGAAACCAACTGCCGTTTCCATTTTAATAATGCGTCAGTAGTTCCAAACAACTTTCTTCCATTTGACTGACGAACAAAGCTATACCTATCGCATTTCAGTTAAAATGAAAATATATTCAAATTGCTGTATGATGATGTGATGAAAATACAACAAAACACTGAAAGCATTACTTATGTTACAGTACACAAAGCGTTTTTGACCCAGAAAAAAATATTGGTCTTAGCTTCGCATTTTGGTGTTATTTCATTAAGTGTTGACAGAATCTTGGCAATCCATCTTCATCTCAGATATCACTGAGGAGCTTGTGACTCACAAGCGTGTTGCTATCAGTTGTGTTCGACTTTGGATTCTTCTTTTATGTCACCAATCATGGTAGTTGTTTGTGTCATAAGTACAGGATTGCTTTATTGCAAAGTGTACGCAGCCGTAAGACACCACACAGGTACAAGTGGCACAGAATGGAGATATGGCAAACGCTGTAAGGCGAGTCAAAAAATCTACACTTGCTACATTTTACATATATGCGGTGTTTTTAGTTTGCTATTTGCCAATATCTTGTGTTGTTTTTGCCAAGACCAAAGGTGAAATTGCTTTGTTTTCTCATTTATGGTATTTCATATTGACTCGGTTTGTGTATCGACACAATACTTACAAAATCGCTGATAAGAGCGCGTCAGTACTAACTAACCAAATCCTTCATCCTTTCAAGCAATCGGCTAAAGCTATCCCTATGATCAAACACGTTTTAAAAATGACTGAAACTACCATGAGGTGAAATCGCATTTGAAAAGCGCTTCGTTTTCTATAGATAACGGCCAAACATCAAGATTATCCAGTTATTATCGTATTTCTAACCATAAAATCTCCATCCCAAAATGACCAAAATATCTCGCTAACGCACCCACAGATTTTACTTAAACTTAACGGACATCGATCGTAGCAGTTATTGGAGGAAAAAGTGGAGGAAAAAGCCCCCGTGAACGATTTTGGAAGAACAATTTCCAGTGCCGAGAAATACAGCTGCAAGTAAAGTACGTTATGGCGTCATTTTGTTGCTATGACAACTCCGATGTCATTGTAATCCTGATCATAACAAATTTTCAACTTTCAACACTTACAAAGCTCGGCCATTCGCGTTTCGTTTAAAATGAAAATAAATCCAGATTTTGGTGTAATGATGTTGTCATATTCAAATTCTTTTTATTTCAAATAAGTGGATATTTCGGATGTTATGAGTATGGGATACTGGGAACTTCTTGCGACTGTAAACTTTATTGACTCACTAATTTCAGTCTCATCCATAAAAGAAAACACTTGCAGAGCTCCTCAAAAGTTATACAGCTACAGACTGTAGCGTACTTGTACACGTAGGCAGGCAACATGCGTTGGCTGGTACCGTCGGAATCGCGCCATTCCGTTCACCAAAAATATTTGTTCATGACTGTGTGTCAGGAATGGTGTATTTAACTATTAAAAGGACAAAAACATTGTAGTTAATTTTTTTTGTGACTTCTGAGCAACGGAGTAGACGATGTTTTAACAAACACAGCTCTTAAAGGTCACTTAAATCAAGTCAACTTTATTCAGGCAGGGCAGCCCTATCAGCCATTGGCCGGTATCAAAAAGGGTCCCCCCGTACAGTCGTCGTGGGGGACTACTATATCGGGTTTTTCTTGTGGGCAGGTCTAAACTTTTTGCCATAGATTTTTGCAAAAAAGACTACTGAATAAATGAATAAATAAATAAATAACAAAAAACCTCGCCCAAAATAAAAAAATAAAATAAAAGAATCTATGTTTCCGCGATTCCTAAAAACACCTGTTTGGGCTCAATAAATTTTGATTGGACTTGATGTCAATATACTTGCATAATGATTCCTTTAATAAGTTTCTTTGTCCCAATTTATAGTTTGCAGCAGTTCTTGTCAGACCCTTTTTAGCCAGAATACTAAATAGGTTCTTTCCATTCTTTATATCATTATCACCTTTTTTCTGGCATTTATCATATCCTCAAAAACACCAATTGCGTCAGTATGCGTTACCATAAGCTTATTGATTGTTAAGCTCGATCTATCGTTCTTATCAAAAGAAAATTTTATTCAGATTTGAATGTGTTATTATGTGGCTACATTAACGTGTTTGAAATTTTTTGTTAAGGGAATTCTTGGTGTTCAGACGTCTTGATATGCAACACTGTCTAGTTAGTGGACAATTTCAAGATTACCAAAGTACGGAAGAGGACAAGCAAGGTCGCTCAGCCATGCGATAATTTAAGGAAGAATGTGAACCACATTCTGAACTATTGAAGACCGATCAGGTAACTTACCAAAGGCAAGAGTGTCTGCCTGTTAAAAGACGTCAACAGTTCTTTAAAGAACAGTCTATACAATGGCAGAAGAAGCTAAAGACGCGTTTTCAGCATCCTACAGAATGGCAGGAACTGGGGACTTTTATTCAACGCTCGTCGCCAACTGCTTCTTCAACGCTTTCTTGCTTTTCACAGCCTTGGTTTTAAACATCATAACAATACAAGCCCTAAGAAAAATATCATCGTTTCCAAAGCCTTTAAAAACATTACTCCTAAGTCTCGCTGTTTCTGATCTTGGTGTTGGTTTGCTTGTTCATCCTCTCAATATTGCACATCTTATAATGAACAAAGAACAGAGCGCTAACAGAAGACTCTATTATACGGTACACACAGCGCGGCGCCTTTTCAGCTATTTAATGTGTACTGCTTCATTCTTGGGCATCATTGCTTTAACTGTCGACAGATTCTTAGCTATTCATCTTCATCTCAGATACCAGGAACTTGTGACTCACAGGCGTGTTGTTACTGTAGTAATTTCAGTCTGGGTGTGCTGTTCATGTATTTCCTTATTTGCGTTAAACAGGGTTTTAGAAAACGTTCTGGTCATTATAACTGCAACTATTGGGGCAGTTTGTCTCACTACAACGGATTAATTTACTGCAAGATATACTCAATCGTACGTCACCACACAAATCAGATTCACGCCCTGCAATTGCAACCCGTAGGACAGAATCAGAATGGAGAATTGGCAAATACTGCAAGACTGAAAAAACTGCACTTGCTACATTTTACGTGTATGTGGTGTTTGTGATTTGTTTTTTGCCCTTCATATGCGTTAACGCAGCTTTTGAAATTTATGGTAAGTCCGAGTTGCGGTTGCATCTGCTTTATTATTCGACGACACTTGTGTATCTTAATTCATCTCTCAATCCTTTGGTCTACTGCTGGAAGATGCGAAACATTCGACAAGCTGTTATCAGTGTACTTCGCAATATCTTTCAAGGTCAGTAAAGTTCCATTCGAACCGCTTCGCCAATGAGACCCTTTGTGCCCCACAAAAAAAAATGGAAATTTCATATTACCAACATGAACTTTAACTAACAGATGAATAATGAATAATGATTTAGAGGTAGCACATTTACGTAGTGGTTCTTCGTCTACCATTCCTAGTCGAGTTGGAATTTAGATATGAGTACTCCGAGAAAAACCTCTCGGGGCAAAGGAAAGAACAACGTCAAACTGAAACCACATTTGGCGTCGACGGCGGGATTTGAACCTGGGCCACACTTGTGGAAGGCGAGTGCTTTCACCACTGCTTCACCCTTGCTCCCCAATCGTATTAGCCTCTGAATGATCGATCTAGTGCGGTTCACAAACACCCGTCAGAACATTTCCGGGGCTCTTGGTCGATCCCGGTTTTAGCAATTATGACACCCACGCACCAACAAAAACTGGTATAGTTAGAAGATTTTCAGTCCTCTGGTTGACATCAACCATCACAGATCAAATCATAAAGCGACCTGAAGAAAGCTAAAAGCAACAAGAATAGACGGCATTGGCGCGTGTATCGTCGGTTAAGAAACTGCGTGAACTATGCCATTAAGGCTTTCGAGCAACTTCTGAGCAACTTTCATTACAAAAAGCAACTTTTGATCGCTTTTTGAGTAACGTTTTGAGAAATTACGGAAAATGTTTTGGAAAATCTCGAGCAACTTGTGGAAAGCCCTATGTATATCTGCCCAGCCTGAAGTAAGGCCTTACTTTTCTAAGCGTGATTATTCATCGAATTGCTATGTTGTAATGGCGGGCTGATATTTAATGCCATAGTTAACTTTAGTTTCATAAACTTGGGAGATTATAAAGAGGGTGCCATAGTTCCCTTTGGTAACCTGCGATCAAGGCGTTCTCTTTACATATAGAACTGCCTGATCACACGCTACAGAAAATGTGTGACTAAGTAGAGCTAGTACTCTATAACTGATCTACTCTCGCTAACTGGCTTTAAGTGCATGAAGACCCCCGTTTTTTGTTTTCTTCTGCGGACATTTTCCTAGTTTCTATATGATCGTTTTTGATATGTTCGTAACTTTTCAGCGAGCAATTCACCAACTGGTAACTTGGTACTAAATATATAAGCATCATACACATCCGCAAAAAGGCGGGGAAATTGCCAAGGGTCCTCAGGCTGAAAAGTATGGAGGGAGGGGTAAGAGCGAGTTCAAACTGAGAAATTACGGGAAACGTTTTGGAAAATTCAGCTGAAAATTTCGAGCAACTTGTGGAAAGCCCTATGTATATCTGCTCAGCCTGAAGTAAGCCCTTACTATTCTAAGCGTGATTATTCATCGAATTGCTACGTAGTAATGGCGTGCTGATATTTAATGCCTTAGTTAACTTAAGTTTCATAAAGTTTAGGGATAAGAGGGTGAACACACAAAAGGACCGGTAACTTGGTACTAAATATATAGGGATCATACACATCCGCAAAAAGGCGGGGAAATTGCCCAGGGTCCTCAGGTTGAAAAGTATGGAGGGAGGGGTAAGAGCGAGTTCAAACCGATAAAGGATCATAATAACCTACTATGCGTAACAGAACAACAGCGTTAACAACAAAGAAATAAATACAAAATTAAGGAAAATCGTTACTTTTTCACGATTCTTAAGCTAAAAGAGATCCATGTATTCTTCTCTGTCTACGTATTGGTTTTCCATGTTAACTAGTTAAAAGGAAAAGTTTGTTCTCGTTTGTTTACTGTGCATTAATTTGCGAGCAATGATAAACTTTCTGTAATATTAAACTGAAGAAACTGGTATTAGAATGACCTAGGCTTTGTTTAGCAGCCTCTGATGAATTAATTACTACGAACTATCGAGTTTTAGTTATTAAATTAACAAAAGCATAGTAGATTGCTTTAACAGGCTTTCAATAAAATGGAATCATTAGTTTCCAAGTTGATTGTAGTTAAAGGCTTTTATTGTTTTTTTGCAACATGATCACAAGTAACAAAGCAACAGAGGTAACAAAGTAACAAGGTATCAAAAGTAATAAAGTAATAGAAGAAACAAAGTATCAAAGTAACAAGGTAATAGAAGTAACAAAGTAACAGAAGTGATAAGGTAATAGAAAAATAAAGCAGCAGAGATAACAGAACAACAGAGGCAATACATCAACACAGATAACAAAATAACTGAAGTAACAAAGTGATAGAGGCAACAAAGTAACTTAGATAACATGGTACGAGGTAGCAGAGGTAAGTGATCAACAGACCATCTGGCTCAAAGTGTAATTTGTAATATGCCAGGGGACAATCTGCGCATATGAACATGACGGAAATATCGTCCGGGACATTTTGCGAGGGCTTACATGATGCACTACCCCATAAACGCGGGACTACTACGGATATTTTAAACATTCTGATCATTTGCGACTTATTAAACTTTGTGAACGGTTTGAACCCAGGAGTCATTTCAAAAGTAGGTTGAGTTTGATCGTCCGGGTGAACGTGGTCCTGAATAGGACTGTTGTTGTTGACAGTGACTGACGTTTCGACAACCTGTGCAGTGGTCATCTTCAGAGTCAAGGTGAGTTGTATCACGTCAGTTGATGGTATTATACTCTGGTTATTGATCTGATTGGTCAATTACGTCGCGATGTTATTGGTCGTCTGTCAGTTAAGCTGTGATGTTATTGGCTCTGAAGACTCGTAATCAGTAATTGGTGCGTTTCGATCCGTCTAGTGTCATAGTTAAACAGTCGTCTATTGTTAGTCAAACTGTCGGTTCCCCAGTCGTTCTCAGTCTGACACATATGACAGCATTATTTGTTAAGTAACAAGAACACTCTTACAAGCGGCAACTCTCTCTTGCTTGGAGATTAGATAAGAAATGAGGAGGCGATTAACTCTACACGAAGCAGGATTTCTTCGCTAAAAGTTTTTCACTTCCCACTTTATCGACGGTCGAGTATTCTTCAGAATATTTACTTCTTACATCGTATTCGACGATGATTGAGTACTCTTGTACAAATACAAATCATTGCCAGAAAGTAAAAACGTGATGAATATGGCTCGTCATTTCAATCATCGCCGAAAATAAACCACATGCTCATAATCAAGACTCATTTTCATACAATGAAAGTTTGCAACGCCCGACTAGTTTATAGCCTCACCATCGACGTTTTCACTGAAGTGTTCACTTGTTCCAAAGTTATCAACGCTTCCAAGCGATCCTATAGAATTCGTGGACTGCCCCGTTCCGGAAAAACTCGACAACTCTGTGTCAATCTTTCCTAAGCTTTCTTCACAAAATAGAACATTGTGCTGTGACACGTAGCAATTCTTATCCCCAGTTTCCACGGCCTCCGCTAGTAACGCCTGGGACCATGATTCCCCTTTTGGCGAGCACACTAGCGAGACTAACTACCTACTGTGCCGGTCTATGTTTTAAAAGCTTAGCTAGTAAGTTTTTTTTTTATGGGGAACAAGTTTCTTCTCTCAACTCAGAAGACTCGTCGCAAGTCCTACTTACTCAAAACATGTGCGTTTGTTTCGCTTGAATCCAGCAAACATGTAGGATTGGTCTCATACCTAATAGTCCGCATTTCCTCTCAAACATCGCTAAACTCTTTTCTGTTTGACTTTGTGTATACTATTCACCGCAAACCAGCTGCCATTTCTACTTTGATATCGCGTCAATAGTTTCGAATAACTTACTTCCATTTGACTGACGAACTTAATCCATCTGGTAAAACTAGCCAACAAAACGAAAAAACCTGCACTAGCCACTATAGCCAAATGTTCATGCTAATGACAGTTTGATGAATGGTACATGATCATGTTAAACTTATCATTTGCAATTGATTAAACTTTACCACCGGGTGCTGTGTCTTAAACCGCCTCATACTGTTTAGATGGCGAGTGACCATTTAGTTTATCAAAAATATTTACAGGTCCGTTGCCGGATTGGTTTACGACGTAAAAGTCCGTTTTCCCCTCAAGTCATCGCTCAACTTTGTTTGTTTGACTGTATATTTTTGATTCATTGAAAACCTACCGCCGATCCTAATTTAATATTGCGTCAATTACTGTAGTTTCATTTAACTTTCTTCCTTTTTGACTGACGAACTACAACACTTACAAAGTTCGACCTATCGCGTTTCGCTTAAAAGAAAAATTTATATATAATTACTGTGTGATGATGACGCCACATTTAAATTTGAAATTCCATGTTCAGACAAGTACAGTTTTAATTTCAATTACGATCAGTTTGTATATTATAAGTACGAGTTAGGGACTTTTTACTATTGTCGCGGAAGACTCAACAGTACTCAGTTGGAAACCAATTGCCATCGGAGGTGGAAGGGAATCTCTGGAGAATATTCGGTAAGTCTCGCAAAGAATTATTTCCAGCATCAGTCCCTTCTTGCAGAGTTCCTCAAAAGTTCTGCGCAGCTGCTAAAACTTAAGACTGTATAAAACGTTCCATTCAATGTTGGAAGCTGAAGGTCATTCTCATTCGAAAACGGATGATTCCTCCAAAGCAATGAAGTTCCTCTCACAGATTTTACTTAAACTTAACGGACATCGATCGTAGCACTTATTGGAGGAAAAACAATAGGAAAAAGCCCCCGTCAACGATTTTGGAAGAAAAGTTCCCAGTGTCGAGAAATACAGCTGCAAGTAAGGTAGCTAATGGCGTCACGGTTGCTATGTTAACTCCGATGTCATTGTAATCCTGATCATAACAAATTTTCAACTTTCAACACTTACAAAGCTCGGCTATTCGCGTTTCGTTTAAAATGAAAATGAATCCAGATTTTGGTGTAATGATGTTGTCATATTCAAATTCTTTTTATTTCAAATAAGTGGATATTTCGGATGTTCTGAGTATGGGATACTGGGAACTTCTTGCGATTGTAAACTGTATTGACTCACGAATTTCAGCCTCATCCATAAAAGGAAACACTCGCAGAGCTCTTCAAAAGTTAAACAGCTACAGACTGTAGCGTACCTGTACACGTAGGCAGGCAACATGCGTTGGCTGGTACCGTCGGAGTCGCGCCATTCCGTTCACCAAAAATATTTGTTCATGACTGTGTGTCAGGAATGGTGTATTTAACTATTAAAAGGACAAAAAACATTGTAGTTAATTTTTTTTGTGACTTCTGAGCAACGGAGGAGACGATGTTTTAACAAACACAGCTCTTAAAGGTCACTCAAGTCAAGTCAACTTTATTCAGGCAGGGCAGCCCTATCAGCCATTGGCCGGTATCAAAAAGGGGTCCCCCGTACGGTCGTCGTGGAGGATTATATCGGGTTTTTATTGTCGGCGGGTGTAAGCTTTTTGCCATAGATTTTTGCAAAAATACTACATAATAAATAAACAAATAAATAAGTAACAAAAAGCCGTGCCCAAAATTAAAAAATAAAATAAAAGCATCTATGTTTCCGCGATTCCTAAAAACACCTGTCTGGGCTCAATAAATTTTGATTGGACTTGATGTCAATATATTTTCATAATGATGCTTTAATAAGTTTCTTTGTCCCAATTAATTTGCGACAGTTCTTGTCAGCCACTTTTTAGCCAGAATACTAAATAGGTTCTTTCTATTCTTTATATCATTATCACCTTTTTACTGGAATTTATCATATCCTCAAAAACTCCAATTGCGTCAGTATGCCTTACCTTAAGCTTATTAATTGTTAAGCTCAATCTATCATTCTTATAAAATTATTCAAATTTGAATGTGTTATTATGTGGCTACATTAACTTGTTTGAAATTTTTTGTTAAGGGAATTCTTGGTGTTCAAACGTCTTGATATTTAACACTGTCTAGTTAGTGGACAATTTCAAGATTACCAAAGTACGGAAGAGGACAAGCTAGGTCGCTCAGCCATGCGATAAGTTAAGGAAGAATGTGAACCACATTCTGAACTATTGAAGACCGATCAGGTAACTTACCAAAGGCAAGAGTGTCTGCCTGTCAAAAGACGTCAACAGTTCTTTAAAGGAACAGTCTATACAATGGGAGAAGAAGCTAAAGACGCGTTCTCAACATCCTACAGAATGGCAGGAACTGGAGACTTTTATTCAACGCTCGTCGCCAACTGCTTCTTCAACGCTTTCTTGCTTTTCACAGCCTTGGTTTTAAACATCATAACAATACAAGCCCTAAGAAAAATATCATCATTTCCAAAGCCTTTAAAAACATTACTCCTGAGTCTCGCTGTTTCTGATCTTGGTGTTGGTTTGCTTGTCCATCCTCTCTATATTGCACGTCTTATAATAAACATAGAACAGAGCGCTAACGAAAGACTCCATTATACGGTATAAACAGCGCAGCGCCTTTTTGGCTATTTACTGTGTGTTGCTTCACTCTTGGGTATCACTGCTTTAACTGTCGACAGATTCTTAGCTATTCATCTTCATCTCAGATACCAGGAACTTGTGACTCACAAGCGTGTTGTTGCTGTAGTAATTTCAGTTTGGGTGTAGTGTTAATGTTTTTCCTTATTTGCGTTGACCAGGGTTTTAGAAAAAACGTTCCAGACATTATAAATGGAACTATTGGGGCAGTTTGTCTCACTACAACGGGATTAATTTACTGCAAGATATACTCCATTGTACGTCACCACACAAATCAGATTCACGCCCTGCAATTGCAACCCGTAGGACAGAATCAGAGTGGAGGATTGGCAAATGCTGCAAGACTGAAAAAAACTGCACTTGCTACATTTTACGTGTATGTGGTGTTTGTGGTTTGTTTTTTGCCCTTCATATGCGTTAAAGCAGCCAATCTAATTTATGGTGAGTCCGAGTTGCGGTTGCATCTGCTTTATTATTCGACGACACTTGTGTATCTTAATTCCTCTCTCAATCCCTTGATCTACTGTTGGAAGATGAAACGCATTCGACAAACTGTTATGGACATACTTCGAAATGTCATTGCGATTGGTCGGCACTAAAGAAAGGATCTACCCAGAATAATTTTGCCTTTTACTCTCTGGTAAAAATAAAAGCTTTCAAGCAATACAATTGGAAAAAATGGCAATAAGTAAACGGGACCTGAAACCTTTGAAAGGCAAAGGGATAAGTATATGATCGAGTATAGGTTCATGAGATTTCGGTTTACTTTGGAATAACTTTTATTACAAATAATACGGAAACTCTTTTAATCAGGGTTTTTAATTTGTCGAGACCAAACATTACTGATAAGATCACTGCATTTGAAAGTTTCAGAATGGGATCTGAGAAAGAGCTCTCCTGACAGCGCAACCGATTAGAACAAATGATCGATAGCTAAATGACAGTATAATACTTTAAAATACCATAATAGAACCAGAAAGCAGATATAATATGGCTCCAGTATCACGCAAAGAGCTTCTTGCTCTGAGATTAAAAACTTAGAACCATAATGTTTGACGAAACAATTAAGTATTAAGGCCCAGGGTTGAACAGAAGTACACAGTTTCCTCATATCCCAGTTGAACGTCTTGCAAGCAACTCTCGGTACGTGCGTGAGAGTAATTTACAACAACGTTGAAACTTTTGTACGAGACCGTACTTAATGTTTCCATAGGCATTTATAAAGAGCGAGTCCAAAAACGTAATTATTGTAACCAATGATGTATAACAGAACAACAGCATTAACAACGTGAAAATGAAAAAAATAAATGACAAAATCTTATATTTTCCACTATTCTTAAACTAAAATGTGTCTTCTCCTACACATTGTTTTTCCTGTTCGGTGGTTACGAGCGCTCTTTCATAATCATGAAAGTTCCCCCACAATTTCTGTTTTAAGGGAGGGAGGGAAGAAACACAGACAGTTATTTTTTCACGCTTAAACTGAAGAGTATATTCTTTTCTTGTCTACGCATTCTTTTTCCTGTTTGAAGCTGATTAGGAGCGGTCGTCCATAATCATGACAGTTCTTCAACAATCTCTGGGGGAAACGGTATCCTCTTGTTTTTCTAGTACCCATTCAATTACGAGCAATTTATATTGAACTTTCATTATAATATTAAACTGAAGCCGAAACCGGAGTTAATATGACTTAAGTTTTGGTAGCTGCCTCGGATGAGTTAAATCAACACGAACTATTAGGCTAATAAGGCGTAACAACAACAACAACCATTTTATTCCACAAGAAAAAGTTTACAAATAATAAATTAAAGTAAACTGAAAAGGAAATATTCACACATCCAGCAGTTAGCTTAAGCTAATCGAGGCAGGAAGTGTTTCCGATACATCTTCAATGACATGAAATTTGAAACATAATTTCGAAGTTGATTGTAGTTTAGACTACATGGGATATTTTAAACATTCTGATCATTTATTTGAAACTGATTAAACTTCAGTTTGACATGCAAGACCCGATGATTTGTTAAGTAACTACCTACTGTGTCTGTTGTCTGTTTTTTTTTTTTTAAGGGTGGTAAGTCTTTTCTCTCACCCTCCGACTCGTCTTAGATCAGTAGATAGTTTTTGCTTGGGTCAAGCAAAAACGTTGGATTATTCTCCAAATTAATGGTCCGCAATCCTCTAAACCATTGCTAAACTCTTTCTGTTTGACTGTGTATTTACGATTCACTGTAAACCAGCTGCCGTTTCTACTTTAATATTGCGGCAGCAGTTTCAAATAACTTTCTACCATTTGACTGACAAACTTCAACTCTTACAAAGCTCGACCCATCGCGTTTCGGTTAAAAGGAAAATGAACTCAAATTTCTGTGGCAAAAATAGTCATTAAAAAAATGTCATGATAAATTATTTCTTTTTTAAAGATAATTATTTAGGAATAATACAAGAGTATTTTCAGCCTAAAATAGGAAGAAAAAAATAGGAATATTCAGCCTGGGCCAGGAAAACAACATTATTATAAAAAAGAAAGAGGGTGTACCAAACTGAAGAAGACTTACCTCTTATTAGCTGCCTTAAAGTTGATTAAAAAGATAGTGTATGGTTTTTGAATACATTTTTATAGTTTCCAAGTTGATTGAAGTTTAAGGCATATTTTGCTTTTTGCAACATGAGTACTCATCGAGCTATGCTTTATGATATGTAAATACTCTGATCATTTGCGATTAAACTTTGACACATATTAAGGACCGGATGATCTATTAAATAACTAGGCTACTGTGTCTTTGTTTTAAGCGCGCCGTAAGTTTTTGTCGCGCGTGACCATGTAGTTTATCAATGTAAAAATGTGTGCATGAGTCCAGGAAATACAATGGATTGGTTTGCGAATTAAAAGTCTGTTTTCTCCTCAAGGATCGTTAACTCTATTCTGTTTAACTGTCTATTTTGCGATTAATAGCAAACCAACTGCCGTTTCCATTTTAATAATGCGTCAGTAGTTTCAAACAACTTTCTTCCATTTGACTGACGAACAAAGCTCTACCTATCGCATTTAAGTTAAAATAAAAATATATTCAAATTGCTCTATGATGATGAGGACGTCACATTTAAATTTTAAATTCCAGGTTCAGACAAGCACAGTTTTAATTTCAATTAAGGCCAGTTTGTATATTATATATAAGTAAGAGTTAGGGACTTTTTTCACTATTGTCGCGGAAGACTCAACAGTACTCAGTTAAAAACCAATTGCCATCGGAGGAGGAAGAGAATTTCTGGAGAATATTCGGTAAGTCTCGTAAAGAATTATTTCCAGCATCAGTCTCTTCTTTGAGTTCCTCAAACGTTCTACACAGCTGCTAAAACTTAAGACTGTATAAAACGTTCCATTCTATGGCGGAAGCTGAAGGTCAGTCTCATTCGAAAACGGATGAATCCTCCAAAGCAATGAAGTTCCTTTGCATTGTTATACTTGAAACTGAACACTGATCAGGGTCCTTTGCAAAAGATGGCAAGTGCTAAAGGCGTGCATTTGACACTTGTTAACTGCGTCTTCGACGTTCCTCAAAAGTTCTACACAGCTGCTAAAACTTAAGACTGTATAAAACGTTCCATTCTATGGCGGAAGCTGAAGGTCAGTCTCATTCGAAAACGGATGAATCCTCCAAAGCAATGAAGTTCCTCTCACAGATTTTACTTAAACTTAACGGACATCGATCGTAGCACTTATTGGAGGAAAAACAGGAGGAAAAAGCCCCCGTAAACGATTTTGGAAGAAAAGTTCCGAGTGCCGAGAAATACAGCTGCAAGTAAAGTAGCTAATGACGTCATTTTGTTGCTATGACAACTCCGATGTCATTGTAATCCTGATCATAACAAATTTTCAACTTTCAACACTTACAAAGCTCGGCCATTCGCGTTTCGTTTAAAACTAGGTATACCTAGCGATAGAGTGCCAACGAGCAAATCATGCCTATTTTGCTTAGGAATAAAATTCCTTTTTTTTCCTATTTGACTGTTTCTTGGTCCTTTCCTGTTGCAAGGATTATTTTCTTGAAAAGTTCTCAGATTCAGTCTGGTGGCTTTACAAACCTGCTATGTAAAAGTGTGAAGTGCCTTGAAAGAATAAAGTCAGCTTTGCAGAGGAAGCGATCGGGAGTATTATTAAGTCCAGCTACAAATCTACTGTCGGTTCGGTTTCACATTGTTGATAAATATTTGCACAGTTTAATCATTTAAACCTCCTTTCAAATTTCCCGAGGCTTTTTGTTATCGAATTGAAACTTAGAATGATTCGCTGGGCCATCTGAAATGTTTCCAAGGACATGCGATGTACGGCACGTCGGTATTTAATTTTAGTTCATTATTTTTATACTGAACTCGGCCAGGTTTCGAAAAAAATTGCGTTGTTTTCTTTACCTTTGTCGTTCGCTTTAGGCTTGTAACTCGTTTTTGTTCTCATTGCTTTTGTTTGCTGGTTAGATTTTTTCCCCAACACCAGATTTTCCAACAGAAGCGACTGCATTCTTCGTGTCAAGCTTTCCTTATCTCCTCGTGTAATCTGATCCTTTTTAGTGGTGAGAATATTGCTTGCTGCACATAGAACACTTTTGCTGTTTTACAAACTTCTCTTCGTTAAAACTTAAAATTATGGCCCCTAAAATTAATAGAATATATCAAGTGCTCATGTCTCTTGACTGCCGTGGCCGGGTTTGACGAAAAAATTTAGGTAAATAAACACAGGAAGTCGCGACGGCGGGAAGTGTGTGAAATTTTGTTTGTAATTCAACTTGAGCCCGTGCGCCAGGTACCGCCTTTTGATTGGTTCACAACTGACCACTTGGTCTCAGGGGAATCTACATTACATTAGGTTACACTTTTTTCAGCTCGATCGAGAATTTTTCTGCCTATTGCCCAGTCTTGCGCGGCTCTATTCTGCTGCCGCCTCGCCATCCGAGCGTCTTCGCTCGGATGGCTCGTTGGCAATGAAAATAAATCCAGATTTTGGTGTAATGATGTCATATTCAAATTCTTTCTATTTCAAATAAGTGGATATATCGGATGTTATGAGTATGGATACTGGGAACTTCTTGCGATTGTAAACTTTATTGACTCACTAAATTTCAGTCTCATCCATAAAAGAAAACACTCGCAGAGCTCTTCAAAAGTTATACAGCTACAGACTGTAGCGTACCCGTACACGTAGGCAGGCAACATGCGTTGCATGGCTGGTATCGTCGGAGTCGCGCCATTCCGTTCACCAAAATATTTGTTAATGACTGTGTGTCAGGAATGGTGTATTTAACTATTGAAAGGACAAAAAACATTGTAGTTAATTTTTTTTTGTGACTTCTGAGCAACGGAGGAGACGACGTTTTAACAAACACAGCTCTTAAAGGTCACTCAAATCAAGTCAACTTTATTCAGGCAGGGCAGCCCTATCAGCCATTGGCTGGTATCAAAAAGGCCCCCCCCGTACAGTCGTCGTGGGGGATTATATCGGGTTTTTATTGTCGGCGGGTCTAAGCTTTTTGCCATAGATTTTTGCAAAAAATACTACATAATAAATGAATAAATAAATAAATAAATAAATAAATAACAAAAAACCTCGTCCAAAATAAAAAAATAAAATAAAAGAATCTATGTTTCCGCGATTCCTAAAAACACCTGTTTGGGCTCAATAAATTTTGATTGGACTTGATGTCAATATATTTGCATAATGATGCCTTTAATAAGTTTCTTTGTCCCAATTAGTTTGCAACAGTTCTTGTCAGCCACTTTTTAGCCAGAATACTAAATAGGTTCTTTCTATTCTTTATATTATTATCACCTTTTTTCTGGCATTTATCATATCCTCAAAACACCAATTGCGTCAGTATACCTTACCTCAAGCTTATTAATTGTTAAGCTCGATCTATCATTCTTATCAAAAGAAAATTTTATTCAAATTTGAATGTGTTATTATGTGGCTACATTACCTTGTTTGAAATTTTTTGTTAAGGGAATTCTTGGTGTTCAAACGTCTTGGTATTTAACACTGTCTAGTTAGTGGACAATTTCAAGATTACCAAAGTACGAAAGAGGACAAGCAAGGTCGCTTAGCCATGCGATAATTTAAGGAAGAATGTGAACCACATTTTGAACTATTGGAGACCAATCAGGTAACTTACCAAAGGCAAGAGCCTGTCAAAAGACGTCAACAGTTCTTTAAAGGAACAGTCTGTACAACGGCAGAAGAAGCTAAAGACGCGTTTTGAACATCTCACAGAATGGCAGGAATTAAAGGCTTTTTTTCAACCCTCGTCGCCAACTGCTTCTTCAACGCCTTCTTGCTTTTCACAGCCACGGTTTTAAACATCATAACAATACAAGCCCTAAGAAAAATATCATCGTTTCCAAAGCCGTTAAAAACATTGCTCCTAAGTCTCGCTGTTTCTGATCTTGGTGTTGGTTTGCTTGCCCAACCTCTCTATATTGTGCGTCTCGTAATGGACATGGAACAGAACACTAACAATAGAATTTATAATATGGTATCCAAAGCAAACCTTATTTCTGCCTATTTACTGTGTGCTGCTTCATTCTTCGGCATTATTGCTTTAACTGTCGACAGATTCTTAGCCATTCATCTTCATCTCAGATACCAGGAACTTGTGACTCACAAGCGTGTTGTTACTGTAGTAATTTCAGTCTGGGTGTGGTGTTCATGTTTATCCTTATTTGTGTTGAACAGGGTTTTAGAAAACGTTCTAGACATTATACATGCAACTATTGGGGCAGTTAGTCTCACTATTAATTTACTGCAAGATATACTCAATCGTACGTCACCACACAAATCAGATTCACGCCCTGCAATTGCAACCCGTAGGACAGAATCAGAATGGAGAATTGGCAAATGCTGCAAGACTGAAAAAAACTGCACTTGCTACATTTTACGTGTATGTGGTGTTTGTGGTTTGTTTTTTGCCTTTCATATGCGTTAAAGCAGCTTATCAAATTTATGGTGAGTTCGAGTTGCGGTTGTATCTATTTTATTATTCGTTGACACTCGTGCATCTTAATTCATCTCTCAATCCTTTGGTCTACTGCTGGAAGATGCGAAACATTCGACAAGCTGTGATCAGTGTACTTCGCAATATCTTTCAAGGCCAGTAAAGCTCCATTCAAACCGCTTCGACGATGAGACTATTACCCTTTGTGCCCCACAAAAAAAATAGAAATTTCATATTACTAACATGAATTTCAACCAACAGATGAATAATGAATAATGATTTAGAGGTAGTACATTCACGTAGTGGTTCTTAGTCTACCATTCCTAGTCGAGTTGGAATTTAGAATTGAGTAGTCCGAGAAAAACCTCTCGGGGCAAAGGAAAGAACAACGTCAAACTCAAACCACATTTGGTGTCGACGGAGGAATTTGAACCTGGGCCACACTGGTGGAAGGCGAGTGCTCTCACCACTGCTTCACCCTTGCTCTCGAATCGTATTAGTCGCTGAATTATCGATCTTGTGCGGTTCACAAACACCCGTCAGGACATTTCCGGGGCTCTTGTTCGATCCTGGTCTTAGCAATCATGACGTCCACGCACCAACAAAAACTGGTATAGTTAGAAGATTTTCAGTCCTCTGGTTGACATCAACCAGCACAGATCAAATCATGAGGCGACCTGAAGAAAGCTAAAAGCAACAAAAGTAGACGGCATTGGCGCGTATATCTTCAGTTAAGAAACTGCGTGAACTGTGCTATTAAGGCTTTCGAGCAACTTCTGAGCAACTTTCATTACAAAAAGCAACTTTTGATTGTTTTTTGAGCAACGTTTTGAGAAATTACTGGAAACGTTTTGGAAAATCTCGAGCAACTTGTGAAAAGCCCTATGTATATCTGCCCAGCCTGAAGTAAGCCCTTACTTTTCTAAGCGTGATTATTCATCGAATTGCTATGTAGTAATGGTGGGCTGATATTTAATGCCTTAGTTAACTTAAGTTTCATTATAAACTTGGGAGATAAGAGGGTGAACACACAAAAGCACTGGTAACTTGGTACTAAATATTACTAAATATATAGGCATCATACACATCCGCAAAAAGGCGGGAAATTGCCCAGGGTCCTCAGGTTGAAAAGTATGGAGGGAGGGGTAAGAGCGAGTTCAAACTGATAAAGGATCATAATAACCTACTATGCGTAACAGAACAATTGCGTTAACAACAAAGAAATAAATACAAAATTAAGGAAAATCGTTACTTTTTCACGATTCTTAAGCTAAAAGAGATCCATGTATTCTTCACTGCCTACATATTGGTTTTCTATGTTAACTAGTTAAAAGGAAAAGTTTGTTCTTGCTTATTTACTACGCATTAATTCGTGAGCAATGATAAACGTTCTGTAATATTAAACTGAAGAAACTGGTATTAGTATGACTTAGGCTTTGTTTAGCAGTATCGAGTTTTAGTTACGAAATAAATAAAAGCATAGTATGTTGCTTTTAACAGGCTTTCAATGAAATGGAATCATTAGTTTCCAAGTTGATTGTAGTTAAAGGCTTTTATTGCTTTTTTGCAACATGATCACCTATCGAATTGTCACGTCATGATGGCTGGTCTCATAAAGTTGGGACTACAAGGGATATTTTAAACATTTTGATCATTTGCAACTTATTAAAGTTTGACGCATATGACAGCATGATTTGTTAAGTAACAAGAACGCTCTTAAAAGCAACAACTCTTGCTTGCTTGGAGATTAGATAAGAAATGAGGAGGCGATTAATTCTACACGAAGCAGGATTTCTTCGTTAAAAGTTTTTCACTTCCCACTTTATCGACGGTCGAGTATTCTTCAGATATTTACTTCTTACATCGTATTCGACGATGATTGAGTACGGGTGTACAAATGCGAATCATTGCCAGAAAGTAAAAACGTGATGAATATGGCGCGTCATTTCAATCATCGCCGAAAACAAACCGCATGCTCATCACAGGACTCATTTTCATACAATGAAAGTTTTCGACACCTGACCAGTTTATAGCCTCGCCATCGAAGTTTTCACTGAAGTATTCACTTGTTCCAAAGTTATCAACGCTTTCAAGCGATCCGATAGAATTCGTGGACCGACACGTTCCAGAAAAGCTCGCCAACTCTGCGTCAATCTTTCATAAGATTTCTTCAAAAAATAGAACATAGTGCTGTGACACGTAGCAATTCTTATTCCCACTTTCTACGATCTCCGCTAGTAACGCCTTGGACCCTGATTCCCCTTTTGGCGCGCACACTAGCGAGACTAACTACCTACTGTGCCGGTCTATGTTTTGAAAGCTTAGCTAGTAAATTTTTTTATGAGGAACAAGTTCCTTCTCTCAACTCAGAAGACTCGTCGTAAGTCGTAGTTACTCGAAACATGTGCGTATGTTTCGCCTGAGTCCAGAAAACATGTAGGATTGGTCTCAGACCTATTAGTAAAATCCAGCTAATGGTCTGTTATCAATGCTGCATTCTGATTGGTTGAGCTACTACTAGGCTATATGTTATAGCCCACTAGTAGGGCAAAGCACCGGCTTTTTGGCGGCAAAAAAGGTTTAAAGTCTAGCTTTAACTAGCTAAAGTTGTTTTGTCTCGATATTTTTGACCAACTAGTTGGATTTTACTGAAACAATTATTCCTCGAGCCCTTATGGCCTCTAAGTCAATAGCCCATGAGGCCGAAGGCCAAATGGGCTATTCACTCAGAGCCCATTCAGGCTCGAGGAATAATTGTTAAATAGTCCGCATTTCCTCTAAACCATCGCTAAACTCTTTTCTGTTTGACTTTGTGTTTACGATTCACCGCAAACCAGCTGCCATTTCTACTTTGATATCGCGTCAATAGTTTCGAATAACTACTTCCATTTGACTGACGAACTTAATCCAACTGGTAAAACTAGCCAACAAAACGAAAAAACCTGCACTAGCCACTATAGCCAAATGTTGATGCTAATGACAGTTTGATGAATGGTACATCATGATGTTAAACTTATGTACAGTATACAGCACAAAGGAAATGAAATAAACCCCAAAGTTAAAAAGTATCATGATAATTTTTTTCTTTTTAAATTAAATTAAAGAATAATACAAGAATATTTTCAGCATGAAATCGGCAGGAAAAATAAGAATATGGGTTAAGAGTTTTTTTTCTCTTTATCCTCTTCACACTTTTTGGGTCGCGCGTGACCACGTAGTTTATCAATGAAAAAATGCGTGCATGAGTCCAGGAAATACATTGGATTCGTTTGCGACTTAAAAGTCTGTTTTCTCCTCAAGCATCGCTAACTCTTTCTGTTTAACTGTGTATTTTGCAATTCATAGCAAACCAACTGCCGTTGCCATTTTAATAATGCGTCAGTAGTTTCAAACAACTTTCTTCCATTTGACTGACGAACAAAGCTCTACCTATCGCATTTCAGTTAAAATGAAAATACATTCAAATTGCTGTATGATGATGAGGACGTCACATTTAAATTTAAAATTCCGGCACAGACATGCACAGTTTTAATTTCAAGTATTCAGGTGAGAGTTTGGATCTTATGAACACGACGTAGGGACTTTTTTCGATTGTGGCGGAAGACATAACAGTAGTCAGTTCAAACCAATTACCATCGGAGGAGGAAGAGAATCTCCGGCCAGAGAAACTTGCAGAGTTCCTCAAAAGTTCTACACAGCTGCTGAAACTTACATAAATTTAGTTATTAAAATATGAAGCATATGATAGAAACTGAACACTGATCAGGGTTATGTAGTAAAAAAAAGATCGCAAGTGCTAAAGGCTTGCTTTTGACACTTGTTGTTAACTGCGTCTTCAACGCTTTCTTTTCTTTGACCACCATCGTGTTAAACATTTTAACAATACAAGCGCTCAGAAAAACGCCGTCGTTGCCGAAAACTTTGAAAACATTGCTTCTAAGTCTGGCTGTGTCTGATCTGGTTGTGGGCTTACTAGTCCAACTACTGTACGTTGCAATTCTTGTGATGAACATACAACAAAACACTGAAAGCATTGCTTATGTTACAGTATACAAAGGGTTTTTGATCCAGAAAAAAATATCGGTCTTAGCTTCGCATTTTGGTGTTATTTCATTAACGGTTGACAGAATCTTGGCAATCCATCTTCATCTCAGAAACCAGGAGCTTGTGACTCACAAGCGTGTTGTTGTCAGTTGTGTTCGACTTTGGATTCTTCTTTGATACCACCAATCATTGTAGTTGTTTGTGTCATAAGTACAGGATTGCTTTAATGCAAAGTATACGCAGCCGTAAGACACCACACAGGTACAAGTAGCACAGAATGGAGATATGGCAAACGCTGTAAGGGTCAAAAAATCTACACTTGCTACATTCTACGTTTATGTGGTGTTTTTAGTTGTTTAATTGTTAATATGTTGTGTTGTTTTTGCCAAGACCCATAGGCGTACGGGCCGGGGGGGCGAGGGGGGCTGCAGCCCCCCCAAATTTTGGGCAACTCATATTTTTTGGGCAGCGAGAGAAAAATTGGGCAAAGCCAGTTTTTTAACACGTTTCTGTGTTTTTTAAATCATTATTTTGAAGAGATAAATATTGTCTATTTTAACCTGAAGTTGGCGTAATAATCCAGTACTGTTACATTCACACGAGGCAGTGGTTGCCTAGCACGTAATGAGTTTCTGGTTATAAGGGAAGGGTATCATGTGCTGTTTTTTTTTTATTGTTGGGTACTGTACTGCAATGGGCTATTTCCAGTCGTGAATTGATTAGAATAAACTTCCGCCTAACTTTCTAGAATCATCTCCACTCGTAGAACAGTGTATGGCAGATAGCATCAGCAATGGGTCTGAAAGTGAAGAAGTGGCTGACTAATTCTCAGTTTGAATTACGCGAAGAATCGTATTTTTTTAACAAAAAAATCTATCGAGTGGTTTAAGGATTTTTCACTAATTTGTTAAAGTAGACCGAAATGTTCACAAAACCGCTAACAAGAGCGCCATGATACATACTAAATACTCAAATCCTTTTTTGGCCAGAGCTATCTCCATTATCTTTTACCCACGTTTTTAAAAAGATTGAAACTACTATGAGGTGAAATTGCATGTCAAAAGCGCTTCGTTTTCTACAGATAACGGCCAAACATCAAGATTTTCCTTTTTTACCGTATTTCTAACGATAGAAACTTTATCCCAAAATATCTCCGCAACGCTCTTACAGATTCCGTTTTAACTTCACGAACATCGAGGCGACTATTGGAGGAAAATGCTTCCGTGAACGATTTTGGAAGAACAGTTCCCAGTGAGAAATGTTGCTGCAAGTATAATAGGTACTGGCATCATTTGGTTGCTATGACAACTCCGATGTTATAGCAACCCGGATCACAACAAATTTTCATCTTTATCTAATGCGACTGTGGTGGCAATTTTTCCAAATGTTTGTTTATGGTGTCGTAGTCTATGCTAAAAAAACTTCACAAGTATTGACCCTGAAAAACTGTATCGAGCCACTTTCATATGCTAGTACGACCTATGTTGTTGCATCGTATGGCCCTCGTTTCTGTTCGACTGTTTTGTAAAAATTTGGGCAACTTGCAAGAATTTTTTGGGCAAATAGTTTACCGCCCCCCCTGACAAAAAATTGCCCGTACGCCTATGCCAAGACCATTGGTGAAACTGTCTTGTTATCTCATTTATGGTGTTTCAAATTAACTCTTGTGTATCTCAATTCATCCCTCAATCCTTGATCTACTGTTGGAAGATGAGACACATTCGGCAATTAAGCAATAGAAAACGCATTGAAGGGCGCTCAGAAAGTCTTAACGCTCACCTAACACCTGCAGCAGTCTCAAGTATGGATACTGATGGAGCTGTTGCCTCCGGTCTCCACCGACTCCACTATTTCCGCTTTGAACTCTTTTTATGTAAGCATCGTTAAAAACCTCGCCAAAAACTTCCTTGATGTATCACTATCTGCTCCGCCTGAAGTAAGCCCTTACTTTTCTAAGTTAGATTATTCATCGAACTGCTATGTAGTAATGGCTGATCATTAATACCTTAGTAAACTTTGGTTTTATAAACTTGTGATATAAGACTGAGGTGAACACACGAAAGCACTGGTCACTCGGTAAATAATTACGCATCATGCACTTGCGCAAATAGGCGAGGAAATTGCCAGGTGTCCTCAGGCTGAAAAGTAAGGGGGGAGGGGTAAGAGCAAGTTCAAACTGATAAAGAATCAGAAAACCATAAATGCATAACAGAACAACAGCGTTATGTTGTGAAGTATTTTGAAAGTTATTTTTAAGACGGATCTATCTCCCGGGGGAGGGACTCCGCATATGAAAGGGGTGGGGATGCTCGTCGTCTCGCTTAGGGGTGTAAATTTCGGATTTTGGTCTCATTTATGGTGTTCTGGGCAAAACGCCATCATATTTAGCCGTGAAGGTCTGGTTTAGTGTTGCACGTGAAAAAAATGTAAAAATATATATATTGTCTGTGTTTTAACATGGTCTCTTTAAGGGGTCAAAAAAAGCTTGGACCACGCCCAGATCGGTCTTCCTTTAGGGGTTTAATTCAAAATTTCCGACGAGCATCCCCACCCCTTTCATATGGGGAGTCCCCCCGGTAGATCTTATCTTTTAAGTTTAGTTTTTGTTTTATTAAGTCTTGTTTTGTCCACGTACTGTTTTCCTGTTTTGATCTTTTGTTTTTACTTGTACATGAATTTATGCTTAAGTTCGCAGATTTACTTATTGCCATATTAGGAATGTTATTAGCTTGGCATTGTCAGATGTAAGTTTTTTACAGGTGATCTTGTTTCTGGTGTTAGAGCTGACCTTGGTTCTTTGGTACTTGTAAGTTGCGGCTGTAAACCTGTTGCAAAGTTAGCGATAAGATATTGAGTTATACTGAAGGTCTCCCGGTCAGCTAACCCAAACATATCCAGCTTTGGCTATAAAAACCGCTACTATACTTGAACTAGTAAGTAGAGAAGAGTAGAAATGTAGGAAAGAGTCTGAAGAGTAGGAAGATTGTTAGCAGAAGTCAAAGAAGAATAAAGGCCAAGATGTAAATCAGATTCCTGGTACCACATTGTGTAAGCGAGCGAGTTGAAATAAACAAAAAATTAAGGAAAAATCGCTACTTTTTCACGATTCTTAAACTGTAAAAGAGATATTCTTCTCTTGCCTACAAATTGGTTTTCCTGTTAGCTGGTTGGAATTACCACGAACTATAACGTTATTAAGTTAATAAAAGCATAGTAAAATGACATTGAAAAATAGTTTCCCAGTTGATTGTGGTGTTGTAGTTAAAGGCATTTTTTACTTTTGTAACATGATTACTTATCGAAGTAATTGCCACGTCGTGATGGCTGGTTTCATAAAGTTGGGACCAAAAGGGATATTTTAAACATTCTGATCATTTGCAATTGATTAAACTTTGACACATATGACAGCATGATTTGTCAAGTAACCACCTCCTGTATCTTTGTTTTAAAACCTTAGCTAGTAAGTTTTTTTTTTTTTTTTTTTTTTTTTTTAGGGGGGACAAGTTCCTTCTCTCAACTCGAAAGACTCGTCGTTGTCTAGCCAGGGTCTAGCTAACATTAGGATTGGCCTCAGACCTAATAGTCCGCATTTCCTCTAAACCATCGCTAAACTCTTTTCTGTTTGACTGTGTATTTACGATTCATTGAAAGCCAGCTGCCCTTTCTACTTTGATATCGCGTCAGTAGTTTCATAGAGTACGAGTAGTTCCCATTTTTCCTCAGGGATAGTAGAGCGAGCGAAACGCGAGCGCGCGTTAAAATCACCCCACGCGAGAAAGGTGAGACACGGCGGTGAGAGAGAAAAGTTCTCATTGTTCGATCAGTGTTCGATCCTGGTCTTAGTAATCATGTGGCTCACGCACCAGCTAAAACTCGTATAGTTAGAGGATTTTCAGTCCCCTGGATGACATCAACCATCGCATATCAAATCTGAAAGCTTGATTATAATCTGAAGAAAGCTAAAAGCAACCAGAATAGACGGCATTGGTGCATGCATCTGAATCAAAAAAGGTTGCTTTGGTAATTAGTAATTGGTAATTGGGCATTGGGCTTATGGAACAATGCAATGGTTTACTTGAGTGACCACCAAACAAAAACTTTCCAATGCGCAATTCTCAATGCCCAAAGCAACCTTTATCGAATCAGCTATATATCGTCACTAAGAATTAGGAAACCGCATTAGTCGTGCCATTAAGAAGGCTATATCGTTACTAATCAGATTCAAGAAAGTCAAGAACTTGCATTGACAAGCACTTTTGAGCCCGCTCAGAAAGGCTTTAAGCTCATTAAGCCCTCTTAGAGTATCGCAAGTATTGATAAAGAGTAATTTCTGAAGGTAAATGTTAGGCACTGATGGAGCTGTTGCCCGGTCTCCGCCGCTACCGCTTTAAACTCCTTTTACGTAAGCATCGTTAGAAAACTCGCTCAAGACCTCCTTAATGTATCTCTATCTGATCAGCCCTTACTGTTCTCAGCGTGAATATTCATCGAACTGCTACTATGTAGTAATGGCTGATCATTAATGCCTTAGTTAACTTTGGTTTCATAAACTTTTGAGATAAGAAAGTGAACACTTAAAAGCATTGGTAACTTGGTAAATAAATGGGGATCATGCACATTCGAAAACAGGCAAGGAAATTGTGAAGTGTTCTCAGGTTGAGAGGGTAGTGGTAAGAGCGAGTTCAAACAGACGAAGAATCATAATAACCTACAATGCGTAACAGAACAACGGCGTTAACAACAAAGAAGGAAATAAAAAATTAAGGAAAAATCGGTACTATATCACGATTCTTAAACTAAAAGCCGAAGATATTCTCCTCTTTCCTACGAATTGGTTTCCCTGTTGAAAGGAAAAGTATGCTCTTATTTATTTACTACGCATTAATTTGCGCACAATGATAAACCTTCTTTAATATCAGTGGAGAAACTAGAGTTAATATGAATTAGGTTTTGTTTAACTCTAATGAATTAATTACCAAAATTTAAACCCCAAAATTAAAAAGTATCATGATAAGTTTTTTCTTTTTAAATACAATTAAAGAATAATACGAACATATTTTCGGCCTAAAATCGGCAGAAAAAAAATAAGAATATTCAGCCTGGGCCGGGAAAACAGTATTCTTGTAAAAAAGAATGGGTGTGTTTTAAACTGAAGAAACTGAAGCAAATACGACTTAATCTTATTAGCTGGTAACTACACCAACTACAGCAACTACACCAACTACACTAACTAGAGCAACTACACCAACTACAGTTACTACACCAACTACAGTAACTACAGTTACTACAACAACTACAATAACTACAGCAACCACACTAACTACACCAACTACGGTTATTACACCAACTTCAGCAACCGACAGCAACTTCACCAACTACACGGACTACATCAACTACACCACCTTTACGAGCTACAGCAACTACAGCAACTGTAGTGGGCTAAGTGGGCATGGAAAAATAAGGTCCAAAGTAACTAAGTGCACAAGCATGTTGGAATGTCTGGTAGAAGATTTCCCCTCAGTAGAAACCTCACCTCTTTTCTGACATATCTTCTTGATAATTGCCAATTTATTCAAAAGTGTAAACAACAAAGATCAGTAGTTCTTATGACTGCAAAACGTATAAGGAGCGTCTTAAATTTTAAGCAAGAGAAAAGACCTTATATACAGAACCTTAAGAAAACCAGCAGAGAGAATCAAGCAGTGATAAGGGAGGGTGGGATGGGATTTTGTTCCACGAAGAGAAGAATATGAAGTGCTATTTTGCTGAGCTAGGCGCGAAAATATAAGCATCAACTGTTCAAGTGATGGCTGGCATCTGATTGGCTGAGCGAAACAATTAGTGTGACATGCAGGAAGTAACCCCTGAAAGGAAGTGGGCTGGTTCCATTACTGGTAAAGACGGGTTTATGGTTATCACATCAACTTTAATTTATCCTGTTGTATAAATTAGTTGAAAATACAAAATTGTAATTTTTCCAGGATTCTTAAACTAAAATGTGTTTTCTCCCACACATTGTTTTTCCTGTTCGGTGGCTACGACACTCTTTCATAATCATGAAAGTTCCCCCACAATTTCTGTTTCAAGGGAGGGAGGAAAAGTATGCTCTTGTCATTTAGAAACTTTTAACCGCAAAGAAAAACACAATACATACACACTTAAGTTTATTTTTTTTGGTCCACAATGTAAACTTCTGGGTCCACCTGAGTAAATGTGACTTTGACACACAAGACAGCATGATTTGTTAACTACCTACCTATTAACATCCAAGCTGGTAAGTTTTTTTTATGGATAATGGTTACTTCTCTCAACTCCTCAGACTCGTCGTAAATCGTAGTTTATCAAAAGATGTGCCTATTTTTTGCTTGGATCCAGCAAATACGTTGGACTGGTCTCCGAACTGATAGTTGGCTTTTCCTCTAAGCCATTGTTAAACTCTTTGTTAGCGATTCATTGCAACCAGCTGCCGTTTCTACTTTAATATTGCGTCAGTTGTTTCAATATCTTCCTTTCTTACTGACGAACTCCAACAGTTTACAAAGCTCGACCTGTCGTGTTTCGCTTAAAATGAAAATATCTTCATACTTGTGTGATGAGGACGTCATATTCAAATTCTAAAGTCCGGGATCTGTTAAGACACATTTTTAATTTCAAACAAATGAATATGTCGGATGCTATGAGCACAACTTGGGGATATGTTGATATTGTTGTCGCTGAAGACTCAACAGTCCTCACTTTGACACTGTAATCCAACTCTATTGCCTTCGGAGGAAGAATAGTGGAACACTTAGAACTCTCAGGACTGTTCACCGGGGGGTCAGTCTCGAGAATTTCAGTCTCAACCAAAAACTGAGAAAACACTCATATAACCTTTCAAAAGTTCTCTACAAAAACAAAAACTCACTGCACTTAACGTTCTTTACAATGGCGGAGGCTGAAGGTTTGTATCCGACACTTGTCGCTAACTCCGTCTTAAATGCTTTCTTGTCTTACACCGCCACCGTGTTGAACATTATAACAATACAAGCACTCAAAAAAGCTTCGTCGCTGGCAAGGCCTTTGAAAACACTGCTCCTTAGTCTGGCTGCCTCGGATCTTGGTGTTGGCTGTCTTGTTCAACCAATTTATATTGCAGTACTTGTGACGCTCATAACTGAACCAAACACTGGCAGTGGGTCTCATGTTATATCCTCCTTAATAATAGCGTTCGTCGCCATCTCTAATTTATTAGGCTCCGTTTCGTTCTTCGGTGTTTTCGCTTTAACCGTCGACAGATTCTTGGCTATTCATCTTCATCTCAGATACCAGGCACTTGTCACTCACAAGCGTGTTGTTGCTGTGGTAACATTGATATGGGTGTTTAGTGCAGCTTATTTCTTCCTGTTTTTCATTTCGATAAACGTTCGTGTCATTTTTTCCGCAACTACTGGAGCTTTAAGTTTTGCAACTACAGGATTGCTTTATTGTAAGATATATGCAGCCGTAAGACAACACAGAAATCAAATAAACGCACTGCAAGTACAGCAAGTAGTGCAAAACGGAGATATGGCAAACGCAGCACGGCAGAGAAAAACTGCAGTTGCTACATTCTACGTTTATATTGTGTTTTTAGTTTGCTATTTGCCATTTTGGTTTGTTTTCCCTGGTATAATTCTATACTATGAATCTGTCTTATGGAAGCACTTATTGTGTTACTCTTTGACACTGGCGTTTCTCAATTCATCCCTGAATCCTCTGATCTACTGCTGTAAAATGAGACGCGTTCGCCGCGCTGTTATGGACATACTTCGAAATAGTCTTTCACGATGTCTTCACTAATGGGAAGCAGGTGCATAAAGCACTTACACACTTAAGCTGGGAATCACCCCGCGTCATCCCAACAAAATCTTTCCACACTGCCTGATCGAGCATGGCATCTCTTGTTTCTTTAGTATTGTCCAGTCCAGTGTCAGCCTTGGTGGTGTCAATGTATGTAGTTCTTGGTCTACCTCCATTTTGGTAGCCTGGGAACAAAGACGTACTTCCGGTTGTCGCTTTTCTCCCCTTTTTGATGATGTGCGCAGCGAACGATTTATGGACTTTGTATTGTTCTTTAACCTCAAATATAGGTATGAAAATCTAATTCAAAGTCACTTACGGCAGCGAGAGGCTTTATCGTTGTCTCCCTTGTGTGAAAATAATAATAATAATAAAATAATAATAATAGTAATAATAATAACACTATTATCATCATCATTATTAAACATATATTGCGCATGTACCATACAAATATATTCATAGGCGCATTGAAAACAAATAAGATGTGTTAGTTAGAATAAGATAAGAATAACATAAAAGAGCACTTTGTGAGAGCTCTTTTAGAAAATGTAAGAATCTGAATGTTTCTGATCTCCACCCTAAGATTGTTCCAAAGCTTAGGAGCTGCTGACTGAAACACTCGGTCGCCACCCGTCGGCCGGTCGCCACCCAACAGGGTCGCATCCCGTTGACCTAAAATCAGTATATCTTGACTGTGCTGCGACAGCAAGAAGATCAACCAGATATCATATTAATGAGTCGCAGGACAAAACAACATACACCTCATTGGATATTCGTGAATGGGTAATTTAACTGAAGGACACTTGAAAAGAACTAGTTAGTATTTCATGATTTCTGCGATTTTTGAGCAACGGAGGAGACGATGTTTTAAACTGAAACATAGCTCTAAACGATCGCTCGATTAGTCGTCAGTCGTGGAGGATAGCGAGTTTTTATTGTAGGCGAGTCTATGCTTTTGCCATAATTTTTCAATAAGAATATTTAACAACTAAATAACTAGCTAAATAATAATAATGAAAAAATCCTTGAACCCCCAAAAAAAAAAAAAAAAAAAAAAAAAGATAAAGAAAGGAAAAGGAAATTTTTTCCGCGATTCTTAACTACTTTTGGCTATTTGCTATTTTGTTCACTAAACACCTCTTTGCGCTCAATAAATTTTCTTGGACTTTATGGCACTAGATTTTCATAATGACACCTTTAATAAATTGCTTAGCACCAATTAGTTTGAAGCAATTTTTGTCGGTTTTTAAGTCTTTTTTAAGTTTTTAAGTCCAAGTCAATATTGCGGTTTTGTTTTCAAACGTTTTTTCGATTATAGGACTTTATAATAGGTAGTTTTGTATCCGCTTGCCTGAGTTTTAGAAAATCTGCAGAGCAACGGTTTATTTTTTTAGCTTTTCGTCTGACACTTGTCATATCCTCGATAACTCCAATTGCGTCAGTACACTACCTTTTAATAAGTTTGAACGTTTGGAAGCTTATTAATTATTAAGCTCAATCGACTATTCTTATCAAAAGAAAGTTATACCTAAATTTGAATGTGTTACATAGTGGCTACATTAATTTTTTTGGAAGTTTTACGATGAGGGAATTCTTGGGGTTCAAAACACTTTATATTTAAGATTGTCTAGGCGGTGGACAATTGCAAGCCTGATTAGGTATGAAAGTGGACAAGGTCGCTTGGTCATTCAATAATTTAAGGAAGAATTTGAATCACATTCTGAACTTCTCGGGAGACACAGATCAGGTAACTTGGCAAAGGGAAGAGCGTCTGCCTGTCAAAAGACTCTAACAGTTCTTTAAAGGAACAGTCTATACAACGACAGAACCTAAAGACGCCTTTTCAACATCCTACAGAATGGCAGGAACTGGAGACTTTTATTCAACGCTAGTCGCCAACTGCTTCTTCAACGCTTTCTTGCTTTTCACAGCCTTGGTTTTAAACATCATAACAATACAAGCCCTAAGAAAAATATCATCGTTTCCAAAACCTTTAAAAACATTACTCCTAAGTCTCGCTGTTTCTGATCTTGGTGTTGGTTTGCTTGTCCATCCTGTCTATATTTTGCTTCTCGTAATGAACATAGAACAGAACACTAACAATAGAATTTTTATTATGGTATACAAAGCATACCTTATTTCTAGTCATTTATTGTGTACTGCTTCATTCTTGAGCATTATTGCTTTAACTGTCGACAGATTCTTAGCTATTCATCTTCATCTCAGATACCAGGAATTTGTGACTCACAAGCGCGTTGTTGCTGTAGTAATTTCAGTCTGGGTGTGGTGTTCATGTATTTCCTTGTTTGTGTTGAACAGTGTTTTAGAAAACGTTCTGGCCATTATAACTGTAACTATTGGGACAGTTTGTCTCACTACAACGGGATTCATTTACTGCAAGATATACTCAATCGTACGTCACCACAAAAATCAGATTCACGCTCTGCAATTGCAACCCGTAGGATAGAATCAGAATGTAGAATTGGCAAATGCTGCAAGACTGAAAAAAACTCTACTTGCTACATTTTACGTGTATGTGGTGTTTGTGGTTTGTTTTTTGCCCTTCATATGCGTTGACGCAGCTTATCAAATTTATGGTGAGTCCGAGTTGCGGTTGCATCTGCTTTATTATTCGACGACACTTGTGTATCTTAATTCATCTCTCAATCCTTTGGTCTACTGCTGGAAGATGCGAAACATTCGACAAGCTGTTATCAGTGTACTTCGCAATATATTTCAAGGTCAGTAAAGTTCCATTCGAACCGCTTCGCCAATGAGACCCTTTGTGCCCCACAAAAAAAAATGGAAATTTCATATTACCAACATGAACTTTAACTAACAGATGAATAATGAATAATGATTTAGAGGTAGCACATTTACGTAGTGGTTCTTCGTCTACCATTCCTAGTGGAGTTGGAATTTAGAAATGAGTACTCCGAGAAAAACCTCTCGGGGCAAAGGAAAGAACAACGTCAAACTCAAACCACATTTGGCGTCGACGGAGGGATTTGAACCTAGGCCACGATAGTGGAAGGCGAGTGCTCTCACTACTGCTTCACCCTTGCTCCCCAATCGTATTAGCCTATGAATGATCGATCGAGTGCGGTTCACAAATACCCGTCAGAACATTTCCGGGGCCCTTGTTCGATCGTGGTCTTAGCAATCATGACGCCCACGCACCAACAAAAACTGGTATAGTTAGCAGATTTTCAGTCGTCTGGTTGACATCATATGATGCCTATATATTTAGTAGCAAGTTACCACTGCTTTTGTGTGTTCACCCTCTTATCTCCCAAGTTTATGAAACTAAAGTTAACTAAGGCATTTAATATCAGCCCGCCATTACTACATAGCAATTCGATGAATAATCACGCTTAGAAAAGTAAGGGCTTACTTCAGGCTGGGCAGATATACACAGGGCTTTCCACAAGTTGCTCGAGATTTTCCAAAACGTTTATTTCCCTTAATTTTTCAAAAAGTTGCTTTTTGTAATGAAAGTTGCTCAGAAGTTGCTCGAAAGCCTTAATGGCACAGTTCACGCAGTTTCTTAACTGAAGATATACGCGCCAATGCCGTCTACTTTTGTTGCTTTCAGCTTTCTTCAGGTCGCTTGATGATTTGATCTGTACTGGTTGGCAATTTCTCCGCCTTTTTACGGATGTGTAGGGTCCTCAGGCTGAAAAGTATGGAGGGAGGGTAAGAGCAAGTTCAAACTGATAAAGAATCATAATAACCTACTATGCGTAACAGAACAACGCCGTTAACAACAAAGAAATAAATGAAAAATTTTGGAAAATCCTTACTTTTTCACCATTCTTAAGCTAAAAGCGATCCATGTATTCTTCTCTGCCTACATATTGGTTTTCCATGTTAAGTAGTTAAAAGGAAAAGTTTCTTCTTGTTTATTTACTACGCATTAATTTGTGAGCAATGATAAACTTTCTGTAATATTAAACTGAAGAAACTGGTATTAGTATGACTTAGGCTTTGTTTAGCAGCCTCTGATGAATCAATTATTACGAACTACCGAGTTTTATTTACTAAATTAATAAAAGTATAGTATATTGCTTTTAACAGGCTTTCAAAAAAAATGAAATCATTAGTTTCCAAGTTGATTGTAGTTAAAGGCTTTTATTGCTTTTTTGCAACATGATCACTGATCGAATTGCCACGTCATGATGGCTGCTCTCATAAAGTTGGGACTGCAAGTGATATTTTAAACATTCTGGCCCCGGTTGTTCAAAAGTTGGATAACGCTATCCACCGGATGAATCGCTATCCAGCGGATAAGTATTACGAAAACCAATATGTGTTATCCTTTGGATAGTAATTTATCCAGTGGATAGCGCTATCCACCTTTCCAACAACTGGCGCCTGATCATTTGCAACTTATTAAACTTTGACACATATGACAGCATGATTTATTAACTAACAAGAACGCTCTTAAAAGCAGCATCTCTCGCTTGCTTGGAGATTAGATAAGAAATGAGGAGGCGATTAATTCTACAAGAAGGATTTCTTTGCTAAAAGTTTTTCACTTCCCACTTTATCGACGGTCGAGTATTCTTCAGAATATTTACTTCTTACATCGTATTCGACGATGATTGAATACGCGTGTACAAATACAAATCATTGCCGGAAAGTAAAAACGTGATGAATATGGCGCCTCATTTCAATCATCGCCCAAAATAAACCGCATGCTCATCATAAGACTCATTTTCATACAATGAAAGTTTTCGACACCCGACCACTTTATAGTCTTACCATCGACGTTTTCACTGAAGCATTCACTTGTTCCAAAGTTATCAACGCTTTCAAGCGATCCTATAGAATTCGTGGACGGCCCCGTTCCGGAAAAGCTCGACAACTCTGGGTCAATCTTTCTTAAGCTTTCTTCACAAAATAGAACATGGTGCTATGACACGTAGCAATTCTTATCCCCACTTTTCACGATCTCCGCTAGTAACGCCTGGGACCATGCCATTCCCCTTTTGGCGCGCAGACTAGCGAGACTAACTACCTATTGTGCCGGTCTATGTTTTAAAAGCTTAGCTGGTAAATTTTTTTATGGGGAACAAGTTCCTTCTCTCAGCTCACAAGACTCGTCGTAAGTCGTAGTTACTCAACATGTGCGTATGTTTCGCTTGAGTCTAGCAAACATGTAGTATTGGTCTCAGACCTAATAGTCCGCATTTCCTTTAAACCATTGCTAAACTCTTTTCTGTTTGACTTTGTGTTTAAGATTCACCGCAAACCAGCTGCCATTTGTACTTTGATATCGCGTCAATAGTTTCGAATAACTTACTTCCATTTGACTGACGAACTTAATCCAACTGGTAAAACTAGCCAACAAAACGAAAGAACCTGCACTAGCCACTATAGCCAAATGTTGATGCTAATGACAGTTTGATGAATGGTACATCATGATGCTAGAAATATGTACAGTATACTATTACAGCACAAAGGAAATGAAGTAAACCCCCAAATTAAAACGTATCGTGATAATTTTTCTTTTTAAATTAAATTAAAGAATAATACAAGAATATTTTTAGCCTAAAATCGGAAGGAAAAATAAGAACATTCAGCCTGGGCCCGGAAAACAACATTCTTGTAAAAAAGAAACGATGTGTTTTAAACTGAATTCGAAGAAACTGGAGCTAATACGACTTACATCTTATTAGCTGCCCTAAAGTTAATAAAGGATAGCGTATTGTTCATTTTGAATAAATCTTCATAGTTTCCAAGTTGATTGTTTTTGTATTCGATTGCAGTTTAAGGCATAATATTGCTTTTTGCGACACGGTTGCTCATCAGATTGCCATGTCATGTATAAACAGGTATTCTGATCATTTGCAATTGATGAAAGTTTCCCACATATTAAGGAACTAGGGTGCCGTGTATTAACCGCCTCAGACTCTTTAGGTCGCGTGTGACCATGTAGTTTATCAAAGATATGTACAGGTCCGTTGCCGGATTGGCTTGCGACGTAAAAGTCCGTTTTTCCCTCAAGTCATCGCTCAACTGTGTTTGTTTGACCGTATATTTTTGATTCATTGAAAACCTACCGCCGATGCTAATTAAATTTTGCGTCAGTTACTGTAGTTTCATTTAACTTTCCTCCTTTTTGACTGACGAACTTCAACACTTACAAAGTTCGGCCTATCGCGTTTCGCTTAAAAGGAAAACATATTCAAATTACTGAGTGATGATGACGTCACATTTAAATTTTAAATTCCGTGTTCAGACAAGCACAGTTTTAATTTCAATTAAGGTGAGTTTGTATATTATAAGTACGAGTTGGAGACTTTTTTTACTATTGTCGCGGAAGACTGAACAGCACTCAGTTAAAAACCAATTGCGATCGGAGGAGGAAGAGAATCTGTGGAGAATATTCGGTAAGTCTCGTAAAGAATTATTTCCAGCATCAGTGTCTTCTTGCAGAGTTCCTCAAAAGTTCTACACAGCTGCTGAAACTTAAGACTGTATAAAACGTTCCATTCGAGGTTAGTCTCATTCGAAAACGGATGATTCCTCCAAAGCAATGAAGTTCCTTTGCATTGTTACACTAGAAACTCAACACTGATCAGGGTCCTTTGCAAAAGATGGCATTTGACACTTGTTGTTAATTGCGTCTTCAACGCTTTCTTGTGTTTAACCACCATCATGTTAAATATCATAACAATACAAGCGCTCAGAAAAACGTCGTCGTTGCCTAAGCCTTTTGAAACATTGCTTCTAAGCCTGGCTGTGTCTGATCTGGGTGAGGGCTTACTAGTCCAACCACTGTACGTTGCAATTCTTGTGATGAACATAGAAGAGAACTCTAACAACACTGCTTATTATTCAGTATACAAAGCGTATTTAATCCAGAAAAAGTATTGGTCTTGGTTTCGCATCTTGAGGTTTTTGCATTAACGTTTGAGTTTGACTGTGTATTTACGATTCACTGCAAAGCAGCTGCCGTTTCTACTTTAATATTACGTCAAAATTTTCAAACAACTTTTTACCATTTGGCTGACAAACTTCAACTCTTACAAAGCATGACCTATCGCGTGTCGGTTAAAAGAAAAATGAACTCAAATTTCTGTGGTAAAACTAGTTAATAAAAAAATATCATGATAAATTCTTTCTTTTTTAAATATAATTATTTAGGAATAATACAAGAGTATTTTCAGCCTAAAATAGGCAGAAAAAAAGCAATATTCAGCCTAGGCCAGGAAAACAACATTGTTATCAGTAAAAAAGAAAGAGGGTGTATCAAACTGAAGAAACTGGAGTTAAAGTTAATAAAGGATAGTGTATTGTTTTTGACTACATTTTCATAGTTTCCAAGTCGATTGAACTTTAAGGCACATTTTGCTTTTTGCAACTCGATTACTCATCAAACTGTCCTGTCATGATACGTAAATATTCCGATCATTTGCGATTAAACTTTGACACATATTAAGGACCGGATTATCTATTAAGTAACTAGGCTACTGTGTCTTTGTTTTATGCGCGCCATATAAGTTTTTGTTATGGGTTAAAAGTTTTTTTTCTCTTTATCCTCCGCACACTCTTTGGGTCGCGCGTGACCACGTAGTTTATCAATGAAAAAATGTGTGCATGAGTCCAGGAAATACATTAGATCGGTTTGCGACTCAAAAGTCTGTTTTCTCCTCAAGGATCGCTAACTCTTTCTGTTTAACTGTGTATTTTGTGATTCATAGGAAACCAACTGCCGTTTCCATTTTAATAATGCGTCAGTAGTTCCAAACAACTTTCTTCCATTTGACTGACGAACAAAGCTATACCTATCGCATTTCAGTTAAAATGAAAATATATTCAAATTGCTGTATGATGATGTGATGAAAATACAACAAAACACTGAAAGCATTACTTATGTTACAGTACACAAAGCGTTTTTGACCCAGAAAAAAATATTGGTCTTAGCTTCGCATTTTGGTGTTATTTCATTAAGTGTTGACAGAATCTTGGCAATCCATCTTCATCTCAGATATCACTGAGGAGCTTGTGACTCACAAGCGTGTTGCTATCAGTTGTGTTCGACTTTGGATTCTTCTTTTATGCCACCAATCATGGTAGTTGTTTGTGTCATAAGTACAGGATTGCTTTATTGCAAAGTGTACGCAGCCGTAAGACACCACACAGGTACAAGTGGCACAGAATGGAGATATGGCAAACGCTGTATGGCGAGTCAAAAAATCTACACTTGCTACATTTTACATATATGCGGTGTTTTTAGTTTGCTATTTGCCAATATCTTGTGTTGTTTTTGCCAAGACCAAAGGTGAAATTGCTTTGTTTTCTCATTTATGGTATTTCATATTGACTCGGTTTGTGTATCGACACAATACTTACAAAATCGCTGATAAGAGCGCGTCAGTACTAACTAACCAAATCCTTCACCCTTTCAAGCAATCGGCTAAAGCTATCCCTATGATCAAACACGTTTTAAAAATGACTGAAACTACCATGAGGTGAAATCGCATTTGAAAAGCGCTTCGTTTTCTATAGATAACGGCCGAACATCAAGATTATCCAGTTATTATCGTATTTCTAACCATAAAATCTCCATCCCAAAATGACCAAAATATCTCGCTAACGCACCCACAGATTTTACTTAAACTTAACGGACATCGATCGTAGTAGTTATTGGAGGAAAAAGTGGAGGAAAAAGCCCCCGTGAACGATTTTGGAAGAACAATTTCCAGTGCCGAGAAATACAGCTGCAAGTAAAGTACGTTATGGCGTCATTTTGTTGCTATGACAACTCCGATGTCATTGTAATCCTGATCATAACAAATTTTCAACTTTCAACACTTACAAAGCTCGGCCATTTGCGTTTCGTTTAAAATGAAAGTAAATCCAGATTTTGGTGTAATGATGTTGTCATATTCAAATTCTTTTTATTTCAAATAAGTGGATATTTCGGATGTTCTGAGTATGGGATACTGGGAACTTCTTGCGACTGTAAACTGTATTGACTCACTAATTTCAGTCTCATCCATAAAAGAAAACACTTGCAGAGCTCCTCAAAAGTTATACAGCTACAGACTGTAGCGTACTTGTACACGTAGGCAGGCAACATGCGTTGGCTGGTACCGTCGGAGTCGCGCCATTCCGTTCACCAAAAATATTTGTTCATGACTGTGTGTCAGGAATGGTGTATTTAACTATTAAAAGGACAAAAAACATTGTAGTTAATTTTTTTTGTGACTTCTGAGCAACGGAGTAGACGATGTTTTAACAAACACAGCTCTTAAAGGTCACTTAAATCAAGTCAACTTTATTCAGGCAGGGCAGCCCTATCAGCCATTGGCCGGTATCAAAAAGGGTCCCCCCGTACAGTCGTCGTGGGGGACTACTATATCGGGTTTTTCTTGTGGGCAGGTCTAAACTTTTTGCCATAGATTTTTGCAAAAAAGACTACTGAATAAATAAATAAATAAATAAATGAATAAATAAATAACAAAAAACCTCGCCCAAAATAAAAAAATAAAATAAAAGAATCTATGTTTCCGCGATTCCTAAAAACACCTGTTTGGGCTCAATAAATTTTGATTGGACTTGATGTCAATATATTTGCATAATGATTCCTTTAATAAGTTTCTTTGTCCCAATTTATAGTTTGCAGCAGTTCTTGTCAGACCCTTTTAAGCCAGAATACTAAATAGGTTCTTTCCATTCTTTATATCATTATCACCTTTTTTCTGGCATTTATCATATCCTCAAAAACACCAATTGCGTCAGTATGCGTTACCATAAGCTTATTGATTGTTAAGCTCGATCTATCGTTCTTATCAAAAGAAAATTCAGATTTGAATGTGTTATTATGTGGCTACATTAACGTGTTTGAAATTTTTTGTTAAGGGAATTCTTGGTGTTCAAACGTCTTGATATGCAACACTGTCTAGTTAGTGGACAATTTCAAGATTACCAAATTACGGAAGAGGACAAGCAAGGTCGCTCAGCCATGCGATAATTTAAGGAAGAATGTGAACCACATTCTGAACTATTGAAGACCGATCAGGTAACTTACCAAAGGCAAGAGTGTCTGCCTGTTAAAAGACGTCAACAGTTCTTTAAAGAACAGTCTATACAATGGCAGAAGAAGCTAAAGACGCGTTTTCAGCATCCTACAGAATGGCAGGAACTGGGGACTTTTATTCAACGCTCGTCGCCAACTGCTTCTTCAACGCTTTCTTGCTTTTCACAGCCTTGGTTTTAAACATCATAACAATACAAGCCCTAAGAAAAATATCATCATTTCCAAAGCCTTTAAAAACATTACTCCTGAGTCTCGCTGTTTCTGATCTTGGTGTTGGTTTGCTTGTTCATCCTCTCAATATTGCACATCTTATAATGAACAAAGAACAGAGCGCTAACAGAAGACTCTATTATACGGTACACACAGCGCGGCGCCTTTTCAGCTATTTAATGTGTACTGCTTCATTCTTGGGCATCATTGCTTTAACTGTCGACAGATTCTTAGCTATTCATCTTCATCTCAGATACCAGGAACTTGTGACTCACAGGCGTGTTGTTACTGTAGTAATTTCAGTCTGGGTGTGCTGTTCATGTATTTCCTTATTTGCGTTAAACAGGGTTTTAGAAAACGTTCTGGTCATTATAACTGCAACTATTGGGGCAGTTTGTCTCACTACAACGGGATTAATTTACTGCAAGATATACTCAATCGTACGTCACCACACAAATCAGATTCACGCCCTGCAATTGCAACCCGTAGGACAGAATCAGAATGGAGAATTGGCAAATACTGCAAGACTGAAAAAAACTGCACTTGCTACATTTTACGTGTATGTGGTGTTTGTGGTTTGTTTTTTGCCCTTCATATGCGTTAACGCAGCTTTTGAAATTTATGGTAAGTCCGAGTTGCGGTTGCATCTGCTTTATTATTCGACGACACTTGTGTATCTTAATTCATCTCTCAATCCTTTGGTCTACTGCTGGAAGATGCGAAACATTCGACAAGCTGTTATCAGTGTACTTCGCAATATCTTTCAAGGTCAGTAAAGTTCCATTCGAACCGCTTCGCCAATGAGACCCTTTGTGCCCCACAAAAAAAATGGAAATTTCATATTACCAACATGAACTTTAACTAACAGATGAATAATGAATAATGATTTAGAGGTAGCACATTTACGTAGTGGTTCTTCGTCTACCATTCCTAGTCGAGTTGGAATTTAGATATGAGTACTCCGAGAAAAACCTCTCGGGGCAAAGGAAAGAACAACGTCAAACTGAAACCACATTTGGCGTCGACGGCGGGATTTGAACCTGGGCCACACTTGTGGAAGGCGAGTGCTTTCACCACTGCTTCACCCTTGCTCCCCAATCGTATTAGCCTCTGAATGATCGATCTAGTGCGGTTCACAAACACCCGTCAGAACATTTCCGGGGCTCTTGGTCGATCCCGGTTTTAGCAATTATGACTCCCACGCACCAACAAAAACTGGTATAATTAGAAGATTTTCAGTCCTCTGGTTGACATCAACCATCACAGATCAAATCATAAAGCGACCTGAAGAAAGCTAAAAGCAACAAGAATAGACGGCATTGGCGCGTGTATCGTCGGTTAAAAAACTGCGTGAACTATGCCATTAAGGCTTTCGAGCAACTTCTGAGCAACTTTCATTACAAAAAGCAACTTTTGATCGCTTTTTGAGTAACGTTTTGAGAAATTACGGGAAATGTTTTGGAAAATCTCGAGCAACTTGTGGAAAGCCCTATGTATATCTGCCCAGACTGAAGTAAGGCCTTACTTTTCTAAGCGTGATTATTCATCGAATTGCTATGTTGTAATGGCGGGCTGATATTTAATGCCATAGTTAACTTTAGTTTCATAAACTTGGGAGATTATAAAGAGGGTGCCATAGTTCCCTTTGGTAACCTGCGATCAAGGCGTTCTCTTTACATATACAACTGCCTGATCACACGCTACAGAAAATGTGTGACTAAGTAGAGCTAGTACTCTATAACTGATCTACTCTCGCTAACTGGCTTTAAGTGCATGAAGACCCCCGTTTTTTGTTTTCTTCTGCGGACATTTTCCTAGTTTCTATATGATCGTTTTTGATATGTTCGTAACTTTTCAGCGAGCAATTCACCAACTGGTAACTTGGTACTAAATATATAAGCATCATACACATCCGCAAAAAGGCGGGGAAATTGCCAAGGGTCCTCAGGCTGAAAAGTATGGAGGGAGGGGTAAGAGCGAGTTCAAACTGAGAAATTACGGGAAACGTTTTGGAAAATTCAGCTGAAAATTTCGAGCAACTTGTGGAAAGCCCTATGTATATCTGCTCAGCCTGAAGTAAGCCCTTACTATTCTAAGCGTGATTATTCATCGAATTGCTACGTAGTAATGGCGTGCTGATATTTAATGCCTTAGTTAACTTAAGTTTCATAAAGTTTAGGGATAAGAGGGTGAACACACAAAAGGACCGGTAACTTGGTACTAAATATATAGGGATCATACACATCCGCAAAAAGGCGGGGAAATTGCCCAGGGTCCTCAGGTTGAAAAGTATGGAGGGAGGGGTAAGAGCGAGTTCAAACCGATAAAGGATCATAATAACCTACTATGCGTAACAGAACAACAGCGTTAACAACAAAGAAATAAATACAAAATTAAGGAAAATCGTTACTTTTTCACGATTCTTAAGCTAAAAGAGATCCATGTATTCTTCTCTGTCTACGTATTGGTTTTCCGTGTTAACTAGTTAAAAGGAAAAGTTTGTTCTTGTTTATTTACTACGCATTAATTTGTGAGCAATGATAAACTTTCTGTAATATTAAACTGAGGAAACTGTTATTAGTATGACTTAGGCCTTGTTTAGCAGCCTCTGATGAATTAATTACTACGAACTATCGAGTTTTAGTTATTAAATTAATAAAAGCATAGTAGATTGCTTTAACAGGCTTTCAATAAAATGGAATCATTAGTTTCCAAGTTGATTGTAGTTAAAGGCTTTTATTGTTTTTTTGCAACATGATCACAAGTAACAAAGCAACAGAGGTAACAAAGTAACAAGGTATCAAAAGTAATAAAGTAATAGAAGAAACAAAGTATCAAAGTAACAAGGTAATTGAAGTAACAAAGTAACAGAAGTGATAAGGTAATAGAAAATAAAAAGCAGCAGAGATAACAGAACAACAGAGGCAATACATCAACACAGATAACAAAATAACTGAAGTAACAAAGTGATAGAGGCAACAAAGTAACTTAGATAACATGGTACGAGGTAGCAGAGGTAAGTGATCAACAGACCATCTGGCTCAAAGTGTAATTTGTAATATGCCAGGGGACAATCTGCGCATATGAACATGACGGAAATATCGTCCGGGACATTTTGCGAGGGCTTACATGATGCACTACCCCATAAACGCGGGACTACTACGGATATTTTAAACATTCTGATCATTTGCGACTTATTAAACTTTGTGAACGGTTTGAACCCAGGAGTCATTTCAAAAGTAGGTTGAGTTTGATCGTCCGGGTGAACGTTGTCCTGAATAGGACTGTTGTTGTTGACAGTGACTGACGTTTCGACAACCTGTGCAGTGGTCATCTTCAGAGTCAAGGTGAGTTGTATCACGTCAGTTGATGGTATTATACTCTGGTTATTGATCTGATTGGTCAATTACGTCGCGATGTTATTGGTCGTCTGTCAGTTAAGCTGTGATGTTATTGGCTCTGAAGACTCGTAATCAGTAATTGGTGCGTTTCGATCCGTCTAGTGTCATAGTTAAACAGTCGTCTATTGTTAGTCAAACTGTCGGTTCCCCAGTCGTTCTCAGTCTGACACATATGACAGCATTATTTGTTAAGTAACAAGAACACTCTTACAAGCGGCAACTCTCTCTTGCTTGGAGATTAGATAAGAAATGAGGAGGCGATTAACTCTACACGAAGCAGGATTTCTTCGCTAAAAGTTTTTCACTTCCCACTTTATCGACGGTCGAGTATTCTTCAGAATATTTACTTCTTACATCGTATTCGACGATGATTGAGTACTCTTGTACAAATACAAATCATTGCCAGAAAGTAAAAACGTGATGAATATGGCTCGTCATTTCAATCATCGCCGAAAATAAACCACATGCTCATAATCAAGACTCATTTTCATACAATGAAAGTTTGCAACGCCCGACTAGTTTAATTTATAGCCTCACCATCGACGTTTTCACTGAAGTGTTCACTTGTTCCAAAGTTATCAACGCTTCCAAGCGATCCTATAGAATTCGTGGACTGCCCCGTTCCGGAAAAACTCGACAACTCTGTGTCAATCTTTCCTAAGCTTTCTTCACAAAATAGAACATTGTGCTGTGACACGTAGCAATTCTTATCCCCAGTTTCCACGGCCTCCGCTAGTAACGCCTGGGACCATGATTCCCCTTTTGGCGAGCACACTAGCGAGACTAACTACCTACTGTGCCGGTCTATGTTTTAAAAGCTTAGCTAGTAAGTTTTTTTTTTATGGGGAACAAGTTTCTTCTCTCAACTCAGAAGACTCGTCGCAAGTCCTACTTACTCAAAACATGTGCGTTTGTTTCGCTTGAATCCAGCAAACATGTAGGATTGGTCTCATACCTAATAGTCCGCATTTCCTCTAAAACATCGCTAAACTCTTTCCTGTTTGACTTTGTGTTTACTATTCACCGCAAACCAGCTGCCATTTCTACTTTGATATCGCGTCAATAGTTTCGAATAACTTACTTCCATTTGACTGACGAACTTAATCCATCTGGTAAAACTAGCCAACAAAACGAAAAAACCTGCACTAGCCACTATAGCCAAATGTTCATGCTAATGACAGTTTGATGAATGGTACATGATCATGTTAAACTTATCATTTGCAATTGATTAAACTTTACCACCGGGTGCTGTGTCTTAAACCGCCTCATACTGTTTAGATGGCGAGTGACCATTTAGTTTATCAAAAATATTTACAGGTCCGTTGCCGGATTGGTTTACGACGTAAAAGTCCGTTTTCCCCTCAAGTCATCGCTCAACTTTGTTTGTTTGACTGTATATTTTTGATTCATTGAAAACCTACCGCCGATCCTAATTTAATATTGCGTCAATTACTGTAGTTTCATTTAACTTTCTTCCTTTTTGACTGACGAACTACAACACTTACAAAGTTCGACCTATCGCGTTTCGCTTAAAAGAAAAATTTATATATAATTACTGTGTGATGATGACGCCACATTTAAATTTGAAATTCCATGTTCAGACAAGTACAGTTTTAATTTCAATTACGATCAGTTTGTATATTATAAGTACGAGTTAGGGACTTTTTTACTATTGTCGCGGAAGACTCAACAGTACTCAGTTGGAAACCAATTGCCATCGGAGGTGGAAGGGAATCTCTGGAGAATATTCGGTAAGTCTCGCAAAGAATTATTTCCAGCATCAGTCCCCTCTTGCAGAGTTCCTCAAAAGTTCTACACAGCTGCTAAAACTTAAGACTGTATAAAACGTTCCATTCAATGTTGGAAGCTGAAGGTCATTCTCATTCGAAAACGGATGATTCCTCCAAAGCAATGAAGTTCCTCTCACAGATTTTACTTAAACTTAACGGACATCGATCGTAGCACTTATTGGAGGAAAAACAATAGGAAAAAGCCCCCGTCAACGATTTTGGAAGAAAAGTTCCCAGTGTCGAGAAATACAGCTGCAAGTAAGGTAGCTAATGGCGTCACGGTTGCTATGTTAACTCCGATGTCATTGTAATCCTGATCATAACAAATTTTCAACTTTCAACACTTACAAAGCTCGGCTATTCGCGTTTCGTTTAAAATGAAAATGAATCCAGATTTTGGTGTAATGATGTTGTCATATTCAAATTCTTTTTATTTCAAATAAGTGGATATTTCGGATGTTCTGAGTATGGGATACTGGGAACTTGCGATTGTAAACTGTATTGACTCACGAATTTCAGTCTCATCCATAAAAGGAAACACTCGCAGAGCTCTTCAAAAAGTTAACAGCTACAGACTGTAGCGTACCTGTACACGTAGGCAGGCAACATGCGTTGGCTGGTACCGTCGGAGTCGCGCCATTCCGTTCACCAAAAATATTTGTTCATGACTGTGTGTCAGGAATGGTGTATTTAACTTTTAAAAGGACAAAAACATTGTAGTTAATTTTTTTTGACTTCTGAGCAACGGAGGAGACGATGTTTTAACAAACACAGCTCTTAAAGGTCACTCAAGTCAAGTCAACTTTATTCAGGCAGGGCAGCCCTATCAGCCATTGGCCGGTATCAAAAGGGGTCCCCGTACGGTCGTCGTGGAGGATTATATCGGGTTTTTATTGTCGGCGGGTGTAAGCTTTTTGCCATAGATTTTTGCAAAAATACTACATAATAAATAAACAAATAAATAAGTAACAAAAAGCCGTGCCCAAAATTAAAAAATAAAATAAAAGCATCTATGTTTCCGCGATTCCTAAAAACACCTGTCTGGGCTCAATAAATTTTGATTGGACTTGATGTCAATATATTTTCATAATGATGCTTTAATAAGTTTCTTTGTCCCAATTAATTTGCGACAGTTCTTGTCAGCCACTTTTTAGCCAGAATACTAAATAGGTTCTTTCTATTCTTTATATCATTATCACCTTTTTACTGGAATTTATCATATCCTCAAAAACTCCAATTGCGTCAGTATGCCTTACCTTAAGCTTATTAATTGTTAAGCTCAATCTATCATTCTTATAAAATTATTCAAATTTGAATGTGTTATTATGTGGCTACATTAACTTGTTTGAAATTTTTTGTTAAGGGAATTCTTGGTGTTCAAACGTCTTGATATTTAACACTGTCTAGTTAGTGGACAATTTCAAGATTACCAAAGTACGGAAGAGGACAAGCTAGGTCGCTCAGCCATGCGATAAGTTAAGGAAGAATGTGAACCACATTCTGAACTATTGAAGACCGATCAGGTAACTTACCAAAGGCAAGAGTGTCTGCCTGTCAAAAGACGTCAACAGTTCTTTAAAGGAACAGTCTATACAATGGGAGAAGAAGCTAAAGACGCGTTCTCAACATCCTACAGAATGGCAGGAACTGGAGACTTTTATTCAACGCTCGTCGCCAACTGCTTCTTCAACGCTTTCTTGCTTTTCACAGCCTTGGTTTTAAACATCATAACAATACAAGCCCTAAGAAAAATATCATCATTTCCAAAGCCTTTAAAAACATTACTCCTGAGTCTCGCTGTTTCTGATCTTGGTGTTGGTTTGCTTGTCCATCCTCTCTATATTGCACGTCTTATAATAAACATAGAACAGAGCGCTAACGAAAGACTCCATTATACGGTATAAACAGCGCAGCGCCTTTTTGGCTATTTACTGTGTGTTGCTTCACTCTTGGGTATCACTGCTTTAACTGTCGACAGATTCTTAGCTATTCATCTTCATCTCAGATACCAGGAACTTGTGACTCACAAGCGTGTTGTTGCTGTAGTAATTTCAGTTTGGGTGTGGTGTTAATGTATTTCCTTATTTGCGTTGACCAGGGTTTTAGAAAACGATATACTCCATTGTACGTCACCACACAAATCAGATTCACGCCCTGCAATTGCAACCCGTAGGACAGAATCAGAGTGGAGGATTGGCAAATGCTGCAAGACTGAAAAAAACTGCACTTGCTACATTTTACGTGTATGTGGTGTTTGTGGTTTGTTTTTTGCCCTTCATATGCGTTAAAGCAGCCAATCTAATTTATGGTGAGTCCGAGTTGCGGTTGCATCTGCTTTATTATTCGACGACACTTGTGTATCTTAATTCCTCTCTCAATCCCTTGATCTACTGTTGGAAGATGAAACGCATTCGAGAAACTGTTATGGACATACTTCGAAATGTCATTGCGATTGGTCGGCACTAAAGAAAGGATCTACCCAGAATAATTTTGCCTTTTACTCTCTGGTAAAAATAAAAGCTTTCAAGCAATACAATTGGAAAAAATGGCAATAAGTAAACGGGACCTGAAACCTTTGAAAGGCAAAGGGATAAGTATATGATCGAGTATAGGTTCATGAGATTTCGGTTTACTTTGGAATAACTTTTATTACAAATAATACGGAAACTCTTTTAATCAGGGTTTTTAATTTGTCGAGACCAAACATTACTGATAAGATCACTGCATTTGAAAGTTTCAGAATGGGATCTGAGAAAGAGCTCTCCTGACAGCGCAACCGATTAGAACAAATGATCGATAGCTAAATGACAGTATAATACTTTAAAATACCATAATAGAACCAGAAAGCAGATATAATATGGCTCCAGTATCACGCAAAGAGCTTCTTGCTCTGAGATTAAAAACTTAGAACCATAATGTTTGACGAAACAATTAAGTATTAAGGCCCAGGGTTGAACAGAAGTATGCAGTTTCCTCATATCCCAGTTGAACGTCTTGCAAGCAACTCTCGGTACGTGCGTGAGAGTAATTTACAACAACGTTGAAACTTTTGTACGAGACCGTACTTAATGTTTCCATAGGCATTTAGAAAGAGCGAGTCCAAAAAAGTAATTATTGTAACCAATGATGTACAACAGAACAACAGCATTAACAACGTGAAAATGAAAAAAATAAATGACAAAATCTTATATTTTCCACTATTCTTAAACTAAAATGTGTTTCTCCTTCACATTGTTTTTCCTGTTCGGTGGTTACGAGCGCTCTTTCGGATTGATAATCATGAAAGTTCCCCCACAATTTCTGTTTCAAGGGAGGGAGGAAAAGTATGCTTTTGTCATTTAGCAACTTTTAACCGCAAAGGATAATAAGCTTCTTATCTCAACTCCTCCCTTTGACTCGTCGTAGATCGTTGTTTATCAAAAGATCTGCCCCATGTATTTTGCTTGGGTCCAGTAAATACATTGGATTGGTCTCCGACCTGATAGTCAGTTTTTCCTATAAACTATCGTTAAACTCGCTCTTTTTGCACGACTGTGTATTAGCGATTCATTACAACCAGCTACTGTTGATACTTAAATATTGCGTCAGTAGTTTCAATTTCTTCCTTTTTGACCTACAATCTTCAACACTTAGTACAAAGCTCGACCTATCGCGTTTCGGTTTAAATGAAAATATATTCAAATTACTGTGTGATGAGGATGTCATATTCAAATTCTGAATTACGGGCTCTGTTAAGACATAGTTTTAATTCCAAAGAAGTGAATATTTAAGATGCTATAAGTACAACTTTATGTTTCAATGGAGGGAGAAAGTATCATCTTGCGTATTAAATGCGCATTAAATTGCGAGCAATGATGACCTTTCTTTATGTTAAACTAAAAAAAAACTGGAGATAATATGCTTTACGTTTTGATAGCCGCCTCGGATGAATTTAATACCACCATCCATTAAGTTATAGTTTAAGGCATATATTGCTTTTTTGGAACATGATTACTCTTTGAATTGCCACGTGGTGTTGGCTGGTTTCATTAAGCTGAGACTGCAATGGATGTTTTAAACGTTCTGATCGTTTGCAACTGATCAAGTCTGACACATATGACCGAATGATTTGTCAAGTAACTATCCACTGTATCTTTGTTTTAAAACCCTAGCTAGTATGTTTTTTTTATAGGTAAGAAGTTTTTTTTTCTGAACCCTAATCCTTAGATTAAAGTTTAATTAACATTTGTGGGTTTTTCATAGTTGTTACTTGGGATCAGCAGATACTTTGAATTGGTGTTTGACCTAATAGTCTGCTTTTCCTATAAACTATTACTTAACTCTTTCTGTTTGACTGTTTATTTGCGATCCTTTGCAAACCAGCTGCCGTTTCTAATTTAATATTGCGTTAGTAATTTCAAATAACTTTCTTCCTTTTGACGGACGGACTCTGCAACACCTACAAAACTCGACCTATCAAGCTTCGGTTAAAAGGAAGATAATATTCAAATTTCTGTGCAATGAGAAGAATCCCGAGCATTGCACAGACAGTTTTAATTCAGATTAGTTGAAATTTTAGATGTTGTGAGCGCGTTTCAGGGACTTTCTAATACCATTGTCACAGTAGACTCAACAACACTCAATTTAGTTGTCATAGGAGGAAGAGAAGTGAAAGACCCAGAACGTCTGCATGGAGACCGTTCAGTACGACGTCTTGTGAAGAATTGTTTCAGGGTCAGTCTGAACTTTTCAAAATAGGAAACGATCGTAAAGCTCGTCAAATGTTCTATGCAGCTACAGGTTTGCATACACCGACACTTGTCGCTAACTGCGTCTTGAACGGTTTCTTGTCTTACACCGCCATCGTTTTAAATATTATAACAATACATGCGCTCAGAAAAACGTCGTCGTTGCCGACGACTTTAAAAACATTGCTACTAAGCCTGTCTATTTCTGATCTAGGTGTAGGTTTACTTGTCCAGCCACTTTATGTTGCATTTCTTGCGATGGAAATAACTAAAAACAGTAAAAACACTGACAACATTATTGCAGCTTATTGGGCCATCCCTAACAGTTTATTCGTTTTTCCCTCATTTTTTGGTGTTTTCGCGATAACTGTTGACAGATTCTTGGCCATTCATCTTCATCTCAGATACCAGGAACTTGTGACTCAGAAGCGGGTTGTTGCTGTAGTGATCTCATTCTGGGTGTTCAGTGTATTAATTGCTTGCTTCCGGTATGAATCGATCCTTGTTTTCTCCGTGATGTCAGTTGTTTGTATCATAACTACAGGATTGCTTTATTGCAAAATATACGCAGCCGTAAGACACCACACAAACCAGATTCGCCTTCTGCAAGTACCTGAACAAGAAGCTCAGAATGGAGACATGGCAAATGCCGCAAGGCTGACAAAAACTGCCGTTGCTACATTTTACGTGTATATCTTGTTTTCAGTTTGCTATTTGCCAATAGCTTGTGCTGGCCTCGCCACGATGATCCATGGTAAAAATGCCTTTTTATCCCATTTATGGTTATTTACTTCGACCCTTGTGTTTCTGAATTCGTCTTTAAATCCTCTGATCTACAGCTGGAAGATGAGACACATTCGACAAGCTGTCTTGCACATACTTCGTAACATCTGTCCGAGTGGCCACTAAAGAGAGAATAACTTTTTCCCTTTTTCTCAAGTGAAAAACGTTATTGAAGCAATGCAGACAATGCAGGTTGGAAAAGTAGAAAAGTGATATACATTATGGCTCTTGATGAGCGTCATATACAGAAAGTAAACTGAAAGTAAATAAAAATGAGTTCAAAAAGTCGACGTTTTAGTGTCAAGACGGGCCCGATAACTAGCTAACAAGTTATGCCAACTTATTCAAAGAGTTTCAAGTCTCGAGTAATCAGCATACAAACACGAACTGAGTTCTTCAGATCCAGGATATTGTAGGTAATACATTCAGGTCGCTAAGGAAAGCGAGAGCTAAGAAAAGCATGTAACATAAAATTTGTGCTGCATGTTACTTTCCACCATTGCCACTTTTGGATTCCACTGGGAAAAAAGAACCGGAAGCAATTAATAGTGCTTCTTGAGCCTGGACCTTGAGAATTCATTAGTAGATGGCCCTCTTTACCCTTTAAGTCCAAATATTCACATTCATAAATAGACCTTTTTACCGATACGGCGGCCATATTGAATTTATTAGAGGAGTATTATGGGATGCCCCGGGGGCACTCGCTCAGTATTTACGCGCGCTTTTGGGGCAAGAAGAGAACTTCACTGTATATTCCTCGGGAAAAAGGCGATCATTATTACATCCAAACAAGGCACAACGATCTTTTTTTTCCCATTACAATCTTTTTCTAGGAAAACTTAAAGAAAAATTGGCCCGAAAAGCACTGGTAAATACTGAGTGAGTATATCGGATTGTGCTCATTCCCCTCGGGCATCCCATAATACTCCTTAAATCTTATAAATTCAATATGGCCGCCCTATCGGTAAAAAGGTCTATTCTCCAGGCTGATCTTCATATATTTCCTCACAGACTAAGTTGACGGAGAATTTGATGAGAGCCAGTTCAAGGTATTTTGCTTTTGATGCATGTTTATTTTATAATTTAATTATTCTATTGATGTTTATTGATTTTTTTTGCCTTTTTTACATATAAATGAAGGGGTATACACATAATATACACATTTCGAAATAAAAGAATCTCAAAAGCCGAGGAAGTCTTAAGAAGCTAAGAAGGCTTATAGGGGAGACTTCCTCTTTACATTAGATTTAGTTGTTACTATAATAGTTTTTAATTAAATGTATACTTAAATGAACAAAAAACAGCGTACCGTATTTATTCGAATAAGCGCCCAACCTCGAATTAGCGCCCACCTCGAATAAGCGCCCATCTTAAAGGCCGAAAAAGTTAATAAGCGCCCAGCCTCGAATAAGCGCCCACCCCCTCCTCCTCCCAATCAAACTCAAATAAGCGCTCAACCCTACCCCACCCACTTGAGTGAATAAATTCTAATAAGAGACTTCCCCGAGGACGGAGTTTTCTTCAGAGTATTTTACAGAAACGTTGCTTTGTTACTTCTTCGCCTTTTGTTATTAGCATTTATTGTTTTGTTGCAAAATAAAGATACTTCAGTTGCTTAAAATGGTGAAATTTTATTAAGCGCCCAGCCTCGAGTAAGCGCCCAGCCTCGAGTAAGCGCCCACCTCGAATAAGCGCCCACTCTCAAGGTCCAAAAATTTAATAAGCGCCCAGGGCGGTTAATCGAATAAATACGGTATGATAAAGCAATTTACAAATGTAGAGAAAATAGTAAGAGAAAGTTTATTATCTAATAATTAGTAATAAATTTCAAACGATTTTTTTAGCATTATGTAAATTAATTAAATATGATTTAAGTAAACTTTTGAAAATTCTAATGTTATTTGATCTGATTATTGAGTATGGTAAAGAGTTTCACAATCTCGGTCGTTGGTATAAGATTGTAAATTGTTTCATATTCGTTCTGTAGGCTTGCATGAGGACGGTATGACTCGGCATATCTAGTAGAACAATTATGGATTTGACTTCCAGTTTGAAATAAGTTTTGAAAAGAGAGAGGTAACATTTCATGGTGGTAATGGTTCTCATTAGTATCTTTTAATGACGCTTTCAGTGATAGGAGAAAATTGACGTTACTCAGCCTAGTGCTAGGCGTTCTCGGCTCGGTCAATCCTGGAATCTACCGTGAGCTGTGACGTCATCGAGAGATACTCGCCGAGAAAACAAGGAAAGCATTAGATAAGATCGACGAACAGGTCACGAATTTGGCAGTGTCATTTCTTAATATTACAAGTAATACCGAATCGAGTTTCTGATGAGATACTGGGTATAATTTGCCATGTATTGTATACTGAAGCGCCGAAAAATCAGTAAACCATTAGTTATTAACATGGCAAATTAAATATTCAATCGACCCCTATCAGCCCTATAACTCGAACCCTCGCTAACTCGAACTGTCTTTCGTTCCCCTTCACAGTTCGCCGGAGTTCTACTGTATACTTTACTTGACTCTTCCACTACTACATTTACCGCAAATTCAATTTATTATAAGTGAGGAAGCTCTACTCTTCCCAGAATTTGTAAATGAAATCAATCTTAAATACCGCACAGAATTCGTTGCATAAATAAGCAAGAGAAATGCCTCCGCCTTGTCTCCTGTTCCTTCAATATGGGTATTAAGGTATAACATTCAGTTAAGTTTTAATCTAGTTCTGTGATATCGTTTGTATATGTAATAATGTATCCTCTTTTGTTTTTTTTTTGTTTTTTCCTTTTTTCGTATTTTTGTAATCACTTCAAAGTAAATGTGTTACAATAAAACACTAATTAAAAAAATTGTCCTATCCAACTGCATGCATAATTCAAGAAACGCCTTTAGAAATTACGAACTCGCGTGATTTGAATTGGGAAAACAAAACATATAAAAGCTAACAAGTCTATGTTTGTCTTTGGCGCTAGAACGACTTGACACGTTAATCAAGATGGCGTATGTACGTATATATTTTAACTTTCTTCCTTTTCACCTGGTAAACGTAAATAATGACATTAAGGCTCGTCCTATAGTTAATTTGAGTTACAACGAAAATGTATTCAAAGTTTTGTTTCGCGATTTCAATTTTTAAATCTGCGTAAGACACAATTACTCAATTTTTCAAATCTTGCAAGTGGAATCCTTGAACGCCTCTATGCATAATCACAACTATGAAAACCGCGGTAAATGTTATAATATTGCAATTTTCACTCCCCGTGTTGAATTTCATTTGCACGTGCTGCTAGACTCATTATATATTCAGTTTCGTTTGTACCTTCGGGGTACTTGACAGAGATTAAAATGTTTGTTCAGTAACCGCTTGAACGTGTGGTTCGCTGTGTTATTGCAGTAAAGTAAGCTGTAATTGCGCCAGTAGTTTCGGGAGTTTCTTTCTTTTCACCTGGTCGTCTTTAATGCTTATAACTGAGAGCTCGTCTTATGATTTTAGTTGCAAAGAAATTGCTCACATGTTTTGTGCGAGGAAGTGTAAAGTTTTTATCACAACCAAGCATTAGTGAATATTTCAGTTCTTAAAAGTGGACACGCGCCTTACGACTACATAATTGAAACCAAGGAAAAGGGAAGACGAAACTGACACAAGGCTGATCCAACTAATGCAAAGGAAGAAGCCTAGTGGAGTGTATTTTGAACTTTTGAAGAGTGTTTAGTTAAGTTTCGCGGATAATTATTTCTGGCATTAGTCTCATCTGAAACTTAATTGTCAGTATACTAAGGAAGGATTTACTTGCTGTTCTATAAAATGACAGGAGCTGAAAGTTTGTATTCGACGCTGGTCGCAAACTGCGTCTTCAACGCTTTTTTGTGTTACACCGCCATCGCGTTGAACATCATAACAATACAAGCACTTAGAAATACGTCGTCGTTACCAAGCACTTTGAAAACATTACTCCTGAGTCTGGCTGTTTCTGATCTTGGAGTGGGTTTGCTTGTCCATCCCCTTTATATTGCTCGTCTTGTAATGAACACAGAACAGAGCTCTAACATCAGTGCTTATCATGGGGTATACACTGTACACCTTATCATTGGGTACGTATTTTCTAACGCTTCATTCTTGGGCGTTGTCCTTTTAACTGTTGACAGATTCTTGGCTATTCATCTTCATCTCAGATACAGGCAACTTGTGACACACAAGCGGGTTATTGTTGCTGTCATCTTAAAAGGGCTGTTAAGTTCAGTTTCTTCACTATTTAACTTGGACAGAATTTTAGAAAAAGTCAATGAAACTACAAGTGCAATCGTTGGAGCTGTTTGTCTCATAATTACAGGATCGCTTTGCTGCAAGATATACAGAACCGTAAAACATCATAAAAATCGGATTCACGCTTTGCAAGTACAGCAAGCAGCACAGAACGCCGGACAAATGGCAAATTCAGCAAGGTTAAGAAAAACTGTTGTAACAACATTCTATGTGTATATCGTGTTTTTGGTCTGTTATCTACCATTGTTTTGTGTCAGGGCTGTCACTGCCACCCGGGGGGAATCTGCTTTGGGGTTACATCTACTTTATTATGCAGCGACAATAATGTATCTCAATTCATCTCTCAATCCTCTGATTTACTGTTGGCAGATGAGACACATTCGACAAGTTGTCGTGCAAATTCTGCGAAGCGTCTTTGCATGTCAGTAAAGTTAACATGATGTGATTCATAAATTCAAGATGTTTATAACGAGGACGTCGACTTTTCCTGGCGTGTATGGCAGAGTTTTCTTGCCATTCACATTACTACGCTCAGCATTGTTTTTCTGTTATCGCATTTTGTTGTTTCTCTCTGTCTAAAAATTTGTGTTCTGGTTTTAAACAACATAAATCCAAAAGATCTATTTAAGCCCTAAAATGGGGCTGTTTCAATGGGTAGGAATACAGTCCTAGTTTTGGATCTAATTTGGCTCGCTTAGTCAAGGCCAGTACATGCACAGGCCAATTACCTAGAGCTGATTTAGACCTACAGGCTGAAATGAGTCCGAGCGTGGACTGCAACAAGCATTTGATGGGGGGTAGTTTTGCTTAAATTGTGCTCAAATTGCTCCAGGAGAGGCTGAATCAGACCTAGTGAGGTCTTTTAGCAATGAAATACTATAGGTTATATTCTTCCAACTTGAGTACTTTAAAAGCCATTTAAAAAGCTGCAGTCCCTACATCTTCAGGGGTGAGTACGAGAAAGGCTACTGATAATCAAATTGGCAAAGAAGGTCTGCATGCATTTTCTGTTTTCCAATGAAGGCAACCGCCTTGTACTTGATAAGGTTGTCCCATTGACTGCGGGAAAGAATTGTTCGCCAGCCCGGGAAGCTAAAGCGGGGCTTTCAGCGACGATTTGGTTTACAAAACCGACCAGTATATATAGGTCTTAATAGATTTGATTTTTTGTAGACTTTCTAACTTCTGTAGCTTTCAACAGTGATTGGTTATTCTGTAATTTTGATAACTCTATGACTTACTGTTTCATTACCAACGTTTGGAGTTATGTTTTCTTTTTTCTTCTTGCATTCGACAGCATCATAGGGACGGTGGGAAGTTTGAGAGGAGGGGCATGTTATTAATGGGACTGATTGTTAATTACGTTGATCATTGCAAGGAAATTGATTTTATAAAATCAAACTTGTCAACTACTGCTCTTTAGCTTGCTCAGTTTCAATCAAGTTAAACTTGCTTTTCCTGTCGAAAATTAGGATTTCAATTGAGAAAGGTAACTCGATTTTTTAAGCTGTGACCATATTAGCGTAACTTCCTATCAAACTGTGTATGAGCCAATTTTGGAACCGGGCGATATTTGCACCTGTTTCGGTTTTACAGACTCTCAGGTTTTCATCGGTTGGTCGGTGCCTTTTTGCAATTTTTGAGAGCATCTCCTTTGGTGTACTTTGACTCTAGAAGGATCTTCGAGCTGAAGGTTGCAGCTTGTGTTGCTGTATCACCTTTGGAACGTGCGCAAAGATTTCATGCAAATTTTTACATAAACCAAGTGAGCTATTGCTTGAAATTAGAAAGGGTATTAAAAATAAGTGCTCTGGAAAAGAAGCATTGATCACAGGGGAGTCGAATAAAGCCCTGTTGAAACGAAGAAGAGTCCTGGCACCTTTTCGAATCTTACTGAGCGAGTTGCCCAATTAAATCACGTTTCAGTGGTGGCCTCTCCAATTACTGCGACACCTTCTAGTAAATATAGCGGATCTCACAAAGGTTAAAACTTGATAAAGTGTGCAGAACATAAGACTTTTGGGTAATCAGGTCCATAAAATGTTGGAAGTTGAAGATTGATATTCAACCTTAGTCGCTAACTGCGTCTTCGTCTCCGTCTTCGTCTCCGTCTCCGTCGTCTGCGTCTCCGCCATCAGGGCTGAAGATAATAACAGACACACTCAGGAAAACATCGCTTAACTCAGCGCTGACGGTTTCTTGGCTACTCGTTTTAATCTCAGATACCAGGAGCTTGTGACTCACAAGCGTTTTGCTTTTGTAGTGACCTCAGCTTGGGAGTAACGTGCATTTGTTTCCCTTTTCACAGTGAAACTTGAATATTAGCGGATACCTGAATAAAGGTTTATTTTGCAGAATATATGGGTAAACATTTTAACAAGCTGAGCCATTCGTCCGCTTAATAATGGGTGTCCGCTTAATGTGCAGCTGAATCAGTGTATGGGTCCGCTTAATAGGGTTTTCACGTCTAATTTATTTTCTTGAAATTACATACGTAACCATGCATTCAGTAAGACAGTTATTCTCTAAAATATGGGATTGCTTCAATGATCTCAAACAACCACACAACAACATGCAAAGTGAAATCCATGCCTTCAAGGAGTACAGAATGCAATGCGGCAAGGCTGAGAAAATATTTTCTTGAAATTGCTGTACGTTTAATATCGGTTTTAGTTATGATATAAAATATTTATAGAAACCAGTGAAATACCAGGTGAGCTTTCGCGCGAAAACATGCTATCTTCACCCGCGAAAATTATAAATAATAAATTGCACCTTTCGCTGCCAAAAGAAAAAAAGGCTACATTGAAATGGTTTGGTATTTCATTGGTACTTGTACATTAAAAAGAACACTACATGGCCGCTTGGAGATACGAAATAGAAGACTCTTACGCCACGCTTTACCGATTTCTTTACTGATTTTGAGAAAAAAACCCGACTTTTTTGCAGTCTATTCATTTCACTGCTTATTTATCCTCTGAACTACAGTAAAAAAATAGGGCTGTTTGGGTAAGCTCTACTGGACACAAAAAAGAAACAACTTTCCCAGTTAGTGCAGCCTGTTAAGCAGAATCACTTTGTTGCAAGGTGGTAGGACAAAAAAGAACATACAATGATATGGCCCATAAGGCTCTAGGTTACTCTCAAATATTACGTTTTACTCAACCACTTCTCAAATAACCTCGAGTTTAAATAATGGATGTGACCATTTAACTAAATGAAAACCCCTTTTTCACTGTACAGCTGTTCTGTACGCAGTTCTTACTTTTCAGTCCGTCTGTGATTAAGATCCTAAAACATATTCATTAACTGCAATAGCTTGCGGAGCCTTAAAACCATCGATAATACCATATTTTTCCTCTAATTGCAACTGTTTGTGACTGGCTAATTAACAATTATTCCTTGAGCCCGAATGGGCTCTGAGTCAATAGCCCATGAGGCCGAAGGCCAAATGGGCTATTGACTCAGAAACCATGAGGGGGCTCGAGGAATAATTGTTTTAATAAAATCCAACTAGTTGGTCAAAAATATCGAGAATAAAGAACTTTTAGCTAGTTAAAGCTAGACTTTGATCCTTTTTTGCCGCCAAAAAGCCCGCGCTTTTTGCTACTAGTAGCTCAACCAATCAGAATGCAACATTGATAATAGACCACTAGTTGGATTTTAACGGCGTTCCTTACTGTTCAAAACACTTCTACGCCTTACCCGCTGAGATATCAAAAACACATCGTTTTTCCTGATTGTTGTAATCGTTGGATCATTGCGACTGTGTGAGCATTAATTTTTTTCATTATTTTTAGGTGTACTTCTTTTGAGTAGCCTATAATCATTGTCAAACAATTCAAGTAAGCCAGCTTTTAACAAGAGACAGGGCCATTATTTATTCATAAACGAAAAAAAAAACTGAAAGGATGGCTGGCTGTCGCTTTCAATTACGAAGATCTTTTATGAGCACGCCGCGCCTACGCGCGTATTTATATTCGATTTTTACTGGGAAATTTGAAGGTGTGTTTGCTTTTAATTTGGATGATGATTTTACAAATAGGCTTACCGCGTTACCTTAAAAACAATTGAACCATGCTTGTTCTAAAGCTGATGCATTTGTTAAATTTCCTATTCCTGTGGTGTTAGAGACAGGCTTTAATATTTAAGATGTGTTTATTTATCAGTCCGATAAGTTTTTTAGGTGTTCTTTTTCTATTCTCTAGCTTTGAGCACAAAAACTAACGGAGATTAAAAATATTTGATAAAATCATTGTTATTTTCTTTTTTCCTTTACTGATTCTTTCTCTTCTATGCATTGCTTTTTTTTCTTCATATGTAACTTGCATAAATTGCCGTATTGACTTTGTTGTGTCCAGCAGATAGTACAAACAGCGAATCGTCCTGTCCGAGTTTCTAATCAACATTTTCAATCTAAGTATTAATAACCTAACTTTGTGGTTTATTTGGTTTGCATTTTCGATGCACCGTCATGAACCAGCTGCCTCTACTCTATGTTAATCATTTTGTCAATCAGTTAAATATTGTAAGCACAGAAATTTTCTTTATCGCCGGGTTTTTATAGTTTTTTTTCCCCTTCTCTTACTGGAAGATGATTATCGAACACTTTTAAGGATTATAGGGTGCCACAGTATATACACAGCAAGGACTTACTTGTTGATCTATAAAATGACAGGAGCTGAAAGTTTGTATTCGACGGTAGTCGCAAACTGCGTCTTCAACGCCTTTTTGTGTTACACCGCCATCGCGTTGAACATCATAACTATAGAAGCACTTAGAAATACGTCGTCAATACCATGCACTTTGAAAACATTACTCCTGAGTCTGGCTGTTTCTGATCTTGGAGTGGGTTTGCTTGTCCATCCCCTTTATATTGCTCGTCTTGTAATGAACACAGAACAGGGCTCTAACATCAGTGCTTATCATGGGGTATACACTGTACACCTTATCATTGGGTACGTATTTTCTAACGCTTCATTCTTGGGCGTTGTCCTTTTAACTGTTGACAGATTCTTGGCTATTCATCTTCATCTCAGATACAGGCAACTTGTGACACACAAGCGGGTTATTGTTGCTGTCATCTTAAAAGGGCTGTTAAGTTCAGTTTCTTCACTATTTAACTTGGACAGAATTTTAGAAAAAGTCAATGAAACTACAAGTGCAATCGTTGGAGCTGTTTGTCTCATAATTACAGGATCGCTTTGCTGCAAGATATACAGAACCGTAAAACATCATAAAAATCGGATTCACGCTTTGCAAGTACAGCAAGCAGCACAGAATGCCGGACAAATGGCAAATTCAGCAAGGTTAAGAAAAACTGTTGTAACAACATTCTATGTGTATATCAACAACAACAACAACAAATTTTATTGAAAATTGGAAAATAACTAATTACATTACTTTCCCACCCGCAAATAGCTTATGAACTAATCGAGGCGGGGGGAGCTGAAGACATATTACAAAACAAGAATTATATATAGATGGACTAAATAACAGTGAAGACACTACAATACAGTAAATAGAGTTTAAACTAACATAAAACAAAAAACAAAAAACAAGGCATATATCGTGTTTTTGGTCTGTTATCTACCATTGTTTTGTGTCAGGGCTGTCACTGCCACCCGGGGGGAATCTGCTTTGGGGTTGCATCTACTTTATTATGCAGCGACAATAATGTATCTCAATTCATCTCTCAATCCTCTGATTTACTGTTGGCAGATGAGACACATTCGACAAGCTGTCGTGCACATACTGCGAAGCGTCTTTCCATGTCAGTAAAGTTAAAATAATACACTTGCGTCGACTTTCCCTGGCGTGTATTGTAGAGTATTCTTGTTATTCACATTACTATGCAAAAGTTATCACATTTTGTGGTTTCTCTCTGTCTAATCATTCACGTTCTGCTTTTAAACACGGTAAATCCAAAAGATCTATTCAAGCCCTAAAATAGGGCTGTTTCAATGAATGGGTAGGAACACAGTCCTAGTTTCGGATCTAATTTGGCTCGCTTAATCAAGGCCAGTACATGTACAGGCCAATTATCTAGGCTGATTTAGACCCACAGGATGAAATGAGTCCGAGCGTAGGCTGGCTAGCTTAAATTGTGCTCAAACTACTCCAGGAGAGGCTGAATCAGACTTAGTAAGGTCTTTTAGCAATGAAATGCTATAGGTTGTATTCGTCCATCTTGAGTACTTTAAAAGCCATTTAAAAAGCTGCAATCCCTACATCTTTAGGGGCAGAGCACGAGAAAGGCTACTGATAATCAAATTGGCAAAGTAGGTCTGCATGCATGTTCTGTTTTCCGATGAAGGCAACCGCGTTGTACTTGATAAAGTTGTCCTATCGACTGCGGGGAAAGAATTGTTCGCCAGCCCGGGAAGCTGTAGGGGAGCTTTCAGCGACGATTTGGTTTTCAAAACCAACCAGTTTTATATACTGTATAGGTTTTAACAAATTTGATTTTTTGAAGACCTTCTAACTTTTGTAGCTGTCAACAGTGATTGTTTATTCTGCAATTTTGATAACTCTATGACTTACTGTTTCATTACCAACGTTTGGAGTTATGGTTTCTTTTTTCTTCTTGCATTCGACAGCATCATAGGGACGGTGGGAAGTTTGAGAGGAAGGCCATGTTATTAATCAGACTGATTGTTATTTACGTTGATCATTGCAAGGAAATTGATTTTATAAAATCAAACTTGTCAACTACTGCTCTTTAGCTTGCTCAGTTTCAATCAAGTTAAACTTGCTTTTCCTGTCGAAAATTAGGATTTCAATTGATAAAGGTAACTCGATTTTCTAAGCTGTGACCATATTAGCGTAACTTCCTATCAAACTGTGTTTGAGCCAATTTTGCAACCGGGCGATATTTGCACCTGTTTCGGTTTTACAGACTCTCAGGTTTTCATTGGTTGGTCGGTGCTTTTTTGAGAGCATCTCCTTTGGTGTACTTTGACTCTAGAAAGATCTTCGAGCTGAAGATTGCAGCTTGTGTTGCTCTACCGAATACTGCGCTCACCGTTGGAACGTGCGCAAAGATTTCATGCAAATTTTTACATAAACCAAGTGAGCTCTTGCTTGAAATTAGAAAGGGTATTAAAAAGAAGTGCTCTGGAAAAGAAACATTGATCACAGGGGAGTCGAATAAAGCCCTGTTGAAAAGCAGAAGAGTCCTGGCACCTTTTCAAATCTTACTGAGCGAGTTGCCCAATTAAATCAAGTTTCAGTGGTGGCCTCTCCAAATACTGCGACACCTTCTAGTAAATACATAAAACTTGAAAAAGTTTGCAGAACATAAGACTTTCGGTTACTCAGGTTCATAAAATGTTGGAAGTTGAAGATTGATATTCAACCTTGGTCGCTAACTGCGTCTTCAAAGCATTCTTGACTTTCTCCGCCATCACGGCTAATAACAGACATACACTCAGGAAAACATCCCTTAACTCAGCGCTGACGGTTTCTTGGCTACTCGTTTTAATCTCAGATACCAGGAGCTTGTGACTCACAAGCGTTTTGTTTTTGTAGTGACCTCAGTTTGGGAGTAACGTGCATTTGTTTCCCTTTTCACAGTGAAACTTGAATATTAGCTGACACCTGAATAAAGGTTTATTTTGCAGAATATATGGGTGAACATTTTAACAAGCTGAGCCATTCGTCCGCTTAATGTGCAGCTGAATGTGTATGGGTCCGCTTAATACAATTTTCACTCTAATTTATTTTCTTGACATTAGACACATTACACACATAACCCGATGCATTCAGTAAGACAGTTATTCTCTTAAATATAGGATTGCTTCACTGATTTCAAACAACCACACAACAACATTGTAATTTGTAATTTGTTTTTGTAATTTGTTTACCCACGGAGCACTAAGGAGTTCATAAGAACTCGTTGAAACGTTTCCGTGCGTTCCAGATCGAATTGGAATTTGAAAGTTTGGTTTTTAAGGAGAGGGGAAAACCGGAGTACCCGGAGAAAAACCTCTCGGAGCAAGGGAGAAAACCAACAATAAACTATTGAAAATGCAAAGTGAAATCCACGCCTTGCAAGGAGCACAGAATGCAATGCGGCAAGGCTGAGAAAATATTTTCCTTCAATAGCTGTACGTTTAATATCGGCATTAATTGTGACAAAAAACATTTATAAACACCATTGAAATACCAGGTGAACTTTCGCGCGAAAACATGCTATCTTCACACGTGAAAATTATAAATAATAAATTGCGCCTTTCGCTGCCAAAAGAAAAAAAGCTACATTGAAATGGTTTGGCATTTCATTGGTGCTTATACATTAAAAAGAACACTACATAGCCGCTTGGAGATACGAAATAGTTTCTTGTTCGTGTTGAAAACTATTTCAACACCCGAAGAGAAATTTCTCATCTCCCCGCGGCCATAAACAGTCAGGTTTCCTTTTTTAGCACATGATCGATGTGAAATAACGGCCTTGCATTACCATCTGTTTTATATTTACTTTAGACACTTGTGGTTTTCAATTCACAGCTTATTTATCCTCTGAACTACTCTGTAAAAAAAATAGGGCCCTTTGGGAAAGCTCTACTAGACACAGAAAAAAAACAACTTTCCCAGTTGGTACAGCTTGTTAAGCAGAATCACTAAATTCACGTAAGCCAGCTTTTAACAAGAGACAGGTTCATTATTTATTCATAAACGAAACTGAAAAGAAACTGAAAGGATGGCTGGCTACCGCTTTCAATCACGAAGATCTTTTATGATCACCGGGCACGCCGCGCCTCCGAGCCTATTTATAATAGATTTTTACTGGGATATTTGAAGGCGTGTTTGCTTTTCAGTTAGCATGATGATTTTGCAAATAGGCTTATCGCGTTGCCTTAAAAATAATTGAACCACGATTGTTCTTAAGTTGATGCATTTGTTAAATTTCGTATTCCTGTGGAGTCCGATAAGTTTTTTTCAGGTGTTTTTTTCGTATTCTCTAGCTTTGAGCACAAAAACCAACGATGAAAAATATTTGGTAAAATCATTTTTATTTTCTTTTTTCCTTCACTAATTCTTTCTCTTCTATGCATTGCTTTTTTTTTTCTTCATATGTAACTTGTATAAATTGCCGTATTGACTTTGTTGGGTCCAGCAGATAGTACAAACAGCGAATCGTTCTGCCCTAGTTTCTAATCGACATTTTCCAAGTATTAATAACCTAACTTTGTGTTTTATTTGTTTTGCATTTTCGATGCACCGTCATGAACCAGCTGCCTCTACTCTATGTTAATCATTTTGTCAATAAGTTAAGTATCGTAAGCGCAGAAATTTTCTTTATCGTCGTGTTTATAGTTTTTTTTCCCTTCTCTTATTGGAAGATGTTTATCGAACACTTGTAAGGATTATAGGGTGCCACTCTGATCCGTAGTCAAGAAAATTATTCGACTCAGTTTCTACAATGTCTCTACGTGACGGGCTTACACAAGAAACACGGTACAGTGATTGAGGGATTTAGTCTGTGAAACCGACTGAATGTCTGGAGGATGTTTATGAAAGTTATAAAACGCACGAAGCTGAAGAGATGTATTCAACGCTGGTCGTCAACTGCGTCTTCAATGCTTTCTTGTCTTACACCACTATCATGCTGAACATCATATCAATACAAGCGCTTAGAAAAACATCATCGCTGTCTAAACCATTAAAAACATTGCTTCTGAGTCTTGCTGTTTCTGATCTTGGAGTTGGCTTACTTGTCCAGCCTCTCTATATAGTGCGAATGCGTGTCCTCATGCCGGACATTCAACAGAACGCCATACACAACGGAACTTATCAGAAAATTTACATCTTGCACTTCATCTTTGGGAATTTATTTTGTACTGCATCCTTCCTGGGTGTTGTCGCTTTAGCGGTCGACAGATTCTTGGCAATTCATCTCCATCTAAGATATCAGGATTTTGTGACTTGCAAACGTGTTGTTGCCATAGTAATCTCAGCTTGGGTGCTAAGTATATTTCTTTCTCTTTTTGCCTTAAACTCTTTTTTCATTGACATTCTTGTCACTATATATGCCGCGATTTGGATTGTTTCTCTCCTTTGTACAGCGCTACTTTACTGCAAGATATACACAGCCATACGGCGGCACAGGAATCAGATTCAAGTTCTGGAAACACAATTAGAAGCGCAGAACGGAGAAATATCTAACACTGCGAGATTGCGAAAGACTGTACTCGGTACATTATACGTGTACGTTGTGTTTTTGACTTGTTATTTACCATACCTTTGTGTCAAAGCCGCTACTATTATCAGTGGTGAAACAGTCGTGCTAGCGCATCTTTTCTATTATGTCACTACTCTGTTATTTGTCAATTCATCTCTTAATCCACTGATTTACTGTTGGAAGATGAGAAACGTTCGGAAAGCTGTTATGGACATACTTCGAAATATCTTTCCAAGTTAGTGTAGGTGCACTATAAGAGGCCATATGCACGGTCAGCGTCTTACACAGAGAGAGTTGCTTGTAGGCAATACATTAGAAAATGATCGTTATATGTACGAAAGACAAGAACCATAATGACTCTTGGTACTACGTAGGCACTTCCGCGCTGTTTTAGTATCCCAGCATAAAGCTAATCATAATCTTAAAGTTGGAAGATCAAAGCTTACATTAATCTCTTTCCTCGAACTCCCACACCTCAATTTTGTAGCTTTTATTAGTATTTTCTAAATAGTTTTCATAGAATTTTTCTAATTAACGTTAGGGATTACAGTTAAACACCTTGTTTAGCTGGAAGATCAAAGCTCACATTAATTTCTTCACTCGAACTCCCACACAGCAATTTTGTAGCTTTTAGTATTTTTTAAATAGTTTTCATAGAATTTTTCTAATTAACGTTTTTCCGTGTATAATTATAAAATAAATAATTAAGGGAGGATGACAGTTAAACGCTTTGTTTTGTATTATACTAGAGAACTTTTCATTTTGTCAAAATGCCATTCCATTTTAAAAAATAAATCACTCATCCTGACGTTCTTGTAACGATGAGTTTTTGAGAATTTTTTGGTGCATGATTATTAGAATATTTGTAATCAATAAAAGTTTGTTAAAAGGTATGGAATAATGGGAAAATATTCGATTTAAGGTTAGTTAAAAATTAAAATTTGAAGTGCATACCACAACAAGGTGGCCCTGAGCCAATTAGCGGACTAACTGGTTTACGTCTATACCCTCTTCTATCCTTCTTTCTTTCATTCTCAATTCAACCCCAATTCCCCCCAAATTCAATTGTAGTCTGCCTTTAAATAATGTTTTCTTGAAATGGTGTCACGCCTTATTAAAATCGATTGACCATGTCACAGGTTAGGCAGAAACTCATAACATACAGTGGGACCTCTTCTCAACGGCCACCTTAAGTACAGAAGAAAGTGGCCGTTGCAGAGAGGTGGCCATTGTAAAGAAATGGCCGTTCTGGAGAGATGGCCTTTGTAAAGAGATGGCCGTTGTGGAGAGGTTGTTGTAGAGAGATGGCCTTTGTGGAGAGATGGCCATTATGAAGAGATGACCGTTGTGGAGAGGTGGCAGTTGTAGAGAGATGGCCGTTGTGGAGAGATGGCACGGTTGTAGAGAGATGGCCGTTGTGGAGAGATAGCTGTTGTAGAGAGATGGCCGTTGTGGAGAGATGGCACGGTTGTAGATAGATGGCCATTGTAAAGAGATGGCCCTTGAAGAGAGATAGCCGTTGAAGAGAGAAGGCTGCTGTGAAGAGACGGCACAGTTGTAGAGAGATGGCCGTTAGTGGAGGTTCGACGCTAATAGCCATTTGCACGATGACGTCGTTTTACTACAGAGACCAGAATTCATTTCGTTTTTTCCTTCATATTTAAATTTGGTAATCCCAGTAATGTTTAAATAACAAAAGCCCTAATTTGCACAAGAAAGCGAAAACCCGCTGGAGTCTGACGTCATTGTGCAAATGGCCTATTATAACCCTGCTGACAACTTCAAGAGGAAGGAACAACCTCAAGTGGCGTCTTTCTAAATCCACTTGATATGGACCAATATATTGTGCTAAAGTTCAACACGTATCACCAAAAGGGTGAAAATAAGAAGCAAAGGCATTAGGGAAGGCAGTGGGTAATGCCCGAATGAAATATTAAAATCGGTAATGTGTGCCATTTATGCCGTCACTACTTGAGAGATATATCGGTTATTAAAAATTAAGAATTGGGAAACCTTAATTTTTCCGTCAGTAAAATAATAAGTCCTCATAAATATTTGTCAGACACATCAATAACGTTCATTCAAAACAACGATTTTCCTGATCTCTCTTAACGAAATAATCCGACGTCAAAAGGGAAACTGCCGAAAATTTAAATGCTGCCTGATAAAACAAGGATATGAAATTAGCATAAGCTAGACTTGTTTCTAGTGACCTCAAGAGATGGCAATATTAACACTGTGCAAACAGTAATCTGTTTTTTTTCAGTGGCTTTCGTGCTTTTACAGCAAGGTAAAAGATATTATTATAACTGCAAATGTGTCGTCAGTCTTCGAGTGTTGTCGAAAGTAACCGCATCACGGTTATTTGAAACTCAAACAGAACTAGCTTGAAAATTATGAAGGTGTTTAATGTTGAAATCGTTCTCTTCTCCTTGTTAGACGTTTTAAACGACTATGATAGGTAGAATAAACTTACATAACTTAACACTTTCTAACATCACTTGCTACTCTAAACGGCTTGGAAAGCAAAATTTAACCTCATGTTAAACACTTTTCACAAGGTAAGGCATATTGATGGCGCAGTTTTAATACCAGAGGCTCAGGGAAAAGACATGCACCACTCAAGCTACAAATTAATAATATTTTTTTGACGTCGGTGTAAGGACAACATGCCATAGAGGGTCCTGCTTGGAAAACGCTTGAAGCTTAAATGTCTTGCCCGGTTGGAAATTTTAAACAGCAAATGATAAGAGTGAGGGTGAATGAGAAAAAATTGGCCGGGACAAGTTGCTAGAATTCTCATGATCGAAAGATGCTTAAAAGAGATTGATATTGATGGAATTTTAAAATAAGTGTTCATGCCGGGCATCAGCGCGAAAAAGGGCCGTTTTGGTTGTCTCATCCAGGCCACTAGGATTAAATTCAAATCAGGTCAAAAGACCCTCCCTATTTTAAAAATGGCGACGAGGCGCCTTTTTGACTGTTAGCCTAACATCCTTCCTATCTCTTTGCCATCAAAACGCGGGATTTGTGGTCAGGGGTATTTCTCGGGGTTTCCGTGTTTACGGAAAAATGCCACTTTTGCGAAGTGTAACCGTCTAAATGAGATGTTCATGACAGAATAATACCGTCGACGCATGTTTCCACCTTTTGTTAAAACTTTGCTTTCTATAAAGAAGATGCTTTTTAAAAGTATTGCTTTTAACTGCTTATGGCACTAATAGAAAAAAAAATCCAATTTAAGACAGCGACTACCCTGGGTGCCAGAGGTTTTTTCGCTGTTGTTTGCGGCGAAAATTGAGCAGCAGGAAAAAAACCCTCTGGCAACAAGGGTAGACAGCGACGATCTCCTGTGTCAAATAAGGCAAGCGACGCATTTTTCTTCTAATATATAACAAAATTGTACTCTCAAAACCGTTTCTGTATGAAAAATTTATCACTTTTTCAAACTAATGGCGATAATTCGAGACGGCCACGACAAAATCATCTCTTGTTTCAACGATTTTGAACTGGTTGCAAAGGAGGAAGCAATCTCAAAAGGTATCATCTAAAAACAAAATTTCTAATCAGCTTTCTGAACATAACTCTATCCGGCTTCGTGTCCAGATGTCCCATTGTGTTATTTCCTACCCTTCACAATACGCTTTTCGTGGTGCTTTTAACGTAAAGCCCAAGAGTCACCTTGATATTAAACGCATTTAGGTTTTTACTCTCGGGGGGAATAATTTAATGAATGTACGCGGTACTCGATAACAGGAATGTCATTAACCTTTTTTCATCTTTCCTTCATCAGCAAAACACGGAAAGTGAAAGTCCGACTAATCTGTCCCATTACTTGGTTTAAAATTAGCCTGTACTGTGTGCCATGACGCAGAATGAGACGATGTTTTGTACTCTCGATGATCGGACGCCCCTTGGCTACTAATTTGTTCTAATGCAACGGAGACAATATATCAAAGCATGCAAATTCATCACCTGGTTGAAAAATGTGGATTTAAATAGCCATGTTCCTGTGACCATGCATTATTTTCAGTAGCAACGGGATCGAACTTGTTTCTCTGTGTGAGTAGTTTATCCACACGTTGTGGCGCAATTCTGTTAAACAAAAAAGGCTACAGCGCCGTTTCTATCTTTTATATTGTCCGGCTTACTTAAGGATATGGCTTTTTTGTAGCAACCTACAAAAAGAAAAAGTGCATGCTGACTTATTGTAAAGTTTTTTTTACAATGACGGGAGTGGAAGGCCTGTTTAAGCTGAAGAGATGTATTCAACGCTGGTCGTCAACTGCGTCTTCAATGCTTTCTTGTCTTACACCACTATCATGCTGAACGTCATATCAATACAAGCGCTTAGAAAAACATCATCGCTGTCTAAACCATTAAAAACATTGCTTCTGAGTCTTGCTGTTTCTGATCTTGGAGTTGGCTTACTTGTCCAGCCTCTCTATACAGTGCGAATGCGTGTCCTCATGCCGGACATTCAAAAGAACGCCATACACAACGGAACTTATCAGAAAATTTACATCTTGCACTTCATCTTTGGGAATTTATTTTGTACTGCATCCTTCCTAGGTGTTGTCGCTTTAGCTGTTGACAGATTCTTGGCAATTCATCTCCATCTAAGATATCAGGATTTTGTGACTTGCAAACGTGTTGTTGCCATAGTAATCTCAGCTTGGGTGCTAAGTATATTTCTTTCTCTTTTTGCCTTGAACTCTTTTTTCATTGACATTCTTGTCACTATATATGCCGCGATTTGGACTGTTTCTCTCCTTTGTACAGCGCTACTTTACTGCAAGATATACACAGCCATACGGCGGCACAGGAATCAGATTCAAGTTCTGGAAACACAATTAGAAGCGCAGAACGGAGAAATATCTAACACTGCGAGATTGCGAAAGACTGTACTCGGTACATTATACGTGTACGTTTTGTTTTTGACTTGTTATTTACCATACCTTTGTGTCAAAGCCGCTACTATTATCAGTGGTGAAACAGTCGTGCTAGCGGATCTTTTCTATTATGTCACTACTCTGTTATTTGTCAATTCATCTCTTAATCCACTGATTTACTGTTGGAAGATGAGAAACGTTCGGAAAGCTGTTATGGACATACTTCGAAATATCTTTCCAAGTTAGTGTAGGTGCACTATAAGAGGCCATATGCACGGTCAGCGTCTTAGACAGAGAGAGTTGCTTGTAGGCAATACATTAGAAAATGATCGTTATATGTACGAAAGACAAGAACCATAATGACTCTTGGTACTACGTAGGCACTTCCGCGCTGTTTTAGTATCCCAGCATAAAGCTAATCATAATCTTAAAGCTGGAAGATCAAAGCTTACATTAATCTCTTTCCTCGAACTCCCACACCTCAATTTTGTAGCTTTTATTAGTATTTTTTAAATAGTTTTCATAGAATTTTTCTAATTAACGTTGGGGATTACAGTTAAACGCCTTGTTTAGAAGATCAAAGCTCACATTAATTTCTTCACTCGAACTCCCACACAGCAATTTTGTAGCTTTTAGTATTTTTTAAATAGTTTTCATAGAATTTTTCTAATTAACGTTTTTCCGTGTATAATTATAAAATAAATAATTAAGGGAGGATGACAGTTAAACGCTTTGTTTTGTATTATACTAGAGAACTTTTCACTGAAAATTTTGTCAAAATGTCAGTCCATTTTAAAAAATAAATCACTCATCCTGAAGTTCTTGGAGCAATGAGTTTTTGAGAATTTTTTGGTGCATGATTATTAGAATATTTGTAATCAATAGGAGTTTGTTAAAAGTTATGGAATAATGGAAAAATATTCGATTTAAGGTTAGTTAAAAATTAAAATTTGAAGTGCATAATTAATAGACAAAAGACCAGACAGACTGCCACCACAACAAGGTGGCCCTGAGCCAACTACCGGACTAACTGGTTTACGTGTATACCCTCTTCTATCCTTCTTTCTTTCATTCTCAATTCAACCCCAATTCCCCCAAAATTCAATTGTAGTCTCCCTTTAAATAAAGTTTTCTTGAAATGGTGTCACGCCTTATTAAAATCGATTGACCATGTCAGAGGCTAGGCAGCAACTCATAACATACAGTGGGACCTCTTCTCAACGGCAACCTTAAGTACAGAAGAAAGTGGCCGTCGCAGAGAGGTGGCCATTGTAGAGAGGTGGAAATTGTAAAGAGGTGGCCATTGTAAAGAGATGGCCGTTCTGGAGAGATGGCCTTTGTAAAGAGATGGCCGTTGTGGAGAGGTTGTTGTAGAGAGATGGCCATTGTGGAGGGATGGCCATTGTGGAGGGATGGCCGTTGTGGAGAGATGGCCGTTGTAGAGAGATGGCTGTTGTAGAGAGATGGCCGCTGTGGAGGCGGCCGTTGAAGAGAGATGGCTGTTGTGGAAAGATGGCTGTTGTAGAGAGATGGCCGATGTGGAGAGATGGCCGTTATAAAGAGATGGCCGTTGTGGAGAGGTGGCCGTTGTAGAGAGATGGCAGTTGTGGAAAGATGGCTATTGTAGAGAGATGGCCGTTGTGGAGAGATGGCCTTTGTAGAGAGATGGCCGTTATGAAGAGATGACTGTTGTGGAGAGGTGGCCGTTGTAGAGAGATGGCCGCTGTGGAGGCGGCCGTTGAAGAGAGATGGCTGTTGTGGAAAGATGGCTGTTGTAGAGAGATGGCCGATGTGGAGAGATGGCCGTTATAAAGAGATGGCCGTTGTGGAGAGGTGGCCGTTGTAGAGAGATGGCAGTTGTGGAAAGATGGCTGTTGTAGAGAGATGGCCGTTGTGGAGAGATGGCCTTTGTAGAGAGATGGCCGTTATGAAGAGATGACTGTTGTGGAGAGGTGACCGTTGTAGAGAGATGGCCGTTGTGGAAAGATGGCTGTTGTAGAGAGATGGCCATTGTGGAGAGATGGCCTTTGTAGAGAGATGGCCGTTGTGAAGAGATGACTGTTGTGGAGAGGTGGCCGTTGTAGAGAGATGGCCGTTGTGGAAAGATGGCTGTTGTAGAGAGATGGCCGTTGTGGAGGGATGGCCGTTGAAGAGAGATGGCCGTTGTGGAGAGAAAGCTGTTGTAGAGAGATGGCCGTTGTGGAGAGGTGGCCGTTGTAGAGAGATGGCCGTTGTGGAGGGATGGCCGTTGTAGAGAGATGGCCGTTGTGGAGAGGTGGCCGTTGAAGAGTGATGGCCGTTGTGGAGAGGTGGCCGTTGAAGAGAGATGGCCGTTGTGGAGAGGTGGCCGTTGTAGAGAGATGGCCGTTGTGGAGAGGTGGCCGTTGAAGAGAGATGGCCGTTGTAGAGAGGTGGCCGTTGTAGAGAGGTGGCCGTTGTAGAGAGATAGCTGTTGTAGAGAGATCGCCGTTGTAGAGAGATAGCTGTTGTAGAGAGATGGCACGGTTGTAGATAGATGGCCATTGTAGAGAGATGACCCTTGAAGAGAGATAGCCCTGGAAGAGAGAAGGCTGCTGTCAAGAGATGGCCGTTGTAGAGAAATGGCCGTTAGTGGAGGTTCGACGCTAATAGCCATTTGCACGATGACGTCGTTTTACTACAGAGACCAGAATTCATTTCGTTTTTTCCTTCATATTTAAATTTGGTAATCCCAGTAATGTTTAAATAACAAAAGCCCTAATTTGCACAAGAAAGCGAAAACCCGCTGGAGTCTGACGTCATTGTGCAAATGGCCTATTATAACCCTGCTGACAACTTCAAGAGGAAGGAACAACCTCAAGTGGCGTCTTTCTAAATCCACTTGATATGGACCAATATATTGTGCTAAAGTTCAACACGTATCACCAAAAGGGTGAAAATAAGGCAGTGGGTAATGCCCGAATGAAATATTAAAATCGGTAATGTGTGCCATTTATGCCGTCACTACTCGAGAGATATATCGGTTATTAAAAATTACGAATTGGGAAACCTTAATTTTTCCGTCAGTAAAATAATAAGTCCTTATAAATATTTGTCAGACACATCAACAACGTTCATTCAAAACAACGATTTTCCTGATCTCTCTTAAATAATCCGACGTCAAAAGGGAAACTGCCGAAAATTTAAATGCTGCCTGAGGTGGCCGTTGCAGAGAGATAGCCGTTGTGGAGAGGTGGCACGGTTGTAGATAGATGGCCGTTGTGGAGAGATAGCTGTTGTAGAGAGATGGCCGTTGTGGAGAGATGGCACGGTTGTAGATAGATGGCCATTGTAAAGAGATGGCCCTTGAAGAGAGATAGCCGTTGAAGAGAGAAGGCTGCTGTGAAGAGACGGCACAGTTGTAGAGAGATGGCCGTTAGTGGAGGTTCGACGCTAATAGCCATTTGCACGATGACGTCGTTTTACTACAGAGACCAGAATTCATTTCGTTTTTTCCTTCATATTTAAATTTGGTAATCCCAGTAATGTTTAAATAACAAAAGCCCTAATTTGCACAAGAAAGCGAAAACCCGCTGGAGTCTGACGTCATTGTGCAAATGGCCTATTATAACCCTGCTGACAACTTCAAGAGGAAGGAACAACCTCAAGTGGCGTCTTTCTAAATCCACTTGATATGGACCAATATATTGTGCTAAAGTTCAACACGTATCACCAAAAGGGTGAAAATAAGAAGCAAAGGCATTAGGGAAGGCAGTGGGTAATGCCCGAATGAAATATTAAAATCGGTAATGTGTGCCATTTATGCCGTCACTACTTGAGAGATATATCGGTTATTAAAAATTAAGCATTGGGAAACCTTAATTTTTCCGTCAGTAAAATAATAAGTCCTTATAAATATTTGTCAGACACATCAATAACGTTCATTCAAAACAACGATTTTCCTGATCTCTCTTAACGAAATAATCCGACGTCAAAAGGGAAACTGCCGAAAATTTAAATGCTGCCTGATAAAACAAGGATATGAAATTAGCATAAGCTAGACTTGTTTCTAGTGACCTCAAGAGATGGCAATATTAACACTGTGCAAACAGTAATCTGTTTTTTTTTTCAGTGGCTTTCGTGCTTTTACAACAAGGTAAAAGATATTATTAAAAATGCAAATGTGTCGTCAGTCTTCGAGTGTTGTCGAAAGTAAGCGCATCACGGTTATTAGAAACTCAAACAGAACTAGCTTGGAAATTATCACGGTGTTTAATGTTGAAATCGTTCTCTTCTCCTTGTTAGACGTTTTAAACGACTATGATAGTTAGAATAAACTTACACAACTTAACACGTTATAACATCACTTGCTACTCTAAACGGCTTGGAAAGCAAAATTTTACCTCATGTTAAACACTTTTCACAAGGTAATGCATATTGATGGCGCAGTTTTAATACCAGAGGCTCAGGGAAAAGACATGCACCACTCAAGCTACAAATTAATAATATTTTTCGAGATCGGTGCTAGGGCAACATGCCATAGAGGGTCCTGCTTGGAAAACGCTTGAAGCTTGAATGTCTTGCCCGGTTGGAAATTTTAAACAGCAAATGATAAGAGCGAGGGTTAACGAGAAAAAATTGGCCAGGGCAAGTTGCTAGAATTCTCATGATCGAAAGATGCTTAAAAGAGATTGATATTTATGGAATTTTAAAATTAAGTGTTCATGCTGGGCATCAGCGCGAAAAAGGGCCGTTTTGGTTGTCTCATCCAGGCCGCTAGGATTAAATTCAAATCAGGTCAAAAGACCCTCCCTATTTTAAAAATGGCGGCGAGGCGCCTGTTTGACTGTTAGCCGAACATCCTTCCTGTCTCAAAACGAGGGATTTGTGGTCAGGGGTATTTGTCGCGGTTTCCGTGTTCACGGAAAAATGCCACTTTTGCGAAATGTAACCGTCTAAATGAGATGTTCATGACAGAATAATACCGTCGACGCATGTTTCCACCTTTTGTTAAAACTTTGCTTTCTATAAAGAAGATGCTTTTTAAAAGTATTGCTTTTAACTGCTTATGGCACTAATAGAAAGAAAGTCCAATTTAAGACAGCGACTACCCTGGGTGCCAGAGGTTTTTTCGCTGTTGTTTGCGGCGAAAATTGAGCAGCAGGAAAAAAACCCTCTGGCAACAAGGGTAGACAGCGACGATCTCCTGTGTCAAATAAGGCAAGCGACGCATTTTTCATTTTTCTTCTAATATATAACAAAATTGTACTCTCAAAACCGTTTCTGTATGAAAAATTTATCACTTTTTCAAACTAATGGCGATAATTCGAGACGGCCACGACAAAATCATCTCTTGTTTCAACGATTTTGAACTGGTTGCAAAGGAGGAAGCAATCTCAAAAGGTATCATCTAAAAACAAAATTTCTAATCAGCTTTCTGAACATAACTCTATCCGGCTTCGTGTCCAGATGTCCCATTGTGTTCTTTCCTACCCTTCACAATATGCTTTTCGTGGTGCTTTTAACGTAAAGCCCAAGAGTCACCTTGATATTAAACGCATTTAGGTTTTTACTCTCGGGGGGAATAATTTAATGAATGTACGCGGTACTCGATAACAGGAATGTCATTAACCTTTTTTCATCTTTCCTTCATCAGCAAAACTCGGAAAGTGAAAGTCCGATTAATCTGTCTCATTAGTTGGTTTAAAATTAGCCTATACTGTGTGCCACGATGCAGAATGAGACGATGTTTTGCACTCTCGATGATCGGACGCCCCTTGGCTACTAATTTGTTCTAATGCAACGGAGACAATATATCAAAGCATGCGAATTCATCACCTGGTTGAAAAATAAATGTGGATTTAAATAGTCATGTTCTTGTGACCATGCATTATTTTTCAGCAGCAACGGAATCGAACTTGTTTTTCTGCGTGAGTAGTTTATCCACAGGTTGTGGCTCAATTCTGTGAAACAAAAAAGGCTGCAGGGCGGTTTCTATCTTTTACATTTTCCGGCTTACTTAAGGATATGGCTTTTTTGTAGCAACTACAAAAAGAGAAAGTGCATGCTGAGTTATTGTAAAGTTTTTACAATGACGGGAGAGGAAGGCCTGTTTAATGCGTTTCTTGTCGCAAACTGTGTCCTGAACGCTTTCTTGTCTTTCACCGCAATTGTATTCAACATCATAGCAATTCAAGCCCTAAGAAAAACTTCGCTGGCGAAGCCTTTAAAAACATTGCTGTTGAGTCAGGCCAAGTCTGATCTTGGTGTAGGTTTACTGGTGCAACCTCTGTACATTGTAGTTGGTGTTGGGGAAATACGACGAAACAGTAATTACAATAACGTCATAAATGTATTCATTATAAACTCAAGCTTTTTCTCTTACGCCTCTTTCTCTTACGCCTCTTTCTTTGGTGTCGTTGGTTTGACCGTTGACGAATTCTTGGCCATTCATCTTCATCTTGTGACTCATAAGCGTGTTGTTGCTGCGGTGATCTCAGCTTGGGTGTTTAGCGCATTTCTGTCCATTCCTACAGAGAAATGGATTCCAGAGGAAGCTTCATCTGGATATGTAGTCGTTGAAGCTGTTTGTATCATAACATCAGGTGTGCTCTATTGCAAGATATACGCAACCGTCCGACGCCTTAAAAATCAGATCCACGCCCTAGAAGCTCAACAACCTGCACAGAATGGAGAAATCGCAAATGCTGCAAGGCTAAGGAAAACGTCTGTAGCTACATTCTACGTATATGCCGCGTTTCTGGCTTGTTACTTGCCATTCTCTTGCGTGTACCCTTTGTATTATGTGAACAGTGGTAAAATGCTAAAGCTTTTGTTAAGTTATACGTTGACATTGGTGTATCTCAATTCCTCTCTAAATCCTCTAATTTACTGCTGGAAGATGAAACACATTCAGCAAGCTGTCTTGGAAATGCTTCGAAATACCTACTCAAATAGTCAGTAGAGAGAAGTGCTCAGAATCAGCAGACGTGAATAATAATAATAACGTGCCATGAGTCGAAAATATGCATTGTACGTACCAGAAAAGCTCAGAAACACCGGCCAATCCTTCGGGTGAGGTACGGGATTGCAGCCAGATCTGATAAGAAGCTTTAAGCTTGTAACAACAACAACAACTTTATTAACAGCAATGAAGTAACATAAAATAAGCACACTACCTACAATTAGCAAAAGCTACTTGAGACAGGCAGTGTGGGGACGCTACATACATGAACTGATAAGAACCGTTTCAGCTTAATTGTGAGTGGATATAGTGAATGGGTGTTTTGGTCAGTCAAATAACGACTTTCAACGCGGGACTTCTTGGCGAAAACCTTGGCGACAATCTCGGCAGGAAATCCCTGCGCCATATTGACAGAAATCGATTTTGATGAAAATCCTGGCTGGAAATCCAAGCAGAAGTCTTGATGAAAATTCTGGCGGGGACCTTGGCGAGAATCTTGGTGGGAAATTCTTGCGGAAGTCTCGACGGACCTTGCCGAGAATCTTGGCGGGAAAACCCAGCAGGAATCTTGACGAAAATCCTGGCGGGCATCAGTTAAGTGAAAATCTTGGCAGGAAATCCCTAGAGGAATCTTGACGGAAATCCTGGCGCGAAATCCCTGCGGGTATCTTAACGAAAATCCCGCTGACGGGGACCTTAGCGAGAATCTTGGCGGGAAATCACTGCGAGAATCTTAACGGAAATCCTGGCGGGGGGTTTAGTGAGAACTTAAGCGAGAAATTCTAGCCAGAGTCTTGACGTAAATCCTGGTGGGTATCTTGTTGAAAATCCCGACCACACCGATACTTTCAAATGCTACTAACAGCGATTTTCCTTTGCCCATTGCCACAAGCAACCTTTTTCCTTGTCCGTATTTACCAACATCGAGATTTCTCTACATTTATGGCCATTGTTCGTTCCCACCTTGATTAATCCTATAAGTAATGATCCCGGTAAGAAGGGAAGCAATTTCTTTTGTTGTAGCGCAATACGCTTTCCTCACATAGAAATGTTTTCATTTTTACGCAGAGAATGCATTAACCTTCAAAAAGGCAGTTAATGAAAGAAAATGTATTGAAACTCCAGTTTTAAAGGGTGTTTTTTCGTGTTCAAAGATTTCGACCAATCATAAGAGTTGCAAACAATAGCCACGAACTGTTTACAATTTTACATGATCCGCACATAGGATTTCTGTGTTACTTAGACTCCGACGAGATTTTGTTAAGAGGAAGTTGGATAGAAAAAAAGAGATTCATATCAGTACAGTGCTGCTTTGCGAAGATTTCGTTAAATTTGATGCTTAAACCAATCAGAACCTTAGTGGAGACAATCGTAGCAAAGTTAGCACCTTTTTGCATTCCGAGGTACTCACGGCGTTTTGGTCCTTTCCTTCTTATCTGAACAATTACTTAATCTGGAGCCCGAGGTCTGCCTCTATGATACAACCTTATATAAAGACTCGAATGAAAAGCTGCAAGGGTTGTCCTGCCCGATCTAAGCTAAAACAAAGCCCTCAGCGATTAGATCTACTCTTGTGCCGTAGAGAAGTGAGAAACCTTGCAATATCTTACTCACTTAAGCGTGGTTACTATAATTGCTCGCTTGACTTCAATTTTAATTCTGCTCAGAAAAGACAACATGGAAAGGAGACTGAAGTCCTTTTCAAGAAAACACAGAGAAAAAAATTCAGTAGAAAAATAATTCCTTATTTCTGAAAACAAACAGAGAATATAAAGGATATACAGTTACAAATTTTTGTTCTAACCTTCTTGGGAATGCTGTTTAGTTTCGGAAAGGAGACTTCTGTGAGCTCTACACGCAAAATCACGTACTGAGATTTGGATCAGCTGTCATACAATGACAGGTACTAAGCAGTTTTATAAAAAACTGAATCATTGGATAATGCAATTCTAGAGCTCTGATTGGCTTAGCCACCATGGTATATGAGCCAATATACCATGCTCTCCTAATATGGTAACTGTACCCGTCTGCTCAAAATTAAAAACAAGCTAAAATCGGTGGTTTTTACAAATAAAAGTGGGGAAGAACTCTCGCATATAGGCTTACTGGTTCAGCCACTGAACACCGCCCTTCTAGTCGTGGCGATTCCGCGGCAATACATTGTGAGCAGTAGTTTCAATATTGTAGTGTTGTCGCGTTAACTGTTAACACTGAGAGAGATTCTTAGTCATTCATCTTTATCTCAGATACCAGGAACTTGTAACTCACAAACGCGTTGTTTTTGCACTGATCTCTACTAGCCCCAAATGACATCACCCCGATTACAGCGCAGGTTCTTAACATTTTGTTCATGACCCTTTTGTGCTTTTCGTTTCATAATCACCGCACTGCTTTACTGCCAGATGTACGCAGCCGTACTACAAGGCTCAGAAAAAGTGTCGTCGTTACATTTTACGTGTATGCACTATTTTTGACTTGTTATCTCCCACGCCTTTGCACCCATGTTACTTTTATGGTGTTTTGGTGTATCTACCTTATTGTTACGTTTATGGTATTATTCCCTGATCTGAAAATCAAAGTGATGATTTGCGATAAAAACTAACCCAAGGTTACGTTTTTATTCATCTCACACCGTGGAAGTTTTAACCCAGGAGTCATTTCATATTTAGGAGGAGCATGGTGGTCCGCGTTAGCGGAAAACACTATAAAACAGACTAGGGCTAGTAATTTGCTGCTTTAGTTTACAAGCATTGCAAATTACATAAATGCTAACAGTATTCGTTAGCAGATTGATCAGTTTAAAATGGAACAAAATTACATAAGCCAGCTAACAGCGTAAAATTTGCAAGAAAAACGTTTAATAGAAAAATGAATTATTTTAAAAGTGTTTAAAATTCTGATAAGGATCTAAATAGCGAAAATTAACCGTCAATAGTACTACTGAAAAAGAATGACGACCTTTATCGCATACCGTTGAATATAAGTATCTGTTTAGTACGTATCTTTAAAAACTGTCTGCTAAACAGACAGTAATTGCACTAAAATGATTTCACCATTAAAATTAAAGTGTAGTTTTATCTTTATACGATTCATTATCTGATTAATATCTCTTGTAACCAACTCTACTTCACTCTATTTTAAATGTTCCCAAAGGGATGAGTACTTGAGATAATGCTGAATAAAGCGTACATGGAGGTAACCAGGGAGGTCAAGACATAGGAAAAAGGGAAAGTTCTCGTGGTAACGCCCTATTTAAGAATAGCCCAAGAAAATTCCTGCCATCTTCCCAAATAGAGTGCTAATCAATTAAGCACGCTATGCAAGGGGCAAACTTCCTTAATGATACGCCTACCCTCTTCTTGGGAAAAGTAACAATTAAGTTTGCTTTGCAAAGTAAAGGGGGTGGGGGGTGCCTCTATTTAAGGGTAACACTACCCTCTTCTCGGACGTACTGGTAATCAACCAAGCTTATATGCAATAGAAGAGGGGGAGCTTTCGTTGGTAACACAGCAATTCAAAAGTAACCAAAACCCTCGCATCGGGCAAAGTACTAATCAACTAAGTTTGCCATGCAATAATCGAAGTTTTATGCTTCTAAAGAAAGTCGTGAAAAGAGGGGGAATTTCCTTGGTAAGGCAGCTACTCAAGAGTGACCACCACCCTTTCTCGGACAAAGTACTTATTAACTAGGTTTGCCTCGCTTCAAAAAGGTTAATGCAAGCAATCTCAAGTGCACATAGGTATGAAGGGCTCAGTTTCGACAGAGACGGTGATGCTGTGTCAGCGAGGAAAGGAGACACAAATATTAGATTTAACCAACAGAGTTGAAAGACTGACAAGCTGATGTTTTGAGCAATAGTCCTTCACTAGAGCGAAGGTACAGGAAAGTGGGGACGGGGAAGATCGTCAGTTAAAAGCTAACTCCCATATACAAGCTGTAACTTGACTTTGTCTGAAGATTAGCTTTAACAGGTAGGGTACACGTCTGTTCAACATTGTGATCATCCCTTATCACCTTCCCGTAAAAAGTGTTAATCAGTGAAGTGCTGTGTAATTTAAGTTCTATAGCTCAGAAATATAAAAGAAAGCAGTCAGCCATTTTCAAAAGAGGCAATCACAAAACTGAACCCTTTGGGAACTCAGTCATTTGTGGTTTTACGATACTAAAAAACGGTGGTAGCATTTACGCTATCCAATTTCTGGAGATGTGGCTGATTTTTTTTTTCACTTCAAAAATGGCAAAATCTGCTCGTCGAAGAATTCGTCGGAAAATTGCAAGTGATCGCCATCTGCAGTGAGAAAATGCAGCTTCTTGTCCTTGTCCATTTGCTGGAGCCCCAACAAGTCCTAACAGAAGGGCAATTGATATTTCAAAAAATCGTCTACAATAACTGGCTTTACAGTTGCAAGCAAAACCCAAAGTAACTACCTTCCAAACAAAATAGGGACCAACCCAAACGCAAGGAAATACACGCCCCAAAAAATATCCAGCGCAAATATTCAAAACTCAAGGAAATACACGCCTCGAAAAATATGTAGCGCCGCAACACAGGGTAAGGCCCCGGACATATTATAGCGATTGAAGAAGTCGGACGTGCCTTGAACAGCACTGCAATATTGTATTATTTAGTTAATATTAATTATTTCAATGTAACGCTCTAGTACGACTGACTGTTCCGCCTGGATTTGCTAATGCTACCTGCGGAATGGTTTCGTGTGATGTATTTGCAAATATTTTTCTAATAAAGTTGAGTTGAGTTGTTTGAGTTAGCCCATGAGTAAGTCTTGTATTATTGGAAACAAGTATGTAAGGGGTACACAATGAATCATATTCTGGAGTGCTTGTACCTCTGTACACCTCACCCCTGACCTTGAATGAGTACCTCTTTACAATCACTGAGTCTGTCTTGCTATCTGTAGCTCTGCTAGCTAAATGTAAAAGTGTTAACGAGTTCATTAAGCAGCCTAAAGATTTTAAAGCATATTACGTTCTACTTGTATGATAGGGCATTTTAAGACTAGTCTACCACAAAAATCTGTTACACAAATATACTTTACACCACACAATCGACAGAGAAAATTTACTCGTATGAACACGCAATACTATAAACGCAACTACAAGTTAACCTCCAAGCCTGTTCTTATGAGGAATGGCATTAAGCAATGTTGTTACACTACTATAAGATAGTACCTAGCAAACTATATATAGCGGAATCTCCGCAGATACCTACTGCCTGAGTAAAACGTTTAGGCATATATATAAGGGACATTTCAAGTATGGACTGTCACAGAATTAGGTGTTAGAGTAGTATAAATACTGTAATGAAAACTTACCTCTTTGTACAGCTGACTTTCTTGTAAGGTGTATTTATCTATTGCTTGCCCTGGCTTGTAGAAACCAAACCACTGCAATGAAAGAATGAGAATATGGATTAGAATTAACAGATCTCGATCTTATGTACTGAAACACTAAAATTATTCATTGTTTCACTCTTTACACACTGGATATATAATAACAAAAAGAGTGTCTGAAAACAGCGAGTATTGCTATAATGTTGCAATACCATGCATACTGTATTAAAGAATTCAACACTAAACTTTTTCATACTTCCGTTTCCTTTGGATCAACCATAGTGTCCTTGCCAAACATCACCATCACAAAGTTCTTTAGTTTCATCAGGTTTGTCTTGTACTCGAGAACCATCTGAAGAAAAAATGATACAATACAGCTTTTAAACATATTAATTTATGATTAAAAATTTGCATACAGTCTAGGTTGCTAGTCAAGAATTATTTTCAGGTAACACTTGTTGTACACGTATTCTGACTTTACTTGTAGAGCTGCATATGAAATCCATAATGCTTATAAAATTATCAAGTTAAATGAAATTTGATGCGGTTAACAATAAGGATAGCCTGAGAAAACAACCGACATTTGGCGAGGCTACCACTGGTTTACCCACCAAATGACGCCTGAGAAACGAGCGCAGAAATTCCATCCCAGATCGGAGTAGTGCTTCTGATTGGTTGAATCAAATTTCCCACATGGCATGACCAATCAGAAGCACTAGCCACATTTGGGTAGTGATGCGTTGTCAGTATGGAACTTCTGCACTTGTTTCTCAGATGTCATTTGGCGGGGAAACCAGTGGTAGCATCGCCAAATGTTGGCTGTTTTCTCAGGCTTCAACGAGGAGTGCCATGCATACCTTGTCAGTATAGTGGCTCAAGCGCGGTCAGCATTGCTTGCATCAGTTCTATGTGTTAGTACAGCATTTTCCTGGGCCGGGTTGTTCAAAGCTGGGTTAAGATAACCCAGGGTTAGAGTGAAATTTGAAATCAGATTTGAATGCTCAAAAAGTAAATTCAGTTTAATTCTTTCTGTCAACAAGTTGATGATTGGATGCTTTTAGAAATAACAGAGAAAACTGTCAGAGAAAATGCTTTTGAACAAAAGAAAAAGAAACCTCGGTTAAGCGCTAATTAGCCCTCTAACAACTGGGCCCAGGTGGCCACTCACTTTGTTTAACCTTTGGATTGTGCATGTACCCCCACCCCTCTCCCCTTTACTTTTTGCACTGATAATCAGTGTGAAAGCAGCCTGCTTCCATTGGCGTGGGAACTCAAGGCTGGGAGGTACATGTAGGTGCCAGTTTTCCAGCCATGGGGCATAACTGTTTAGGGGCTGGCTTTGCCAAAAGTTGAAGCCCCTGCACATCCCGGGCACCCAGCTCCACTAAGTGTCAAAGTTGTTAACAATGTTATTGAAAAAAATCAGTTCAGTACTTGGACATCTCAAGGGGTAGAATAAAGCTTGAACCATGCTTGATTCAATTTTTTTCACAAGCACTGGCATCCCCAAACCTTTCACATGGCACTCCCCCCCCCCCCCCAGGGGGAGTTTCCACTCATAGAAACCTCTTTCTTTGCTTGGATGCATGAACTGTATTGTACATGCTTACCTATCCTACTAAGCAACAATATTAATTAGTTTGGAGTTTTATGGTTAGCTCGCATGTCCTGATCTTTGCTGTAAATGGAGTAAACATTCTTGAATTATTTCAAGTGTTCAAGGTTGTTAATGTCATTGGTTTGACTGTAAGAAAGTCCATTTAAATTTATAATCCATTGATCTAAGTAACCTTTTTTCACCTTCTTCTCCTGATTTATTTCTGCCAAGAAAACGCTTTTTTCTCTGTACTCTTCCTCATTCAGTGGATCATGCCAATACTCTGCTTGGACGAGGCTAAAATTGAACAACATTTCATTATGGTAATTGATAGATTGGGAAACCTTAATCTTGAACATAAATCCAAAGACTGAGGTTCTGTTAACTGAGGATACTCCCATAGCAAAGAGAATCTATCAGTCTGCGAAAATTTTGTAATCACGTAACTGTACACTGACCGCCCAACCGTCCATCTGCACCACAGGGCAACCAATGTTTAATCTCACACTTTCTAGCTAATTTGGGAGCCTGCAACCTGATATTGCACATCCATGTTGTGATAAGCTGACAGCTGTCAAAACAGGGTATCTGCCTTCCAGTACCACCTGACCGTATCGTGGGCTCAGGTATAGACCCATTGAGGTCAAGGATATGGTTGTGTGTTAATTGCATATTGTAACTTAATTATTCAAATGGCTATTACAGCTACACAACAAACAGACCGAATTTAATCCCCCATGCTTTTAATAATCAAATCTCAACAACCTTGTTGCACCTAGATGTAATATTGTGTACGCTTTATTAGTCTCGCTTGCATAAGCATCAAGACTCATAATCTGCAACGCATTTTCGGCCCCCCCCCCCCACCCCCCGGGGGTAGTCCCTTATGCAGGCTAACTTATTATAGGAAATTAACGCTTCATGAAATTAAGGTATTGGAAATTAACGCGACTTAAATTAACGTGAATTTAATGGAAAACGACTTTCGAATAAAGAAAATTAACGCGAAAGAGGAGGTAGAATTTCTGAATAAAGGAAATTAACCCGATTAATTACGCGAAATCAAAGGAGAAGATATGGACATCACCTCTGGCAGCGACAACGATGAAGATGAACTCGAAATATTCATGTAAACCGTCGAAAGCTTGTAGTTAATGCTTTTTAGTTGTCAAGAATGGCTGGACAGGTTCCAAAATTGGGGTTAAAATACTGGAAATTAAGAGCGCGGAAATTAACGCTGCACTTAATTAACGTCGCGGAAATTAACACTCAACAAAATTAACGCGACTTAAATCAACGCGAATTTTAACGATTCGCGTTAATTTCATGGAGCGGTAATTTCCTATAATAAGGTATATAGGTATGTGCCGCGCCAAAGGGTGTGTTCTTTTACCTGTTTTGGTCTGAAATAGGGTATCAATTTTGACCATTTTGGTCTGAAATAGGGTATGGTTTGTGCACGCTAGTCTTGAATTGGGTATGTTTTTGAGAAGAATTACCTACTTCTTCATCATTTGGGGATAAGACCATTTCCCTTTTAATGTTTACGCCAACTACTGTGTATGTGCCCTAACAGCTTGTCACACACTCCAGTCATGCACCGGGCTCCAGGGCTTCAGGTCTGAAATAGGGTAGGGAAAATCACAGATTTTGGTCTGAAATAGGGTAAGGGTTTCAGGAAGCATGCCCTAAACCCCCTCCCAATTTTTCTGGAAGTACCCCTCTGGAATTTTTGGTTGTAATTTAGGACACAAAAGGCAGGTCATTGTGCCAGGCGATCCTTGCGGAGACTGTAGAAACTGGGACTAGGAATCGTTGCGTGATCGAAGCCACACATGTTTTGCGAAGAAAGCTTAGGAAAGATTAAATTTAGAGCTTTCCGAAACATGTTGGTCCATGAATTCTATATTGCTTGAAAGCGTTTATTACTTTGGAGCAATTTAACACTACTAAGTGGTCGAAAAAAAATAAGAATCTCAATTAGCAAAATTGTGATGGTCAGGTGTTGCAAACTTTCACTGTATGCAAATGAGTCTTGTGATGGGCATGCGATTTATTTTCGGCAATGATGTAATTTCTCTGAAATCAAGGCCCTTGAATTTTCGTGTATTTATGCATGCGTATAGCCTGCTACCAGAGAGGTATTTTTGGTCGTCGCTATAAACACACGTACTAAATCAATTCAGAAACAAATAAAAAGTATCCACATCGATAAAGTACGCAGTAAAAAACCGAGTAAATCATGTTTCTTGTAGAATTAATTGCCTCTTCATTTCTTGATCTACTCTCCAAGCAGGCGAGACCTGAATGCTGCTGTAAGCGTGTTCTTGTTGAAAGTACACTACAGGTATCTGTTTTTCAGCTTTTGCACTGATTTGACTGAGAAATCTGTATTTAGATCCCTAAATGGGTACACTTGTTCTCTTTTGATAGACAGGTTTACAGTTACAGGTGGAAATGAGGCTGAGGTGAACCTTGTTTTGTTCTTTATCATGTTGTTCTTATACTAACTGGTATTTTATTAAGCATAACTTCCATAAGAAAAGGAAAGTGGTTTGTATCAAAACAAGGTCAACCTCAGCCTCACGTTCACTTAGTGGCTGGAATACTAAGCTCACAACTGTAAAAATATTAATGGTCTATATTACTCAACTGTGATAGGGTCTAAAAGCAAACAATGGCAGTTGCAATGGCTTTAAGATTTATATCTCTTTAAGAATATGCTATGCAGATTAACTTAAACCAACAACTACATATCTCATCCCTTTAAGCCCCAGTAACCACAAACAAATTCTCCAAACTGATCTCCATTCATTTCCTTAAAGAACTAGCTGAGAGAATTTGGTAAAAGATCAAGGCATTTTTACTTGGGTGATCATTTTATTAATTCTCAGACCTTATCTGTTGACAGTGTATGGATATTGTTAGGAGAAAATTGATCTTGGTCACTATTGGCACTTAAAGGGTTAAAGACAGTGCAAAAAACTTGGCTGCACCATTGTTTTAACTAAGTTCCTGGTATCCACAGATTAGATGTAGTGTCATCATAGTTGCAGTGTCAACTGGACAGATGATATGGGATAATATTGTTAATAGGCCATTTGCATGATGGCGTCATTTTACTACTATGACCAGGATCCTTCAGGGTTTTGCTTTCTTGTGCAAATTAGGGTTTTTGTTATTTAAACCTCACTGGGATTACCAAATTTTAAATATGAAAAGAAAAACGAAAAGAATTCTGGTCGTAGTAGTAAAATGATGCCATCGTGCAAATGGCCTATTAAGAAAAATGTTAGAGGTTAGTAGTAGTATATTACCTCAGGTGTTGCGAACATTACTAACTTACATTAGATACTTACTTGTCTTGAATAAAGCTGGAAAAAGGGAAAGAAAAGCAATGGTTTATGTCAGTTACAGGCCCAAAGCACATGTAAGTGGGTTAACTACACTGTGCATTGTAGCACACATGGTCATTTAAATTTTGTGTCTCAAAATCAACAAAAAATTGCCATTATTCTCAAAAACAACTTGCCTCACATGCGTAAAAACTTAATCCTTCACAGTCAATAAAAAATCAAGGCTATTACAAACAGCTCAAACTTATCTAATACCTTTTGCTTAACATAAAAAATACATTGTTTACATTATAACGTCAGTTATTTGCAAAGATCAGACAAAGTTACAAACGGT